CAATGGAACTGCCAATGGCAATGGCAATGCGAAGCTGCCCAACGGAGACGCCAATGACATAGTCCATCCTCGGACTGGAATGTCCTGCGAGGAGGATTTGAGCAAGGAAACAGACTACAATATGGACTACAAGAAGAACAAGTTTCTGGACTTGAACCGCCCTCTTTTTCCTCAGCTTTGGTTCGGTGGATTCACTAAAGAATTCTACCTGGATCAGGTCCATCGTCCTCGCCATTACAAGGGCGGCCAATCCGCACCGCTGTTTGGAAACTTTCTTGAACCTCTTTCCAAGACCGCTTGGTATGTGGTTCCTCTTATCTGGCTGCCATGCATTGCATACGGCACCAACGTCGCTGCTCAAGGCTTCGATAACCAACTGTACACTCTTGGTTACTGGGTGCTTGGTGTCATCCTCTGGACTATTATTGAATACGCTCTGCACCGCTTCTTGTTCCATCTTGACTAGTAAGTTTCTCCTGTCATTTTTGACCGAACTTCGCATGCTAAATCTACCAGTTACCTGCCTGATAACCGCGTAGGAATATGTCTTCACTTTGTCCTCCATGGTATCCACCATTATCTACCAATGGATAGGTACCGCCTTGTTATGCCACCCACTCTCTTCGCTGCTCTGGCTTCTCCTTTTTGGTGGGTGGCTCACAGCATCCTTTGCCACAACTGGTATGCTGCTGTAGCAGCCTACTGTGGAGGTGTCTTTGGATATGTCTGCTATGATCTTACGCACTACTTCCTTCACCACCAAGACTTGCCTCTGTGGTACAAAGACCTCAAGAAGTACCATCTTGCTCATCACTTTCTCGATTACGAGCTTGGTTTCGGAGTCACCAGTAGATTCTGGGACACCATTTTCGGCACTGAGCTTATTTACGACACCAAGAAGACAAAATAAGCTCACTATAATGCGCGCAATTTCTGCCTGGCGTGTATCTTATAAATTCAAGCTGGCACACTGTATATATGTCTTGCTATCAAGTGCTTGGCGCACACTGGGTTGTACGGAGCAGTCATGATTAATGGATGGTAATGAACATGGTGGGCCCTGGCATTAATGGATCGAACAGCATAAATAGTTTTAATGGTTGGGACTGGTACGCCCGACATTCTTCTTTGGACAGAGTCACTTTTTAATAATATACCTCGTATAAAAACCAATGTCCTGTGCTCTCATTGTCCGTTCTTTTATTACTGCATGTGCCCAGCGCGGTAACTACGCTCGCCACGTGTCATATCACGTGCACATGAGGCGCTTTGGACGTAGCACGTCTAGCCAAAAGCTTGACCCATCAGGACTTTTCAAGGCAACTTTCTTTCAACAAACCTCTCATCTAACGAAAGCAAATATCGATTTACACACCAGGAAGTTGTATTAAGATATCTGCTGGTATTGGATCACGTTACGAGTCACAAATTCAGACGCCCATCGATAAATCTAACACGCAGGCATCATGACTACCTTGGACGTGGAAGCACTCCTTGACGCCACCGCGAAGGACACCGCCGAGCAGAAGATTAAGAGCCCTGTAGAGGATAAAGCAAGGGATGAACCTGAACGAAGAGAACGCGACCGTGGTGGCCGTGATCGAGATGGAAGTCGACATCGCGACCGTGACCATGGTCGACGCCGAGACCGTAGAGACAGCCAAAACCGAAGCCGCAAAGGCACCCCCGACGTAGGAACACCTCGAAGCGATGCTGGGAGCCACAAAAGTAGGAGAAGAAGCCGCAGCCGCGACAGTGACCGCCGTCATACGCGCCGAAACAGGGACGGCGATTACTACCGTGGTGGACGACGCTCACGTTCACGATCTCGTTCCCCTCACCGCCATTACCGACCTCGTGATGACCGAGAGCCTCGTGAACGAAGAGATCGTGGCGACCGACGAAACCGGGACTTTGGACGTGGTCGGGATGACGACCGTCGGGAAACAAAGCGCGAAGAAGGCAACCCGCAGCTTACCGAGGATGAACGAGATCGCCGTACTGTGTTTGTTCAGCAGCTTGCCGCTCGTCTCCGCACCCGTGAGCTGAAGGAATTCTTCGAAAAAGTCGGACCCGTCAATGAGGCTCAAATTGTCAAAGACCGTATCAGCCAAAGATCCAAGGGGTAAGACAACTCATATCCATCGATGAGAATAGTTGCTAACAAACGACAGAGTTGGTTATGTCGAATTCAAAAACGAGGAATCTGTTACTCAGGCACTTCAACTTACTGGGCAAAAACTCCTAGGTATCCCCGTCATCGTTCAAGTGACAGAAGCCGAGAAGAACCGACAGGCACGAAACCCTGAAGCTTCAGGTCCTCATCCTAATTCTATTCCATTCCACCGTCTTTACGTCGGCAACATCCATTTCAACGTTACCGAACAAGACTTACAAGCTGTCTTTGAACCCTTCGGTGAGCTTGAGTTCGTGCAGCTCCAAAAAGATGAGAATGGCCGCAGCCGTGGTTATGGCTTTGTCCAGTGAGTATACCTCCCTTGAATCACACATCAATCGCTAACTTGACAAGGTTCCGTGATGCTGGCCAGGCACGAGAGGCACTGGAGAAGATGAATGGCTTTGATTTGGCCGGGCGTCCCATCCGTGTCGGACTCGGAAACGATAAGTTTACCCCTGAGAGTACTGCCAACATGCTGCAGAGATTTTCCGGACAGAACCAGCAAAACCCTAACTTCCAGGGTTCTGCGTTTTCTGGTTCTGGCGGACGTGGCCCTCAAAACTCTACTTTCGACCGAGCCGGTGGTCGAGATAACGAGAAGACAGGAGGCGCTAGTGCTCTCGATGATACCGATGTTGCTGGTGTCAACTTTAACAACTATAGTCGCGATGCATTGATGAGGAAGCTTGCCAGAACAGATGATTCCGCCACCACCAATGGCCACGAAGAACGACAAGTCCTCAAACCCAAGACTGAGACGAAGCCATTGCCTGTTAATGTCAACATGGCCAGTCGCTGTGTGGTTTTGCATAACATGTTTGACCCCGAAGAGTACGTTGTAGCCTGTATGATTGTGCTTGACAGTTGCTAACATAACAATTCACAGAGAAGAAGGCACCGACTGGGTCAAGGAGCTTGAGGACGATGTTCGTCAAGAAGCCGAGAGTAAATATGGACACGTCGTCCACATTTCGGTTGATCCGAACTCTAAGGGTGACATCTATCTCAAATTTGACAAAGTCCAGGGCGGCGAAAATGCCATCAAGGGCCTCAACGGCCGATACTTCGGCGGACGAATGATCGACGCGTCACCTGTTGTAGATGCCGTCTACAGCAGTTTGTTCTCTCGTACCCGGGCAATTTAAAGCTAATGTTTGGCTTGTCAACAACGCTCTCTAGGACTCTTGCAGGTTAGCAGAGTCCACATGAACTGGCTGAAGAGCATCACTAAGAGTTTGGTCATCAACAGACTTGAAGTCTCCGCTTCTTCCAAAAATTCTCCGTTGCCGTCGCTCTCATACACGTTTCGGCGCGATACATTCGCCATCACCGCCAAATTTTTCACGACTCGCATTGCATGCATCAAGGTTCCCAAAAATTCAGCATCGCATATCTTTTTAACCATATTACGGTGTCGCAGGTTACTCATCCCTTAGTCCCGACCTACCTTGTCTGGAAGACTCGACGCGCACGCGCCCCTATTAGGATCAATTATCGATCTCCAGGTTCAGCACTCGTTCAGTCGCAAGGACCAATACTGATGTCTTGTACCCTAGGATGGCCCTTCCCCTTGAACCAAGGGGCAGCACCCCAGACCTGCGCCTTTGTTTGTTATATGAATAGTTTGTTCCAAAATATAGAATTTATTGAAAGTATTAATCGCCTTTTTGTGACTTTGTTTAACGATTGAGGTAGGGAACGTCATGAAACTTTCTTTACGTTGCTGATTACGCTCAGGTCTATCAAGCACAAGTGTGCTTATATCCTCGTTGGTTTCGAGCCTGTGATCGGCCGTATGCCCTTTACAGGACATCGGTCTCAAATGTCGATGTTGTTTATTGAATCACTTTCTTAGATCTTTGAATAGAATACTATATACTTATGCCATGTTAGTCAAAAGATGAGAGTGAAGTGCATCATGCATCTCGACTATGTATTGTTAGATTCGTTTACATTTCTTGTTATCATCAAGTCTAGAATATGTTTACGAAGACCCTTGCTGTTCTATGTCTTCTCAATTCTTGGTTCAGCTCATCTAGCTTCTTCATCGCTGTTGCTGGTTGGAAATATATCAACTCCTGAACTTCTTGTCACATTTCGAGAGTGCACCCACCATTCAGGTACCTTTTTTCCTCGATTCCAACTCTAGCAGAACTTCATATTGACTACTGTTTACCTATCTAGGTGAATTGCCCATTCACCATTCATCAATTGGGGCTTGGTTGGTGTGAGGGTGTGCAAGTGCCAGTCACATCGGTTTGTCGGCTGCTTGCCAGTGCCAGGTAGCTGGCCGAATGGTTCCCGTCAGCAGTTTCTACCTCGCAAATCGAGTAGGAGAATATGTTTTACTTTTGTGCCTTGTCTCCTGATCTTCCCAACTACTTCTCAAGTCATTTTTCACTCATTTGTGGTTGCCACGTAAACGCATTTCGATATCTTTCACCTGGAGCGTTTAGGAGCATCTCTTCTTCTCTTTTTTACCATTTTTCGTGCGTTTGGGCAGCAAATAAGTATTCGACCCGAGTCGACACAAACGCAGAGCAAGAATTATACCAAAAGTTTTGTCTCGGTGTTGTTTTTATTGTTTGTTTTGCTCTTCTCGCAACACCTACCTACACCTCTCCCGGTCTGCCCTAATTCTTCCTACTACTCTCGCCTCTCTCCAAACTGCGATTTTCCATTATCATCACGAGGCTTTGCTCTGTGTATGATGACACACGAGAGTATCGCATCTTCCACCGGTAGCTATTTCTCGCAAAGTCAATTCCCATCGAGGTGGTCTTCCGGCAGTGAAAGTCGCGATACCAAGCCATCCAACACCATGTTGAGCATCAACTTCTCAACTCCCCTCGCGGGAGCTGCTCGATCTGAGAGAATCAAGCAGATGACCAACAACCACGTAAGTCATCAATTTTGTGGGCGTTTTCTACTCCGCGCGCCTCCTTCTTGTCTTCAGTTAAGGTACTGCGCCTGTTCCCGACCAAAATACTGACTTATTCCTTTTCCCGTAGCCTGCTTTTGAAAAGTCTCGCCAATCTCAGGAGATTCTTGTCAAAATTCAAACCTCTCTGCGCCGCATGCCTGGCGTCTCTTCCAAGGAGTCCAGTGAGATCATCGCTCAACTCCAGGAAGTCGGGCAGATTGTCAGCACCGAGACGAGCCAGCTCGTCGACGCGCTCATGAATTTGACTCTTGATCAGGAGGACACTGACAAGGCAATCGCGCGCATGAGTATCGAAGCCAACCTTGCCAAGGCAGAGACCGATGATCGGGCTCATACCCTGAGCACCATTCGTGCCGAGCTCGCAAATGAGAAGAGCAAGCGACAAGAGGCCGAAGCCGAAGTCGTCAAGGTCATGGAAGAACTCCAAAAACTCTCCCGCGAAATCAAGTCGCTCAAAGGGAAGGGCAACGACGCCAGTTCTGATGATGCCAAGTCGTCTCCCGGTCGCGACATCTTGATCAATGTAAGCAACTGGTTTCAAATTGCTCTGGGATCAAATGACTAACTTTTCCAGCAACTCGGGGAAACAATCCAGCACCTCGAGGAACAGGTCAATTCTCGTCGATCCCTTTGGCTCATGAAGAACCCGAGCCCTGGCTCGGTGGCTCGTGCTGATGATACCATCACCGAGTCTTGCTCTGACAAAGACCAGAAGAGCCTCACGTCGCGCCGCTTTGGCAGTGACGAGGAGATCAACTCGCGCGATAGTAAGCCCTCTGGTCCCAACGAAGTCGCTGTCCATTCCCAGCGTCCTCCGTCTGCTGCACGCTTTGGATCGCACATTGTGCCTGGCCCTTCTCGTCCGACATCAACTGCGCCAAACGAGCGTCGACTCAGCCAGTGGAGACCTCCTACCCCTTCGCAGCCTCAGTCTCGGTTTGGAACCCCTTCCTCAAGCGGCACTGGCCCTCAGTCCATATATAGACGCAACGCTCCCCGTCGCAACTTTGTCAACAGCACTTATCGTCCGAATGCTCCCGAGTTTTTTCCTCGATCCTACGGACATCCTGACAAGAATGTCACATCTCCCGGCAATGGAGGATATAGTCAGCCGCGACAATACTATCCCCCTACTCCCTCGGGCGGGCGTAACAAGTACAGTCGATTCCGTGACCCTGTCCCTGTCCCTGACTACGACGGCCCGCCTGGTGCGCTGACTACTCGGCCTCCTTTCCCTGGGCCTCCTATCCATATCACTGATATGACTATCAACGCTTGGCACGACCAATTCACTGAGCTCTATACATCCATTCGCTCTTTTGTTGCCCGTCATGCTAACCTGGCTACCTTTGTCAACCCTATGGATCTTTCCGCCACTCGTCTGTGGCCTGTCCTCTTGGCAACCTACCATCCTCTTTCTGAGCATGAGGCTGTTTCCTACCTTGACTACCACCTCAAGGAAACGAGTGCTAAATCCTGCTTGGTCACTCGTGTCGCTATCGACTATGTTGTCAACCGCGTTTGGGTCCCTCGTGCCTGGATGGGTGCAGAGTCTGATGCTACCCACGGCCTTATTGAAGTTGAGAAGGATCTTGAACGAACTCAAGGTATGTTTACTGGTATTGTTTATAACAACGGCCTGGAAGCTAACAGACTTGTAGGTCAGCCGGCCGTTCGCCGCCAGCAATTCCTCGACCGCCAGGCAAGCATCATTGATTCCATCCTCAAGCTGGATTCGTACCAGGAGTTCAGCAAGGTCCGCTGCCAGGAGATCTCGGATGTAATTCTCAACATGATCGAGCCTCTCCTAAACCCTGAGGCCGACCCCGAGACTATCTACAAGGAACTGGAGAGTGTCGCTTCAGCCGCTTGGGCTTTGTCAAGCCGCATCCTCAGCAGCCGACTGACCTTTGACTTCCGCTTTCCCGAGATTGGAAGCCGCTACTCTTCCCAGTGCATGCTGCCAATCTGGCCCGACTTTGATCCCCAGGATCTACAGGCTGAGCATTGGCGTGTCGCTCTTGTCACCACCCCTGTTGTAACTTGCCGCAACGACACTGGCTCAAACATCTCTGCACACTCAGTCTGTGTAGCTGATGTCGTCTGCATGCGATAAATACATCGCAACAGTTGTCCTCGCTGCCGTTAATTCATTGGGATAACGTATGAAGAGAGACAAAATCTAGTTCTTCTAAAAGGCAGCGAGACTATGACGAGTATGGTACCAAATCAACATGTGCCATTATGTCATTCTAATTTTGACCACGAATTCACGTTGCGACAACGCATTGACACCCAGAGAAGGACCATCTCCTCCAGTCAACACATCTCAGATATAGCCGCCCAGATCAATCAGGCGGTTAGGCGTTTTGTTACTTGATACTACGGGTATTTGTTTTCTTTATACATGCCGAATTTTCTGCATGCACAACGGCGATTGGGTTTTCATTCATGGAAAAGGATACACCATATGCAATCACATTTCCCTTCTGGAGATTGAACGATGATCTATCCCCCGCATATGGGTTTGTTTCTTTGCGTTTTCGTTTTCTTTTCCGTTCTGGGGAAACTAGGAAAAACAGTACAAGGGTGTTCTTGGCACTTGAGGAAGAAGTCAGTCTTCATGGAACACTACTACTATGGGGGTTTACGACAAGTCGTGGGAAACGTCCTGGGATACGGACTGCCTTCAGCAGGAGAGAGAGGCGAAGATATCCAAGAGAGACGTCAAGATGAGTCATTACATGTAATAATAATTGATTTTTTTTTTTGGTACACTAAAATGGCAGTGAAGCCTGTGATTTAAATCTCGTGAGAGTATGTTTCCAGTACTGTTGACCTGGATCACCATCTAGTCTAAACTTATAAGTTCCAGAAACTCCCCTGGTATCAAGTAAAGACAACATACCACCCCGTAGTAATACATACAAAAGAAAGAAGCCACGGTTCATATGCTAAAGAGCCGTGTCGCTACAAATAGAAGCCTTAGTAACCGCGGCCTTGAGGAGAGCCACGAGTAGCCCGGCGATCAAGACGTCGCACAACCGCACCAAGAACAACCTTGAGAATACCCTCTGCAGATAACGACTGGTTGTGGTTCAAATTAGTAGAGTTCCATGTGGCTGTATCAACCATATCACGAATACCCTGCCCAGCAAGGTCGTCGTCCAGCTCGCGGAGAGCCTTTGTAGCGCCAAGCTCGTTTCCGACCTGGAAGAACTGGATTCCAACCTGGTGAGGAGGTGCCTCGATCTGGTCGAGCTTCCTGGCGTGGTGCACGATGATGCTTTCTGGGTCATCAGTAGGACAGCCGTCGGTGATCATGATGATGTTGACCGGCTTGGTCGAGTCGATGTTCTCAGCGCGACGAGCGATGTGCGAGACATAAGGCTTGAGAATACCGTGCAGACGAGCTCCAGTGGGTGTAGAACCGCATGGCCGGACAGATTTGAAGAGGTGCTCGACTTGCCTGGCGTCACGGATGTTGTAGTATCCTCCAGGGGCTTGCGTGCCAGATCCAACGGCGGATGACCGGTGGTTCAGGAAGTAAACGTCGATACCGTCAGGGTCGTGCGATGTGCAGATTGGTGCGATTGAGCTGAGTGCTTCGCGGACTTCTCTCCATGATCGGCCAGCCATGGAACCGGAGTCATCAATGATAAATATGGTATCAAAGGTTGAAAGGAAAGCATATTTATCCTCTGCACTTGTTACGCTGGAGAGGCTGGGTGCCGGAGAAGCAACTCGACGAGGAATATCGAGGTTGGAAGACTTGATAGTTGGCTCATAGGCAGGAGGTGCCTCGTCAGCTGTAAGAGGTGTTAGTCGTAAGGTCAAAGAAGAAGCTTAGGGGTGTGACTTACGGGTATCGAGGAAGGGATTGGTGTAACCGTGCCTGGGGGTTGTGTTTGAGTTACCCATATCGATTTCGCTCTTCATGTCTGTTGATGGCTTCTTTATGGAGAATTTATCTTTGATGCGGTTGAACATTCTGGGCGAGGAGGAAGTTGCGTGCGGCATTGGGAGAGGAGTGGTCTCTTTTATTTTATGTGAGTTTTGTTGGAAAGTTGAGTTTGGAAGGAGAGTAAGTGTGGCTGATTAACTCTCTTTGTTTGGCTTGTGGCAGTGACAAATTTTAGTAAAGTCGGGCCGGTTGATTGTGTATAAGCTCTTTGTTACTGGTGTTTGTTATTACTTTGTGAAGTAAACTTGTTTACTGATAGATTGGATGATGATTTCTAGTGATGTTTAACATTGTTGATGGTCTCTATATACCTATCTATCTAAAATCGCTAGGCATACAAGGCATATCGCAGAAGTTTCGCTATTCGCGTCTTGTGGCCAAATAACGTTGGCGAAGATTCCATGTTGGATGTTTGCGTTTCTCTCTAATGGTGTTGTTGTACGAAAGGCGCAGTTACTAGTTACTCCGCAGGCGGCGTGGTTCGCCTGACAGTAATTTTTAGGCGTCCTACAAGGCTTTCTTAGTTAGGTCTTGTTTGACAGCAGTTAAATGGCGTGCATTAGTGCCACGACTCAGCCCCTGTCATCGCCGCCAGCACAGCCTTGAAATGAGAATTCATGTGACATGACCAATGGCAAACACTATACGTTACCGCTTTGTAGTCGCTACCATTCCCTTGGGACCTCTCTTGCTGGTTCCCCATGCATTGTCTTGTTTGATCCTTTGGTTTCTTTGCTTTTTTTTCTCAGTCTGTTGGTTTCAGACAGACGATCGATACCAATAGTGGTACACCCTCAAATCATAAATACCCCCTGTGCGGACGGCTCCTGACATGACGCCTAGACAGAAATCACAAGGCCAAGCAGCAGCATCTTGTCATTGAGTGTTTTTCTGTCAGCCATCGCCGCAGCTTGCATATATGCGTGCACCCACTACCTCGTGTAAATGGCACAGTATCCTTATCAATCAACCTTGTGATGGCCTTGTGTCCTTCAATCTCGGCATTGCTGTCAAGTGTATTGAGTATAGTAGGGACAGCCGCATCCTTTTTGTGTTTACAGATTGAGCTTCCATTGATAATTGTAACTGTTTAAAGAAATAGTGCATCTATTTCAATAACTTGCGCAACTACGAGACACAAGTCACAAGCTAACATAAAGTGCAAGTATTTAAACCCATCAAAAAGGCAACCGCAGGTAGGACGATAATCTATGGAGCCCCTCCCAGCCTTACAATGTGCCTGGCAGCGAGAGGAACAGAGCCTCATCTTCCGGGGTTTCTTATACACCAAGAGTTTTAAGGTGTCTCGACCTCTTATAGTTTGACCTGCATGAACTGCGTTAGTTGTAATCTTTCCCCTCTTCTATGAAAGCGGGAATATTCTTCCTCAAGGTATCAGGATAGTTAGCCGCAACAAGGTGAGAGATGACATTGCCAAGTCGGATTCCAATTAGTCTGGCTGTTCATTCATATCTCAAAAGTTCAAGACCAAATATATTATCATCTGCTGGGTCGTCTAGAAGGAGGTTATGGAGGCTAATCGGAAATACGGATACTCACTCAGCAGATGGCGTATCATGATAAGCCTTTAGTAATTACCCCCACTTATTGGACACACCATCACCTTGGTCAGCGTTAGCAAACCATCGCAATCCCTCAACTTATAGTGGCTATAAGCGGTAAAACCTCAATCTAGCTGCTGATGTAACATTTACTAAACATCGCCAATACCTCCACAATCCTCCAGATCTGACCCAATGGCTCAACTTAATATTCCATCTATTTCTACTGATTTGTCGTTGCTTGTAAAATCATTTTCTCATCCTACTCTTGATCATCCTAGTATATAAATCCCCCTCCCCATCCATCCTCTCTTGTCATGACACTTTTCCGAAGCATCTTCATCTCAGCATTCATCGCTTTAGCTGCCATTGCCTTATTTCAAACTCGTTTCAAAGACACAGCTACATCTACTTTCGAAGTGTTAAAGACTCTTACGCCTCTATCTTATATCTACAGCGACAAGATTACCGACCAACAAAAGGACACCCATCACCTTTACGCTACCGAAATGTCTGCTCATCGAGCTATTCGCAAGGTCTTCCTTGCTGTTGAGCAATCCGAGGGTGCTGGTGCTCGCGTTCGTCGATCAATTGGTACTCCTCAGCTGCGCAACTTTTCTCCTTTCCTGATGCTTGATCACTTCTCTGTCAAGCCCGGCGCTGGATTCCCTGATCACCCTCATCGTGGTCAAGAGACCATTACTTACCTTCTCGAGGGTGGTATGGACCATGAGGATTTTGCTGGTAACCGAGGCACCCTCTCCGCTGGAGATCTTCAGTTCATGACTGCCGGAAAAGGTATGTACTTTCACTCTTCTCATTCTCGTATCAAATTTCAGATTTACTAACATTTTCTCCAGGTATCGTGCATGCAGAGATGCCCCAGCAAAATGCCGACGGCAGCGCCAATATCGGTCTTCAACTCTGGGTCGATCTCCCCAAGGAGCTCAAGGCCTGTGAGCCTCGTTACCGCGATCTCAAGAGCTCAGAGATCCCCATTGCCAAGGTTGACGACGACAAGGTCACCATAAAGGTCATTTCTGGTCAGAGCCACGGTATCGATTCAGTTAAGGATCTCGCCTATACACCCGTCTGGTTCCTCGACATTGAGATCCAGCCCGGTGGCAAGGTCACCCAGCCTCTACCCCCTAACTGGAACGCCTTTGCCTATACTCTTGAGGGACAGGTTATTGTTGGCAACGATGACCAGAAGCGCGTTGTTGAGCAGTACCACAACATTGTTTTTGAGCCTCAAGGTGATGTTGTTCACTTTGAGGTTGACGCCGGTGCTACCAAATCCGCTCGAGTAGCTATCATTGCTGGTACTCCCTTGGATCAACCTGTTATCCAGTACGGTCCCTTTGTCCTTACTTCCAAGGAGGACGTTGCAAAGGCTCTGTTTGACTACCAGACACACTCCAACGGTTTTGAACGAGCTGAGGACTGGCAGAGTGAGATTGGAAAGTCCATGAGGGGCTAAACGAAAATTTGGATATATGTTTTTGTCATTGTGGCGTTAAAGTGGGAAATTTGCTTGTTTCTGTTTGAAAAATCAAAATTGGGAGCGTTTGGGCTGGTCTCTTTTACGAAATGATTAGCTAGCATATAAGAATCGTGTCTAAAATGAAAATTCATGTTATCTCGGGAATCTTTCTTCATACTAACTATTACGCGTTTTTGGGTTGCGAATGAGACAACGTGAAACTATTTGAGTTGATGCTACCCTGTATTTCTACTGCGTCGCTCTGAGACCAAGAGCAACTATCCCTGGCGTGTAAGTCGTCTCTCAAGTTAATGCTGCAATGCTTTGAATTGCTTGTATAGATACTGTACTAGGATATTGCGCGAATAACGCAAACAGCTTCCGTGCACCTGTCTATGCAATGGCGATGCCGTCCCGTTCCGCGGCGTAGTTGAGTTAAGCACGGTGAGCATAGGAGTCCATTCTCAAGCCTCGCCGTATACAAAACGTCCCACACAGAGTCCAAGTAACGTGTATGTCTCATGATTCGCCAGCCTCTTTAACCAAAGACCCTTGAGATCGGGGCCAACCGGACGTGTTCCCTGACCGATATCATGTCAAGACAGTTCTTTTCAGGGTGTTCTAGCGAGATTCTAAGGTATTTCAGTTTCGGGTTCATACCGAGCTTCCTTTTCTAGAGATGCGCGACATTTCACTCGGTGAAGGGTATCAATAGTTTGACGGCCACGGGTGTGATACTTGATATTTGACGGCGAGTCTAGGTAAAGATCGGTCCGGATGGGTTGGGTGGATGGAGGCGCTGTGGGTAAGGGGAGAAACGAACTTGGCAGTGTTGGAGGTTTTAGGTAACGATATCTTAAGGATCGTCATTATGCGATTCTACAATGCGGGTCCTGTTCGGGACAAGTCAGTCTGATCGGGTCGATATTGGGTACAATGAGCGAGTTTGAAGTTGAAATATTCAAATATTTGATTCAAAGAATACAGCAGATTATAAAGTTGTCACTATAAAGTCAAAGATGAATTCAGGGTGCCTCGTCAGATTCAGAAACTCTGATACAGAAAGCAAAAAAAACAAAACATTTAGGGCAGATGAATGATTGGACGAAGCTGGTACGCCTGAAGATATACTGTAACTGTATCTGGTATTTGTAAGAGAAGCGTCTCGACTCCAAAACAAATCTGACAAGTCGTATCAGCATTTGCCCAAGGGGAAAGGGGGGCCATTTCTTTTTTACCCCAGGATTAGCATTGCATTGTCATAGCGGGAACGTTGGTGTCTGTAACATTCGGTGTGAGCTGGAGCTGTTGATCGAGGCTTTTGAAGCGATTCAGAGCCACTCGCCTCATTACGCAAGACGATCATTATTCCTGTCAAATGGTTGCTCCAAAAAAGATGCCGTTTTCCGTCAATGTCCAATGCATGATGCACACATCCTTCCAGGAGATAGTCAGCTCAATCCAATCGCATTCCTCCTTTACCTCTCAGGTCAGGTCAATGCTAACTCACAGACCATGCTCGATGCTGAATGGCTTTCGTTTCTACCGTTTCTTCTCCTTGTTGGTGATACACAGACATACAAGGCATTCTGGTAGGGAGTACAGTCCCTGGAAATTCCAGCCTGAGCAAACCTGGTCCCACCCTAATTCTTTTGGTGACCGATTTGATCCATCATGTCGTAGGTAGCTTTGCACTTAAAATATATGCAATCACCCCGTAAATTCATCCACCTTGATTTTTTCTCCCGTCCCTTCTTTCTTCTTTACCTCACCGATTCTTTTTCTCGTTCCATCTCCCACTGTCGCGACTACTACTGCGATTTGACTTGCATGACTGGACCTCACTAAGCTAGAGCTCCATTGACTAAGAACGTACCCCCAAAATCTAGCGGGGACCTTGCAACCAACGAAGAACTCCTACTCTACTCCTACTCATCATCATCATCATTTGGTTTGAGGCCATAAAACCAAATACTCCTTAAACCTCTGCGCAGATACTTCTATCCTATATCGAAGCGCCATCCTACTACCGCCCACCATGTCGTTTAGTGGACGCAAGTTCTCTATCAACCGCCATACTGGCGAACCCAAGCCCAAGATGCTTGCCCGCCGTTTCAGTACCACCGAGCCTTCGACCAACGGTATGTGTTTATGTCTTTCCTTTGCCTGACGCTGTCTCATGACGGCTTTGGTGTGTCTTGGAACTCTGAGACCTCGCTTTGAGCTGCATCTCAGCTCTCTGCAAAGACTGTGCACCAGCTTCATGAACTTCGCGTTCTGTCACTCCCACACCAGCCAAAACCCTCATCTACCTTCCTACTCTCCTCACCGTTTTCTCACCTCCCCTCACCGTCCCGCCTTTTGACTACCGGCACCAATGGGGCGTTGCATTGCTGTGCATTGCTTTTCTGGGCTGGCTTTTCCCCTCTTCGATCCCTGTCGTTCATGGTTGCCCCTCCATGTCCACCTATGTACAGTCCCCTGACCTTAGTTACCCCTCCAAACCCGCCTTACCTGGAGCTGTCCATGGAGCTTGGCTGCAGTTCCCCACAACGTCATTGTCAAAACCAAGATCGCAACACAGCTTCATAATCGTAATTGCAATAGCAGAATGCTAATCAGACCAATACAGAATTCCAATCCAAGGTTCATCGTCAGTTCCGAAGCGCTCATGAAGGCCACATGCCCCATGCTGGCCTCGATGCCAGCCGATCATCCACTGGTGTTATCTGGTGTACAGAGCGAGCCTCCGAGTATGGCTACCTTGAGAACCCCGATTCATGGGCCAACCTTGGCCAGGGTGCCCCCGAGGTAGAGGACGATATCGAGGGTTGCTTCCCCCGACCCGAGACCATCAACATCTCCATGGCTGGCCGTGAGTACGGCCCTACAGCTGGTATCAAGCCCCTGAGAGAGGCTGTTGCCAAGCTCTACAACGAGGCCCACCGACAGGGAAAGGACAGCCAGTATACTTGGGAGAACGTTGCTATTGTCCCTGGTGGTCGTGCCGGTCTGATCCGTATCGCTGCCGTCCTGGGTAACTCATACCTGTCTTTCTTCTTGCCAGACTACACGGCCTACAATGAAATGCTGAGTCTCTTCAAGAACGTGAGTTTTTAAACGAGTGAAAACCGCTATATCTGTTAATGGTTGGGTGCTGATAAATTTCCCAGTTCGCCGCTATTCCCGTGCCCCTATCTGAGGAGGACGGCTACCACATTCATCCTGACAAGATTGCCGAGGAAATTGCTCGCGGCACTTCCGTTATCCTCACCTCAAACCCTCGTAATCCCACTGGTCGGGTTATCCAAAATCCCGAGTTGGCCGAAATCCAGGACCTCTGCCGAGAGAGGGCAACCTTCATCTCAGACGAGTTCTACTCTGGGTATAACTACACTTCTAACTGCGATGGCACCACTATCTCAGCAGCCGAGAACGTTGATGACGTGGACGAAGATGACGTTCTGATTATCGATGGTCTCACTAAGCGCTTCCGTTTGCCAGGATGGAGAATCGCCTGGATCTTGGGACCCAAGGGTAAGCACAAATCCACCACAAAACAAGCAAGACAATGGAAAAGAAGCTAACAATATTCATTTAGAGTACATTAATGCGTGAGTTGTGACCCGATTCTTTGAAATTTCGCCCTAAACCGGGTTTTGGTGTTTTGACTTTTGCGGACAAGCACAACTAACACGGTAATAGCATTGGCTCATGTGGTTCTTACCTCGACGGTGGAGCTTCTCATCCTTTCCAGGAAGCCGCTATTCCTATGCTCGAGCCAAGCCTCGTTCAGAATGAAATGATTCACCTCCAATCTCACTTCCGGGTACGTCTTGGAAAGTCGTGACCTATGAGGATTGACATTGCTAACAATTTCACAGGACAAGCGTGATTACGTCGTCCGACGTCTTCGCGAGATGGGTTTCATCATCAAGTATGTGCCCGACTCGACCTTCTATCTGTAAGCAATACCCCATGTCAAGGACTCGATAGACCTCCGCTAATCAGCATGCAGTTGGCTCAACCTCGAGGGTCTCCCCGAAACCATCGCCGACGGTCTCAACTTCTTCCAGGCCTGTCTGGAGGAGAAGGTCATTGTGGTGCCTGGTATCTTCTTTGATCTCAACCCTTCGCGTCGCCGTGATCTTTTCGACTCCCCTTGCCATCACTTTGTGAGACTTTCATACGGTCCTCGCATGGATGTCCTCAAGATGGGAATGGACGCCATTGAGCGCGTTGTTCAGAAGTAAGTGTTGGCGAGTTCTGCGGATTTCTCTAGGATACAGGGCTAACACAACATAGGCACCGTAAGCTTAACTAAACGATAACTGAAAGCTGGCGAAGGTTGTAAGCACAGAACAGTTGGAGGTGTGTGGGGTCTCTTATGTAGAATCACGACCGTCATGCGTTGAAGATGTATGGTTTAGACCAATAAGTCGAGTGAGAGGATCACAACCTAAAATTAAAGTAAATACCTCTTTATAGATCAAGGGATCTATATTATTCTTGTTTAGCACTTCTCGCGCGATCGTGTATCTACCGTTAACAACCACAATAACTTTTCAAGGATACCTATCTGGCGTGTCACAAAGAGAATAGACACTTCAAACCAGACGAAAATATTAGCACGCTCTTAGACTATATACTCTAAACTCACTAAAGCTGATCTAATACTTTCATAAACCACTAAATCAGCACTTATGATGCGACCCACCTGCGCGAGCCTTCCAGTACCTTATACAAGAATCATAATGCAAGTAATCTTCGTCACCTCGATAGCCTGGGAGGAAGCTCCAGCAGCGTTCGTAGTTAGTGTTGTCTGCCCCGTAATGAGAGTTCTTGCAGCTTCTAGTTGTTGGTTTAGGAGGACCAGGAATTCCTTCTTCATTGTCGTGGTTTCTTAGATAATCATAGCAAGGTTGACAACGGACATAGTCCTCGTCGCCCTTGTGTTCCGGGTCATACAACCAACAGCCTGTGTAGTTACTGTGGTCATTGTTGCAATTCGGGTTTCTGCAGGTACGGAAGTCTGCGAAGAAGTTTCACTGGCCCATGTAGTTGGTGCTGTCCATATTGCAATTTGGATTCCCGCATCTCTCAAGTTCCGGCGGGATCATTGTGCCTGCTATAGAAATTGTAGCAGGCCCTGCAACGTATAGGATCTCGATCGCAACAACTGCATCCTTTCCACTGCTAATGGTCAAGAATTCACCATGCTAGTTCCAACTGGTCCGAATAGTGCCCACGCCCAGTCACAGACGAGACAATGCCAGACATTCTGCTTCGTATCTTCAACAAACCTTCAAAATCCTGTGTTTGCAGGAAGCTTGCTCTGGCAGCTTGGGTTACTGCAGCGAGCCCAGTGTATCTGATTCCACAGTGCCCATCGTCCCTCGAGGATTGTGACATCAGCGGGCTTGATTGTAATCATAGCAAAGGATTTTGAAGTCCCATTTGTCGTGATGAGACCCGCACTGCAACTGACATACAGAGCATTCGGTCCATTCCTCTTCATCATTGTGCAGTAGCCCCGTTTCACTCCTTAAAGTTAGAACATCAGTACTAATCACAGCGGAAACAGTAGATCCCCTCAGCAAAGCCTTAGTATCAGAAAAATTGACCGCTTAAAGCATAAGAGACGAAAACAGTAGGTCAGTTTATGCTCCTTAGACAATAGTTTTTAGACCACTTATTTTTATACTTTAAGACTTAGGAGGCCAGTTTCTCTACTACCCACTGGCAAAGCCATATAGGAATGCATTCTTAGGAATAGGTACCTCGCAATTATAGCACTTGCGTGGGTTTCCATCAGCAAACCACTTTTTGTTTACTGATGAGTGCCGGGTTTCATGCAGTCGCCCGTTAGGAGTTCCTTGTCACGTAGGAAGATCCCCTTCTTTCTCGTAGTGTCCAACACAAGGCATACAAAACCGAAGACCCAGAGGATCGTCGCGATGCAGGGGTACAAGAAATCGAGACTTAACTGCTCCAGGTACAGCACCTTTTGTCGACTTTCCACAATCTTCATTTGCACACCAGGTTGCGTGGATCGTTGATCCAGGACAGCCCTGGACCAGTGGCCAGGCTCAGTTGAACCCAGATTGTCCCAGCTGTGGCAGTTGGAAACCTTCTCTTAACATGTGGTCAATTTCAAAAGGCGCACTTGACCGATAGCGGTGCGGTACGTCTCTTGACTCTGTGTTCCCGCTGTGCATATCTCGATATGTGATAATTAGGCTCTCACATAATAGAGGACTTGATCACAGTGTGTCTTGTGGGTTGCCGCCAGCCAGCCAAGGGTTGTCCCAAATTCCTATCACCCGGAAATTTGGAATCACATTGGCTTGCTTAATGAAGTTATAGTGGGAACCCTCAGACTCGGGGCTCATTGCTGCTGCCTCATGTTGGGCAAGGCAGTTCCGACCCCTTCCTTTGATATAGACGAGCCAATGTACTCTCGAATGTCGCCAGATAATGATGGATCTGCATTCTTTGCAAGCACCTTAACGCGCTTTGCCCGAAGGGTTAACTTTGATGACCCAAACTTAATCTGGCCCTGCGGCAATCGAGTCGCTACGTCGAGGTATACCAATCGGTGTTGTAAGTTAAACGGGACCTCAGGGAGGTCTAAAAGGTCCTTGGGCTGGAGGTCTTCCTTCTCTAATACTTTTTGTGTGCGAGAAAATGTGATCTAATAGATCATCAGTATCTTGGAAAGGAGCGATCGGAACTGCCGAGTCATCTCCCTTTTCTCCCTGGGAAGATGGAACCAAGCTGTTGAATATTGTCAACTCCAGGCACAGAGCCTCCTGCACAACTGGACATGTTGGTCCGGAACCAAATCAAGTCGGCATCATCGTCCTTTCCTGAGTATTCTTCAATGCCTTCGTCATTGTCATCGAGTTCCACTGGGAGATATCATCCCATTCGTCTTCATCATTCAAGTCTTCCTCTTCATCCCGGCCAACTGGTCTTTGACCGACGTAGTGGACCGAAACAAGGGAAACAGGCTCTTGCTCGGCGATATGACGAGCAACAAGCATGATATGAGTAGGGTCGAGATTCTCGAGCCAGTCAGCATGCCTACCCCGCGAAGACTCGGCCAGGAGAGGAGTGGAAGCAGCAACATCAAGACATCAAAGATAGGAGGCGAGAGTCACAGCCATTGCGGGGATCTCGATCGCAAGCGGGTGTGACAAACGCGGCATTCTCTGCAAGTTCCTTGGGAGTATGGGTTTCGCCAGTCTAAGGTAAGAGACAAAGTTAGTGGCGGTCGATCATTAAATTGAAGTTGACATACCAAACTGAACGTGTATGCACGATCCGTATATTTGGTTCAACACCTCGTATGACCTGTGATGGGGGTGATGGTAAGTGAAAGAGAGGAGCTCAGCGGCATAGAGCACAATAGTAGATGCATCGTGGAATTTTGAGTCTGGCTAGGCAGGCACCTGTGGGATGGCAGAAAACTTAAGGTCTAGGCTTAGTATACAGCAAATAAATAACCTAAGAGCGAAAATAACATGCCATAAAAGCACTGCCTAAAATAATATTTTATCTCTTAGGCGAGTGGTATTATGTTTCTAACCCCAAGACCTGTGTAGCTGGGCCATGCTTTAAATATTTTGAAGGCTGGAATTAGGAATGAGAGCTAGTTATTCTCTCACCGGTTTCGCACAAGTTGACAACGTACTGAGACGGTTTTCACAATTAGTACATCAGTAAGTACCGTCATGACTTGGAACATATCAGAATCATCAGTTGATGCAGCAGTTTCCATGTTCATGCGGTTAGTGAGTATCGCGGCTAGTTCTAGAACACACGCAGGGATCCATTCTTAGTGGCTAGCCTCACAACTGCACCATCAGCTTCCATTTTTTTCTATCATGCTCTTAACAAATCCCATCCAGCGCTCCACTGTATAAACACTTACAACCTCTCACTTTCTTGATATAATTGAACCTCATAAACAATCCAACAAACTCGAGACAATTCCCAGTGAGAGCCTTTATATCTCAGCTGGTATCTGCAAAACACACATTCACTCAATTCACTGAGTGAAGGCATATACAACACAAGCCAAACCACATTATGCTTAAGCGGTTCCCGCGCTTTATCATCACACGTCTAAACAACTACCACCGCCACACACCATCAGCCTTTCGCTTTTCTAGCACAATGTCCAAGGACGATCAGCAGCAGCCTGCGCAGGCAGAGACCAATGGCAACAAGAACCCCCTCCCACTACCAGCCCCAGGCTCAGACACCGCCGCCTCTAACAGCAGGGGGGATGGCGTGACGGAGCTACGTGTTGGAGAGTCTGTCGCACTCGACTCCATGGGGCCCCTCGTGGTCAACAGAGATGGGACCATGGGTAGGATTGGAAACTGGGCGGGCATGACGGAGCATGAAAAGGCGCAGACCTTGAGGTTGTTGGGAAAGAGGAACAAGGAGCGGATGGATGTTCTTAAAGCAAAAAAGGCAGCAGAGGAGGGGCAGAAATGAGAGTGAGATAAATGTTCACAATGGCAATTTTGGCAAATGAGACGAGAAAGCGAAAGACGTACATATGGTCACGACATGAGTGAAAGCGAGTAGCAGGTTTGGATGTGAGAAGAGTTCTATTATTAACTCAATAAACACTAGCTTTTCAAAAAAGCGTGGTTTCTTCGGACCAAAGAGTGTTGAACATGGAATAAGAAACTAGTTACGGAAACGATTTATCGTATGCCCGTTGATATCATGACAAGTAAAACAAAAACCTCCACCCAGTCTGTCGTGTCGTCCGAACCCAGGGACTGGTCTCTATCAATTGCTTTAGGCAATCGTATATTTATACCCATCTCTCACTCCCTCGCTATACCCCGTGAATTTTTAATGTTGTGTATGTGCCGTGCCGGGCAGCCTTGATAGCCATACCCAATGTATCATCATCATGCTCCTTATACCCCCAGATATTGTTGAAAAGATCAGAAATAACGCCACGTAGCCCCCACTAGATGCAAACCGAGCCAGAAGAAACGCCGTCCGGCCTTCTTCATTAAAGGTCGTCCCAAGATTTTGCTTCACTTTCTTAGTTTCGTTGGATCACCTTGTCTCATCCTTAACGGAGGACTTGGCTTTTGACTCGGGCTTGTTGGTGTTCTTGGATGCGGCGAACTCCTTCCATAGAGCAATGATCTCATCGTTGCCCTCGTTCTTATCAACCAAGAGGTTCTTAAGCCACTTGTTCTCGGTCTCAAGCTGTGACACCTTGCTCTCCAAGACAGACACCTTTTCGGACATCTCCTTGGCAGACTTCTCGAGGGCTTGCTCACGCTGCTTCTTCTTGATGCGGAAGCGAGCGCTGGCGGCAGTGTTGCGTCTTCGCTTGTCCTCTTCAGCAGCATGGCGAGAGGCTTCTTCGAAGTTGAGGGATCCGCGTCCGGAACTGCCGGAACTCTCAGAGTTGCGCTTCTCGAGCGAAGGCTGAGGAGCAGTTGGCTGAGTAAATTGGGGAGCTTGCTGCTGCTGTGTCACAGACTGGTAGTTGGTAGGGGCACTAGGCTGCAGAGGAGCAAAGTTCTGAGCGCCATCGGCAAAGGCGGTCATGGGGGTTGATGGATAAGGACCTGTGAAGTCGGGGAAGCTGAAGTCGCCTGCCATGGTATGGTCAGTTGATGTCGAGAAGAGTCAAGTATCATGACTGAAGTAAAGGAAGAGATAATAGGCTTGTGGAGTTGACGAGTAGTCATTGTCTTGCAGAGACACTTGAGGTCTGGGGAAGAGGCTATCCCAACTTGGGAAGTGGTAGTGAGGTGCAGGGATGGCGATGTCGTGATTAGTATCGGCAAATCACGAGATATTGCGCCATAGTCACCATCGTCCATATGGCCACTAGTGTCCAGCTTAAGACCCTAGGCCTCTGCCACACTCACGCAGACCTGCATAGAGGGACAACTTGTCCCAATGATCCAAGGGCGCTATGCAGGCACACAGCTTAGGACAAAGGTCCCAAAGAAGGGTGGGGTAAGTAGAGTTGAATGCTGGTATAGCGGTAAGACGCTCTTCGTTGCCTTCACGCAAGGGTCCTGGCTATCCGCTTGGACTGTGGCCATGCGTATGGTATGGTGGAGTGAAGAGAGCAGTATAAGCGATAGTAGTGCTGCTTCAATGTCAAGTTTCGGCCACTCGTAATAGCCCAGAAGAAGGAAGGTTCGGGAAAACCTCTGTCTTCTGCGGTAAAACGCAATGGCACTGATTCTCTGTTTTGATGCAGATCCCTCTCACTCAAATGCGACGTCTTCTCGATCCAAAGTTCGGCATCATTTTGAGGTGGAAAGTGTCGTAACACAGAAAAGTCGAGAACTCACCCTGCATGAAATCAAAGTTGCCAGTAGCGATATCACCCACGACAGAGGGAGCCGGGGTCATTCCATCCGAAGGAGAAGTGCTTTGGGAAGCCTCCATGTCGACCTTGACAGGATGGGCCTGGTAGTCGGTGTTCTGACCAGTCTCAAAATCAAAGAATTGAGTGTTGGTAAAGAGGGCGAGGTCCTCCTCCATATGGAAAGGCTCATCGTGAGCATTCTCCTGACGGTTGACGGCGTTGAGGTCACGGAGATACTGCGACACGTTGGGGCCGCGGCGGCCGTTGAAGTTTGACATTTTGACGTATTAAAACGAAACAAATGACTCCTCCTTCAATTGATTTCCAAAGCAGTAACTGCTCCTTTTCCGTGTCTTTAGTCAATCGATGGTCGGTTGATGTTTCAACGTCGAGTCCGGAAACGGCTCAGCTATGGGCGGGGTCTGTGTAGACAAATTTGCCAACGGCTGAAGATGACTCAATACTAACAATCAGTCACAGGTCGATAGCCGCGTATTCGGTAGAAAATTCGAGCGTTCGTGGTCGTATCCCAGAGTAGATATGGACAATGAGTCTATTCCGAGGTCGATTCTGGAGGTTTGGGGAAGGAAGTGGAGGAAAGAAAGAAGTGCGCTGGGGTCAAGGCAAGTCAAGTTGGTTTTCTGAAAGTGGGTGCAACTTTGCAAGGCCGATTGACGCCGAAGCCACTACGCAGATGGTTTAGTGGAGTGGGTTGATGTTTGGGGAGTCCGTGGGCGGTGGGTTAGTGGGTAGTGAACTGAGCACAGTCACTGGATAAGAAGGACCCTCCCTGGGAAGGCTTAGTTGTAACGAGACCCAACCTTTTCGACGATGGTGGCCTAGAACATGGGGGCATCTCCGCGAATGGGGAGGAGAGCAAATAGCCGTGAATGTCGCAATGGTAATATCAACATGATCCTGTGGTTATGTTTGTTGATGTTCTTTGTTCGTATTCATTTTAATTTACTGGTCTGCTCGCATGTCTCGCTGTATTCCCTCTTTCGTAACTTAATAGAGGTTTGTGATGTACAACAAGACCATAAAATTCTGCTTACCAAGCTCCCGACTCGGAGCAGGATGACCTGCATATGGGCTGGCATTTTGCTGAATAATTCAAAATATCAGCCGGAACTTGAACCGTCATTGACTTCCAAGTCCCTCGCGTCAAACCATGACACCCACCCGCCCCACGTTAATGACCACTAGAGTTACAGCAAGACCCTGCGTTGTGCTGTTTTTACCACAATCAGCCATTCAAACAGGCGCCGTAAGCAGCTGGCCGGGGGAGCAAAAGGCCGCTGATTTTATGTGCTATGCTAAGAGGGATGTGATTTGCTTTGCAGACTAAAGATATCATGCAACCAAGTCTTCCAGTTTGACAGCGATTTATACATCACCAAGACCACTCACTCTCTGTGTGTTGAGTTGTGTGGTTAAAATTCCAACTCCCCGCCCCCTGCATATCGGGCGGATGTGGATATCTCTTATTTCATGGGTAGCTTCTTCGTCTCCATTACTCACCAAGTGTCCTTTACCATTCCTATGAGTGATTATTCTGCCGGAGTCTAGGATTGCCAGCCAACGTGGGTCAATCCGTTTCAATCGGTGATGATTTCTCATGCGGCAAGGCATGGCGGATAAAGAGCCTCAAAACCCCCCACTTGCACATGCCTCTTAATTTGGAGTTGCACATCAGACAGCGTGCTTCATTCGTTCAGGAAGGGAAATTGAAACTTGGTAGGACGCCACGGAACGTGGGCAATGGTCACACAACCACCTGAACCCTTCCCTGTAAAGGCGTATTCGGACAGCGTCGGGGAGTTCGTTCAATTCCGCATCCTGAGCCATGCCATGGGACTCAGAACTAACCCCATCGTTATAAGACTGTGTCTTTGATTTTCGCTAAGTCTAGCTTCTTGCGCTGGGCCGAAAAATCGGTGTAAGAAATCCGCGCACAAATGGGTTTCGCCAATAACACTCTATAGATAAAAGGTTTTGTTTCTCACCAGGTTGGACTTCGAGATCTCTCTCTCTCTCGTTGAAATTCAAGAGTCACTCATAAGATCAGCAGCTCTGAAAAGCCGATCTGTGGCCATCGTACAGAGTAGACCTTGGACTATTGGACTTGACCCCCACTCATATATGTACATGGTCGACAATTAATCACATTTTCGTCTCGACCATGTCCAGGATCAACTAAGACATGTTCTTTCCGTCGTCGTGCATAAAATAGGCCCAGCTTCATGGGACTCACCCACGGCTGGCACTGGCTACCGTGCGGCACAGCTGAATATTTATGGATTCTCAAGTGGCCAAACGGACTTGTTTCTCTTACGCGCCTGATTAAGATGATCCAAGGAAAAACCATTGGCCATTTGTTGGTTAATAGTCTCTGAAGCTATTAAACCGAACTCCAAAATTGTCTCCATCCGGAACCCTTGAGCTTTCACCCGTATATCTTCCGTGAACTCCCCGTCACAGGTGGAGCCACCGCACAAACTCCGACAAAGAAAGTGTCCCCGGTTTGAAAAACAACCCGCTCGCCTACGGCCCCAGATCACTAAAGGGAATTCATGACACATATTTTCGAGGATCTGAGTGATAATCTGCCTTACTTCGGATCTATTGATATCATCGACGATACCTCACGAAATTGCTTCGCTCTCACAGTCCATTTTGGTGGCTACCGAGCCCTTGAAATCTGCCGGACTAGATCTGCAGTGCAAGCCAAGGCAGAACGTCATAGCCCCTGCTCATGGCTGACGCGGGGGCTTCTAAGGTCCTACAAAACCAATGCAAAGAGAGCCCTGAACCGTTGCAGAAAATCAATTCCTAGGGCGGACCGCGGTGTCGTCAATAATTTGCCTCCGTCAGGTCGAAGTCACGTTCGAATCTAACGGTAACGTTCATCAGACTAACAGTGGAGATGCTGTCCCTTGAGTGGTGGAACCGTCTTATCTGGTCTTTGACAAGAGCAATGAGGCATTGAAAACTCCCAACCAATCAGTTGAGTGCAATCGCATCTCCGAATCCGTCCATACTCACCTCCGAGTCCACACATTAAAAACCGAGCTTCAGCTTCAACTCCTTTTTTCTTGGTGAGATTGTTATCCCGAAGAAAAACGGAAGATGAAACAATATGGTTTTGAGGGACGATGTCCTTTGCCATAATCGCGACCTGATTTGGACCTGCTCCAAAAAGCTCAATCACATGACCTATCATGTGCTCTCAGTCACGTGAGCGGTAACAGAGAGACAATCCGTTCGACAAGACTTGGTCATGGCCCGTGCATGTTGGCTGCTATTCCTTGTTGGTCTGGTAAGAAACGCGACTCTAAAGTGAATGTATCGCGTCTCATGAGTGAATCTATAAGCATATGTTATCGGGTTTTCTATTCTAAGAGATCAGTAAACTACCCTGGTCCAACTCAACACCAACCAGGAAAAAAGATTTGTGGTTTAGCCTTGTGTATGCCCCATTTTGGATTTCCAACTCCAGTCTTTGTGACTAAGTTGCTATAAAACAAAACAAACAACAAAACAATGGCCCGCTTCTCAATCCCAACAACAGCCAGGTTACCATCCTCATTACGAGTCCATGCTTCCAATCCTGCTGTTATCAAGAGCCTCAACCGACTATCACGAGAGTCACTTATCTCCTTGGCATTAGACTGGCTCGACGATGAGAGTCTACCCAATGCCGTACCCTATATCGAAAGGAAGAATGAGGAAGATGAGGAAGAAAGCGATGACATTTATCCTCCCTGTCAATCAGTTGACGATTTGCAGCAACTTTACATTGACATGCAACACCAAAAAGGGTCAAAAAGAGATGTCGTTAGCAGAATTGTCGAAGGTGACTGGAGGATTGGTCTGACGCTATATCAATTGGCCATGGCAGATATGGCCTATTTCGAACAGAACCCAATATCTCAAAGATGGACAGCATATTCGATTCTGCCCTTGAAACAGCCATCTCAAGCCGCTGGCGAAGACCAAATGCTCAAGGTTGATCAAGAGAACCTGAGAATTCCACGATTTCACCCCTCAACATTCCTACAAAACCTTCAAACTCATGTGTTACCGGACGTCAAGGCGCATTATCACTTTCACAGACCAAAAGATATACCTGTCTTGCTCTTGCGGATATTTGTCGTTGACTCGCCCTATAATACCGACTTTGCCCTGTCAGGCCGAGACGCTGCTGGCACTGCGACTAACTTCGACTCGTCGAGAACTGTGTACATCGCTTTTCCAGACGGATCGCCTTCACTTTATATTACCAAATCCCAAGCCACTGGTTCTGTTGCTTCAGGCGATCTGAAGAGTCTGCAAAGCTTGATCGTCGATGGAGTCCCCAAGGCCCTCTCACGTCCTCGTGAACGATACACCCTCAAAGCAGGCAATCTTTCCAGCAAGAACCTGGAGGTCTTATTAGAAAAGAATGGATCTGGTCGCACAAACGCTGCGGGAGGTGGCTGGAGCATCTATTCTAGCGAATCAACAAAAGTGTCGCCATTAGACACCGTTCTCCCAAGTCCGCCATTATCTCGAGAATCGTCGTTCAACAACCTCAAACGTGGAGCGCCATTGACCCAATCACAACAGGCATCAAAAAAGGCAAGGCTTACTGCAAAAGCTCGATTCGGTGATTCGGCTATTGTCACGGATGGAAAGGGAGTGGAAAAGGTTGACATAGTCATACAAGATCCATTTCCTTCTACAAGTGTGGACTTAAGCGAACCAGGAGGCGAAGAGAACGAGCAGGGCAACACAGAACATGGCAGCAAAAATCGACGGAAGAGCAAGATTACCGCAGTCATTCAGGAGGCAAATGCTACAACAGAAGAGGACAACAGAAACGATGCAACCCCATCTCAACAATGGACGCCCACTGTCAAAATTACGTTCTCAGGAACTCACGTTTGGGCTGGCGTACGGCAACTTGTCGAGGCTGGGATAATCGATGGAGAACAGATGCCCGGGTGGATGACGGGTGAGGAGGGTGTGACAACAGGACTTGTGAGGCATGGAAGAATACGCGGGTACAAAGGCTCTGGCATATGAAAAGGTGTTGGATCTATATGGTGCATAGTCTATGTCTTTCTTCTCTATTTGATACCCCCATGACGAATCAACATGTCAAAACGTTTCTAGTTCTCCTCGAGTCCAAAGACCTTTACTGTGTTTTTCCACGCAGCTTCGCAAACCTCCTCAATACTGACCTCCTTAATTCCTGCAATAATCTTGGCGACTCGTTCAATGTTACAAGGCTCGTTGCGTCCCTTGACCATGGCCCCCTCTTCCCACTTCTCCTTCTTCACGATCTTGTATCTTTCTGGCACCTCGGGCTCTTTCTTCTGGTTCTTCTTGGACTGCTTTTGAGGTTTCTGCGCAGGTTCAGCAGCAGCAGTTCCGTTCTGCTCGTTCTCAGGTACGAGGGTGTCTTTCTTCTTCTCGATCAGGTATTTGTAACCCTCGTGACTTGGTCGAACTTCGCACCAGGGTCCATCAGTCTCGATCATGAGACGGTCGAGGTGAACCTCCTTAACGACAGCGCAGTTCTCGGCAGTCTTGAAGCTACACCCGTTGATACCAATGTGCAATCCCAATTCCATCAGCTCGCGCATCTCCTCGGCTGTACCAGTGAAACTATGCACCACGCCGCCCTTCTCCAACTTCTCCAGCTTTTCGCCAAATGCCTCCTTCAAGAGCCGGACAAAGTCCTCATGAGCGGCTCGAGAATGCAAGAATAGCGGGAGCTGGGGAGATATCGAAGCAGCGACCTTGAGTTGAGCAGCAAATGAGTGAAGCTGGATAGTCTTGGAACAATAGTGCAGACGGTCATAGTCCAGACCGAACTCGCCCATAGCAACAAGGCTCTTCTGGCCTGAGGCCTGGGCCTCTGTAATAAGAGACGTGAGATCTGCAATGAGCTTCTCGGTCTTTGTTGAACAAGGAGGGTGCTCTTCCGAGACCGGAGCTGAAGGATCAGGGTCGCATGGCGTTGTGTGCTCAGACTCGTGAGAAGGGCCCGCTTCGCTGAAGACGGCACTGCTGCAGGGATGGATGCCTGCAGTCCCAAAGATGGTCCCGGCTGTTGACGAGATTTAGTCTGATTATCTGATCTGATTGATAAACAGGGGACAAAAACTTACGATAATCTTTGGCAAGGGTAAGGGCATCTCGGGAGTTGGCCAGATCCGAGCCAGTCACTATGAGTTTTGTACAGCCAACTTCACGGGCTCTTCCAATAATGGCATCGAGATCATCGGGATGTCTCTCTTTGCCATGGTATTTTCCTCGAAAGATGGGGTCGGTAAGATTGATGCCAATCTACTAGTCAAACATGTGTTAACGGGATCTGATATCAAAAGTATGAAACCAGTGGGGCCGGATATAGTAGAGACAATTGGAATTTAACATACATCAATGTATCTGGGTTCGTAGCTAGAGCCATTAACAGGTTGAGTTGCTGTAGATGAAGCCATTCTGCGAAAGTCGAAGGCTTGGGTTCTGGGACTTGAAGTCCTGAAACCACTGGTGACTGAAGACTGAAAACAATTCAAAAGACGCCTCGATGTCATTGACTTTGAGTATCTTTTGTCGACTCAATAGTGAGTCACTGAGTATCTTGTTGCCTTGCAACTGTAATTTCTAGATGCCTTTTTTTAGACCAGAGCGTAGCCAACAAGGCAGGTAATTTCGCTTTGCGTCGTTGATTGGTTGTAGAGTCTACGCAAGGTCACATCCTCCAGTCAACCTGGTGTCCAAGCTCAGTTAGTTGTAGGTAATTTCACCGCTTGCTTACAGAGCCAACATGCAATTAATAATTTGGAGTGGCTTCACGTGACTTCGCGCCGTCGATTGACCCCTCTGAAACCCCACCAATGCTCTGGCAACGCAAAATCACACGGAAGACATGAAAAGCGATATCGGAAAGGGAAGGAAGAACAATGGCACTTTAGAGGTTAAAAATGCATAGAATTATATTATATCACAGTTAAGAAGTGCTCAGGATGTCCATTGAGACTAATCAACCCATTGTTTTCACGTAAATTACAGTTTTGAAAAGTCTTTGTCTACCTCAAATGGGGCGTTGCCTTAGGTTTCAGGCGGGGTCTTTGTTAATGGGTTGTTACGTCCCTGTCGCTGTTTTACGCGCTAAGAACTTGGCGTCGCGTCTGTTTTACGCGCTCTCCTTAAAACCACCTCCATCATCCACCCAAATTCGAATTTCTCATCTCCTCAACAACCACAAATCAAACACACCCGAAACTCTTGTAATAATTCTCACGTTTCCTTTCAACAAAGCGTCAACCCTTCCGGACGCTCTTCAGTTCTTTAACTGCTTCAATCTGCAGGAACAGAACCTACACCAATCTCACACCGACCTCCCCGCCTTTTTCTCCCACCGCTATCATGTTTGTCAGAAAGAGAGGTATGTATGATCTGGCCACGCAAGGGCTCATGGTGACCATACGAAGACTCTCAATAGCTAACATTCATCTTAGATGGCCGCCAAGAGCGTGTTCAGTTTGATAAGATCACTGCTCGTGTCTCAAGACTGTGTTACGGTCTCGACATGAACCACGTTGACCCCGTTGCTATCACCCAGAAGGTCATTTCCGGTGTTTACGGCGGTGTCACAACTATTCAATTGGACGATCTTGTAAGTGGCTTATGCATCATAACCGTTACAACCTCAACTAACCAGGTTTCCACAGGCTGCAGAAACTGCTGCGTACATGACTGTTACACACCCTGACTACGCCATCCTCGCTGCCCGTATTGCCGTCTCCAACCTTCACAAGCAAACCAAGAAGCAATGGTCCGCTGTTGTGAGCGACCTCTACCACTGGGTCAACCCCAAGAACGGCCGTGCATCGCCCATGATCTCTAAGGAGACTTATGAGTGTGTTATGAGACACAAGGAAGAGCTAGATAGCGCTATTGTTTACGACCGAGACTTGTAAGTTGTTGGCATATGCATCATGACCGTTACAACATCAGCTAACCCGATTCAAGCCAATATAACTTCTTCGGTTTCAAAACATTGCAAAGGTTAGTACAATGGCGTTTTTTCACGGTTTTCAGTGTCTAATACTGACTGCTTTAGGTCCTATCTATTGAATATTGATGGCAAAATTGCTGAGCGTCCTCAGCACATGATCATGCGTGTTGCTGTTGGCATCTGGGGTGATGATATCGAGCGTGTCTTGGAGACATACAACTTCATGTCCAGCAAGTTCTTCACTCATGCTTCCCCCACACTTTTCAACGCTGGTACCCCTCAGCCTCAGCTGTCCTCATGCTTCCTTGTTGATATGAAGGAGGATAGCATTGACGGTATCTACGACACCCTCAAGACTTGTGCCATGATTTCCAAGATGGCTGGTGGTATCGGCTTGAACGTTCACCGAATCCGTGCCACTGGCTCTTACATTGCCGGTACCAACGGTACTTCCAACGGCGTTGTTCCCATGCTGCGTGTATTCAACAACACTGCTCGTTATGTCGACCAGGGTGGCAACAAACGACCTGGTGCATTCGCTATCTACCTTGAGCCCTGGCACGCCGACGTCTTTGAGTTCCTTGATCTCCGAAAGAACCACGGTAAGGAGGAGGTCCGAGCTCGTGACCTGTTCCTGGCTCTCTGGATTCCTGATCTTTTTATGAAGCGTGTCGAGAAGAACAGCGAATGGACTCTTATGTGCCCCAACGAGTGCCCTGGTCTTGCTGACTGTTACGGTGACGAGTTTGAGGCTCTGTACGAGAAGTACGAGAGAGAGGGTAAGGGTCGCAAGTCTATCAAGGCTCAGAAGCTTTGGTACGCCATTCTCGAGGCCCAGACAGAAACCGGAAACCCCTTCATGCTCTACAAGGATCACTGCAACCGCAAGAGCAACCAAAAGAACCTTGGTACCATCCGAAGCTCCAACCTGTGCACTGAGATCATTGAGTACTGCGCCCCTGATGAAGTCGCTGTTTGCAATCTTGCGTCCTTGTCTCTGCCTTCTTTCATTAACTATGAAGATGCTTGCTACGACTTCAAGAAGCTCCACGATGTTACTCAAGTCGTTGTCCGCAACTTGAACAAGATCATCGACGTAAACCACTACCCTGTGCAAGAGGCTCGCAACAGCAACATGCGTCACCGACCCATTGGCCTTGGTGTTCAAGGTCTTGCTGATGCTTTCCTTGCACTTCGCATGCCCTTTGAGTCTCCTGAGGCTCGTGAGCTGAACAAGCAAATCTTTGAGACAATCTACCACGCTGCCCTTACCACCTCTGTGCAGCTCGCCAAGGAGGAGGGCCCCTACTCCACCTTCAAGGGCTCTCCTGCCTCTGAGGGTATTCTCCAGTTTGACATGTGGAATGTCAAGCCCTCTGACCTTTGGGACTGGGAATCCCTACGGGAGGATGTAAAGACGCACGGTATCCGCAACAGTCTACTCGTTGCTCCTATGCCTACTGCCAGCACGTCGCAGATTCTTGGCAACAACGAGTGCTTCGAACCCTACACCTCCAACATCTACCAACGCCGAGTCCTTGCTGGCGAATTCCAGGTTGTCAATCCCTGGCTTCTGAAGGATCTTGTCGACTTGGGTCTCTGGTCCGATGCTATGAAGAACCGTATCATTGCTGATAACGGTTCTGTCCAGAACATCCCCAACATCCCTGCCGATGTCAAGGCTCTGTACAAGACTGTGTGGGAGATTTCTCAGCGACAGGTTGTGCAAATGGCTGCGGACCGTGGTGCCTTCATTGATCAGTCTCAGTCTCTCAACATTCACATGAAGGACCCTACCATGGGTAAGATCACCAGCATGCACTTCGCTGGCTGGAAGCTCGGACTCAAGACCGGCATGTACTACCTCCGTACACAGGCTGCTGCGGCTCCTATCCAGTTCACTGTCGATCAGGAAGCTCTCAAGATTGCCGACACCAGCGCTGCTTCGATTAAGCCCCTAGGGAAGCGCGCTCCTCCTGCTGGGTCAAGCTATTCGATGTCCTCACCTGCTGCTATGGGTCAGAGTGGCATCAATGGCAACAGGACCGGCTCCCAGGACGGTGGGTTAAACGGTAATTCCGCCAACGGCGTGAATGGCAGCACATCTATTCCTGGTCGTGCCCCCGTCATCAAGGCTGACGTCGCCGAGGGTGACAGCCCCAAAGCCCTTCCCACTGAGCCTGCTGAAAAGGTCCAGGAGGAAGAGCTTGGAATGAAGAAGAACACTCAGTCTGAAGACCAGGGTGAGGACAACGAGGATCGCGAACGCGATATCTACTCAGAGGCTGTCTTGCAATGTAGCATTGAAGATCCCGAGTCCTGCATCATGTGCAGTGGTTAGGCACATAATGTACTTTGCATGTGTATTTACGACAATGGATGAGTTGAATGTTTTGGGGGACATGATACGATACAGCGAGGAAAGGTAATGTGGCTTAGAATTTGATGTTTGGTCATGTATAGTTATGTTGGGTGGCAATGATCCTGTTGGACATGCTTGTTATGGAGTACGTTATTAGGTTTTTGATACTTGAGACCCTGGCGGCTCACTCTAGTCGTGGCAATTGCTATAGATAGTTTACGCTGATGCTTGTGCATTGCTTTGAATAATTGTTATTTTGCCATGCCCTTTTTCTTGCAAAGGTATCGATGTGCACACGATGTAGAACTGAGGTATTGTTATCAAATGCAGTATTTGGTACAGCCTGAGAAATATTTGACCGAAGTACCATCGCATGTAGCAGACAAGTTAAGCTCTGGATTCTGCAGAGCAGGAAAACAGGCCGTCCAAGAGCTTGCCCAAAGTGGCCTAAACTGATCTACTAATTCTGCCTTCCTTGCTTCACGGTTGAGTTTTTTACTCCTCAGTGATAGCACTTTCACCGGCCCGCCCGGTTCAACGTGGTGATCAATGGTCAGCCACCAAAGTCAATGCTAACGATCATATACCAATCCAGAAAATCTCACATCTTACGGAACCCTATTTTATTGTATTTGAATTTGAACAAAAAAGAGAGAAAGTCAAGAGGACGATCGAAGTAAGGGCAAAAACATGGCCACCCTAGAGTGCAAGGGTGCAAACTACTGTTTGCTTTGTTACTCATTTGGTAGTACACGAATGAAACCAACACCTGATGAACTATTCGGTTTCAGAGTATGCACCAGCCTCGCAATTAGACTACAAATTACTTGGTATTGAAAGGGAGGGTTGGCGAACTGGACATTGCGACAAAAAAAAAAAAAAAAAAAAAAAAGGGAGAATCAGCCACGATGTGCGACCTGCAAGTCAGATGCAAGTCAGATGGTGGCTGGAACGAGCAAGATGTCTCAGCTACGAAATGCTATGATCGGAGCGACGTTCCGGGCTCCATTACAGATAGTGTTTGCTGTCTTTTTCGACACAAACATCTCCATGTAAGATCAACAATCAACCATGATGGAGATCGTGGATAGATCATGTTTATCACACGATCGGAAAAGAAACATGAAACGACAAAACTGCCAGTTGGCAGGATTGTCATGATGACGGGACGGAAACGTTGTATTACTTTGCATTGCATAGAGATGAAAATGAAACTGGGGAGGCCTGAGGGTGGTGAGTGACGTTAGGATGGATGGATCCTGAACTATGGTCCAGGCTTGACACTACAAGGTCCAGGCCAGGCCGGTCCAGCTCGACAAGGTCCCTCACCGTGATAGAAGCTAGAGAGGTTGAGCTTGGACCACACGCGAGAGAGGGAAAAAACCGATGATGATGCGGTCCATGACATCAAAGGCCCATATTTTGGCAGGTCCCCTGGTCTGTTTGGCTCTCGATTTGTGGCTTGAGTGGCTTGGCCCGCTGCGTGGCCAGTCTGGGCACAGTTCATCAGAGCCAGCTGAACAGGGAACAGAGCATAACAGAGCTCGATTGAACGTTGAAATGGATATTGGATGGATGTTTATGGGTACAGTGTAAGTGGAACGATAGAGTGAGTGACTCGGCTCGAGTGGGGTTGGCCTCCAAAAGATCAAGAATGAGAGCATTTTCCTCTGGCAAATGCGATGGATGGATTCTGTGGAAGTTGAGCGAAAACCTGATACAAGATAATAATGCGAAATGAAAACTGGGATATTCGGCATGATTGTACGGATACTGACAAATGACAATCGGACATAATAATATTGGGCACAAATTGAACATGTCTGTGTTATCTGTTCCTGAGACATGTACGCACCCTTTCATCACTAGCATCACCATATCTCTAACCCATCCCATCTCAATCGAGAAAAAGTTCCCCAGGAAAAAAGAAGAACATGATTCCGCCTCCCGGTTGCCAGGGGATCGAGAGGGCTAGTGCAGCAAGTTGATTTGAACTTGTTTTTGGGTGATTGCCAAGGATAGACTGGCGCAGGGGTAATTGACGAATCGGAGTCAGCCGTAGCACCACTGGCCTAACGACGATTGACCTCACTAAGATTTTGAGGATTGGGTACTTCGTACAGAATACACGATATCACACGTATTATGGGCTAGCCGCCAAGTACTTGTGATGCTGGGGATCAAAGTCCAGGGCAACGAAACTGTGATTGCTTGGTAGAGATCACAATTTCCGTGACAGGAACACAACACAACATGACTTTTGATAGGCGCAGCACAGAAGTCAGGCAAGCACCCCAGATTGGCAATCGTCATGCCCGCTTCTTTCCTTCATGCCTGCTCACAATTCTGGTCTGTTTGAGGCCGTGATTCCGGCTCGGCATACGAGGTCTTTCTTGCCTGCTTTGATGTATTAGATCGTTCTCTACCGTCTCTCTGGGAAGGTGTACACAGAGACTTCCGTCATAGACCAGAGATAATATCCAGTTTTTTCGTGGCTCGTCAGCTCCAGCTCTGTCTTTGCCTCTTGCTAGTGGTAGGACCGACTCAACTGTGCGCGACACGAAGCTTTGGCTAGGTAGCCTGTACAGCGTGCAAAGAACACTTAAGTTTGGGTTATTCAGGTGCACTAGCACATTAGCAAATAGGTTAGACCAAACGAGGACATCGAGTTTCGGGTTGAACAGGTAGACTACATGCGAATATTACCTACTTTGTCAATCGTGTTTTGCGAGGTATCCCAAAGCTCTGTGCGCCATGAAGTGGGTGCCGATGCGGGTGGTTGGCGATCTAGCGTGGCAGCCCGTCTGCTCCCCAGCAGGTACCCAAGTCAGTAGGTCGCAGCAATCACCCACCTATTGGGGCTTTTCTTCTTCTTCTTTTCCTTGTTGCTTCTTCGGCTGCTCCTTGATAATGTGTGTAATCTAATACTGAAAGCTTTTTCAATCGCATCAAGCATATTGCATTCGCTTAGGATATCGATACTTTGTTGGCGGAGCAAAGGACCCACGCAAAGTTCCAGAGTCTGTAAGCACCTTAACTAGGAGACCGCCGCAAGGACTTACACCAACTTCACTGACGTGGTCAAGTATCGTTGACAAGGGTAAACCAAGTATGTACACACTCTGTACTGTGCTGTGCAGCCCATTGCATCCAATGGTCTGACCTCATCGTGTACCTCAAGACTGCATTGACGTCTGAATCTGAACATGAGTTGCTCGCATTGACTCAATTTCCATAGCGGAGGCCTGGATCAAAAAAGAAAAACAATTGTAATTGACTTGGCTCATCACAATGTCCTTCTGTCATGAGCACCCTTCAGATAGCATCATAACCTACCAGGGGGCCTCCGTCCGTGTCTTTGGCGGTCCGGGCAGTCTAGTTTAGCGGTGCTGTAGGTACCCAGTGAAGTGGACCTCCAGCTCCGGTTACTAGGGTCCTGTTAGCGTGGGCCCCTCCCGCGCGTTGGGTCGCTCCAAGCCAACCAGCTAGGTTAGGTACGTACTTTGCAGATTTACGCTTCAATTTGTGATGGAAGTTTCCTCTCAATGCAAGATGGACGTAGACGTAGACAGAACCCCAGGGAGGTTGGCCAGGCCAAATCGTGCCGTGCTTTCCCTGCCAGACCGCCAATGCCAAGTTGGGAACCGTATTTTTTAGGCAGGGGAGCTAAGCTTGCCTGCCTTGTAATCGCTCTTGCCTTACGGATACCCCCAACGCAGCACAGCTCGCACCTGCCAGCTTAACGTAAACAACCGTCACGCCAAGATCAAGATTCTGGTTTCCACCTCCCACCTCCCACTTTCCACTCTTGCCTGCCCTTATTAAAGCAACAACTTCTCCCTCTCGTTCCAGGTCAATATCAGTCAAGATTCTTCATTCCAACACCTCACACATCCTCTCCCCAGAAACTCTAGGCCAGTCTCACTTCGTCTCACTCTCACACGAGATCGATCGCCTTCGTTGTCACATATTACTGTAAGTCACTATCACTTGATTTCTGTTCCAGATATCCTCTTCTTCCCGTTTTGCTGGCACCTTCTTTGGTTGCCTGCAAGATTCCTTCATTCCAACTCTGCGTTTGTGTAATTCGGCACCGGAACGTAAGCACTGGAAACCATATTGCGAGCCGCCCAGGGCTACACACGTTGCTCTCGGCTCTTCCATACCTCGAGTGATACACGTCTCCTTGTGTCTCACGCAAACATCACTCGCGTGCCTTAGGCGCAGGCCTCCTGGGCTCGCACTTCATTTATTCACAGGGTCGCCGCCCTTGCTGGCAGTGATTCGTTACCCATCTTCCTCTCGCTCCCCTACTCGCCTGCTTCGCTTGCAAACCCACCTTCGTTACCTTCGCCTTCTTTCTGTCGCTACAAAGACCGCCTCAGTTCTTGACTAACTCACTGCTCAGACTCCGATCCAATCAATCAAAATCGTCAAGATGAAGTCTTCTCTCCTCACCGTTTTCGGCCTGGTTGCTGCCGCCGCTGCCCAGAGCTCCGGCGACCTCCCTCAGTGTGGTGTAAGTAAAGATCTCAAATGCCTAATAAACCATCGCTAACTCGCCACAGCAAACTTGTGCCAGCAACATGATCAGCGCTGCCAAGTCCCAGGAGCTTGGATGTGATGCTGGTGACGTTAGCTGCCTTTGCACCAACCAGGACTTCATCTACGGTCTCCGTGACTGCTCCGCTGCTATCTGCAACGACGAGCAGGCCGCTGCTGTTATCGCCTACGGTCTTGCCCTCTGCCGCCAAGCTGGTGTCCAGATTACTACTGGTAGTGCTGGCTCCGTTTCGGCCTCTGCTACTGGCACCGGTGCCGTTCGAACTGTCCTCAGCACCCTCGTTGAGAGTGACACAACCATCACTTCCGCCGTCTCCACCATCAGCGGTACTGCCACTGGCGGCAACGAGGACGACCTCTCCGTCAGCACCTACACTAGTGTTTTCACCAACTCTGCGGGTGATGAGGTTACCAGCACCATCAAGGAGATCCTCGGTGGTGTTGCCCTGACTACCTACACCTCTGGTGGATCCACCATCATCGAGCCTGTCGAGACTGCCTCTGCCTCTGACTCTGCCTCTGCCTCTGCCTCTGCCTCTGACGGGACTGAGTCCGCTGAGGTCACTACCTTCACCACCGACGGCACCGAGGTCGTCCGAACTCTCGTCACCGAGACTGCTTCTACTGACTCTGCCGACTCTGCTGAGGTCACCACTTTCACCACCGATGGCACCGAGGTCGTCCGAACTCTCACTACCGTTACCACCGGTACTGAGTCCGAGTCCGAGTCCGGATCCGTGTCGGAGACTGTTACTGACGCCTCCACCGTCACCGAGGGCTCTGACACTGCTACCGGCACTGATGCCGCGGCCAGCGCCACCTCTACTGAAGCTGACAACGCTGTAAGTTGACATAGAAATACGTACCCTCTGAATATTTACTAACTGTTTATAGGCCGTCGCTCAGATGACCGGTGCCCCTATTGGCGTCATCGCAGCTGCTGGTATCGCTATGCTCCTCCTTTAAATGAAGGATGGACCGGATTTTGATGTTTAATGCTTTTACGTTGCACATGTTTGTTACATAATTCACGCCTGTACCTCGATCTTTTGGGACCCTTAGCATATTTCCTCGGTGCAAGGAGTCGGTTTGCGGAAGAATCTTCACATTATGGAGAAATGGAAACGAGGTGAATGGACATGACAGGTCAGGTTTTTTCGAGGCTTTAATGACGGATACGGCTTATCTCTCCTTTAATGGACACGACAAGAAATGTTAGAGAACGGATGGGATCTTTGATGTTGTTTGTGAGGCGAGGCGGTGGTATGACATGGGAGACAACGACGGGAGACGGCATGCTCGTGCTGCTGTCACACAAGGCCTGTGTCGTCTTTGATGGTTACATGGGTTCTGGGATGGTGGTGATACCCGGCCTACGGCCTGACTTCGGGGGTGGACTTTACTTCTCACATTCATTGAGAATTAGTAATAGATAATCTTCTTCACAACAATGTGCCTTTTCAATTTTCTTGACTCAAGTGTGAAACGTGGAGGCGTCGTTTCTTCAAACAAACTGATTACTTGTTCTTTCTTCACAAGTGTATACCGACTAAGTTGGTTGAGGCGATCGCTGGTTTGCATATGTGTAACTTCAGTTTTGAAGACCACTTTCCAGCAACCGCATCCGGCACCTTGATCTGGGTAGTACTATAGTCGATTCATAGCAATAAAGACTCTTATGTTGAGACTGTATGCTCAACAGAGATGAAGGTGGCTGAAAGAGACGTAAAGCAAAACTGTTTTCGTATATGTTGTTATGATACCCATCCGGGTTCTAGTGTTTTAGTTGATGTTCTTTGGATTCCCACAGGTAAGGCCTCTCTGTAATCGCGTATGCTCAAACGTAGGTTTATGTAACTTTGAGATGGTGGTCAATGTAAGATCAGGGGCAAAAGTATGTATTTATTGAGACTTTGGGCTTTCTCGTTGAGTTCTTTGGAACTCTATTCTCTCCAGTGGTTATGAACTGGTTCAACCACAGTGGCGGTTTGGTTTCACAATCATGATACAGTTCCGAAACTGACGATATTTCATCATGAATTTGCTTTTTTACATACTTGGGGGAGGTGATTACTTAGAACGCAAGTAGCAATATTAGAGAGTCTGTTCATGCATTTCAGGTCAGGCTCAACAAACCTGGGAGTACTTGAACGGAGTGGGAGTCAGGGCTACAACTCTAGACCGGAGGTTCTGGATACAAGACTAACGTTTGGGAGGTGAACTTTACGTTGTCCCTAATGGACTTTGCGGTTCCTCGTTGCCCTCAACATTACATTGAATAATGAGTGGCCAGTTCCTGAATTCTAATTGCTGTTGGCAAATGCGCCCAAGTAGTAAATGTGTACCTCCCTACAATATATTGCTTCTCGCCTCTCTCGTTAACATTAGATGGTTGGGTTGAGCAGTACCTGGCAGTTGCTACTGTTTTGTCATAAGGTTTCCATCAGCAATCACCTCGCAGAGAAAGTCAGTGGCTATCCAAACACGAAAGACATTTGCTTCTCAGTGAGAACAGTCGTTCAAACCTCGTTTTAACTCAATTAAATAGCGCTGCCGTAGATGGGGATAAAATCATGTATAGCAGTGAGTGATCGCCATTTGCTACTCTTGTATCACGATCACTTCACACAGTCTAAGCAATTCTACACGTACTCTCAAGTGACGACTCGATCAGACACCGAAAACACCACGCGTGCGTCGACGAATTGGTATACTGATGTTGTCTTAAACGATTGTTCTGAAACTTCCAATACTCGTTACTAGCTGTGGAAACAGTTCTGCGTCTGGCTCTACACCATCAATCCTAATAAAAATGAAAAAGATCAGTGACCTCGGCAGTATTACACCAGCAGTACGAACAGTTGTAGATCATCTCCGTAGTTCTGGCCGTATTTCACCGTGGGGAATCGAGATAAGAGCCACTTTTGCGAGTTTACTAGTCCTTCTTAAATGGTTTATTTATTGGGAGCCATGGCTATACAATACCCTCAACCTACACCATTTTGGAAGTCTTGTGGAAAATTTCATAGACATTTTCAGAAATCCAGGATGGTTACATAACTTGTGATAAACTTAGACTTAAGAGAGAATCATGTTTTAACAGTGATGATTACGAGTTCGGCTGGTTGTATAGTGATCAAGTGTGAAAATGAGCTTCACAGGAACTCGACAGAGTCCCCGGATACACAATGAATTGAAAATAGTAGACTAGTTAACCGCCATACTCGACCACATGTCCTAAATGATGCAAAGGCCATTGTTATGCGCAATCATAAGAAGACTCCTGTATACGTAAATCGAGGTTGTCGATGCACCCCGCGCGATGCAGAGATAATCGAGCACAGAAAACATGATTGGGAAACATTAATGCATTCCAGCCGCTCAACAAAATCCGGGTATCGTGTATACCATGTCCCATCTCAAGAGCGAAGCGCAGGCATAGGCCCTTACAGTTCTTCGCTCACCCCGTCATCAATAAGTCCCCGGTCACGGAACAGCCGCACCGTCTTCGATTGCTGGGGATCACAGAGCAGAACTCCGTGATCTTCAAGGTACGCGGTAACCTTGTCGTAAACTTCCTCAGATCCAATCTTGGGGGTGGACAGCTCAATCTCCATGAGGTGCAATTTTCCAGCCACCACATCATCAAGCTTGGCTTTGTGTCCTAAGATCTTCAACTTCCATTTACCATCGGGGAAAGGCCCATAAGGAACAAGACCATCCCAGTCAATGTCGTCGTACTTCTCTGCAAAGCGAACTTGGTCTTCACTCCATACTTCCTTCGTTTTGTCACTCAACAGATACCGCGCCCCACACGTATAAGGGATATAGTCTCCATATCGATCCCAAACACAATCTGCGTTAGGAGGCGGGCGTGCGGGCTTCTCATCAAAGCGAACCTTAATGACAGAAAAAGGGTCACCTTTGTTGACTTTTGTGCGAAACATCACGCCTTGCTGCGCGTGTGTTGGCGGCATCGTATCGAAGTAGGTGATCGGATTTTGTTTGTAAGGCTCACGAACTTCCTCGCCTAGCTTTTCTAGGACGGCTTCTGCGTCCCGGTCACATAGTGACCATTGAAGATGGATATTTTTGTCCTTATTGAAACAGAAAGAAGGACTGATAACGAACGCCAATGCGGCAAGGCTGCAGGACTTCATGGTATCGATATGACAATGATACAGTATCCAAAGGCAACACGAACTGGCCCTTCACAGCGCACAAATGGAGAGAAATATACAGAAAAAGAGTTGAGATATGTGGTTGGAGTGAGACACAGCAACGAATATATCTGTTCATTCCAAGAACATTTGGTGACGTACATTCAATATTTAATGGTGGTACATGTGATGCACTGAATATGCGGTAACCACTGATATGGAAGTATTATAGTGATCTATCACAGCGTGCAGCTCAATAATCCATAATTTTCGCACCTGACAGGAGTACAGCCAGCCACAGGTTGCCGGCTAAAGCGATGCGCGCCCAATTGGGCTTTGATCGAGAAGCCGACATATTTGATGTGTAGGGCACGTCCTTCTTCAACTGAATGTCGATATAGATATGACGACTGTGTGCGTTCAACTGAGACACTAGAAGATCTTCATATAAGAACGCGGCGGTCAACTCCATCTGTGCGTATTGTGCGGTCTGATACGTCATGTCAGCGCTGTACTATACGAACTTATCGGTTGACGAGGTTGTTGTCAGCCGCCAAGTCACCTCGATAATAAACAAGATCTTCCTTTACAATACTCTCAACTAAGAAGAATCGTTTTGATTTGATAGATTGCCATCAACTCTAGATGGGACGAATGAGTTGGCAAGCTGACAAGGAGCGCAGGAACTTTGAGGATCTGCACGTTCTTGGGCGAAGGCTGAAGTGTTTCCAGACGCTCGCAAAGCTTTGTCGCGAAGATGCCCGGCACACTCAGTGAGGGCCATGAACCGGCATTGCGGTAAAGACGGCAGAAGTGGGGGGAGGGCCTCGAGTATATCCACAGCCACCAGGCTTTGGATCCCAGAGCAACCAAGGTGACTGGTTCTAAAAGATATCAACAAGGAAGGGAACAGCATATAGTTATGTAGGGCTGTCAGCTAACGTTAGCTTGAGATGTGCAGACGAGACCCACATCTCCCGACAAGTCAAAAGATGTCCTGCCAGGTTCAGCTGCCATTATCACGACGGGAATAGCGACAGGAAGATCAATCAACCTCAAACATGTGATTTTAGGGGTTCAATACCCTCACATATCGAGGTTTTGGATATGTGTCGTCCACCAAGTTGCGAAATAATAGACCTAACAGAGGGCGTATACTGCAAGTTATCGCGATATGCCGAAAAGACGTGAAGTAGCTGGAGGGTTCTCACTGCAGATAAGCCAACAAAAGGCGTTGCAGAATTTCGATATGGCGCAATTCTCCAACAGCTACCACGTGCCGTTGAACAACAGCTGCCAAAAGTCTCCGTGGTCGAGAGAGGAATGCTGGCGCAGTAGATCGGTGCAACTAGAAGATGGCAATATCCTGTGTTTTTTTACATTGTCCAGTATGCGCAATAAGACGCTGGAGACAAGGTCGATCAGGGTTACATGGGCGGCTCGTTTGGTTGACTTGAGACTTTGAAGGGGGTTCTCGTGTCTAATCATTGACGATTTCACAGACCGTACATACGGATAAACCCAATGCTGAACCTCTGACATGTGAAAGTGGCTGCGAGTGGGCCGTGGGAGGACTTCAGTGACAGGGAATAAGAAGTGCATGCCACGTAGCAGGGGGGTTCGGTTCGGGCATCGAGCAGGGGATCCTTGGGGCTCTGAGCCAGCTGATCGGTCGATAAGGTAATAAAAGCGATTCTATTAACGTGATGCGGCGAGTGAAGCATGGTCGAAAGAGGAATCAAGTTCGTGGCCATGGGACTCGACCGTGCTGGGACAGAGCCGCTTTTCTGGAAACAACCTCGATTATTTTAGCTTGGCTTCCGAGGCCATCCGTTAAGCTCGTGTCTGATATCGGACTGAGCCGCGGCAGGTTGAACAGCATCAGCCGTGTTGGATAACAGGACGGTTGTTCTCTTATCAATGCCTTTGGGTTTGCTTAAACACAAACGCTTCGCAGAGCGGCCGCACCAACTGTGTAACATATGTGCCCCTCGTGTGTGCGGATTGTTACTCTGCGACAACCAAGGTTTAGTGGCAATGAGCTGATAGTGTTTGGTTGAAACTGATGATGCGGATCAGGGATTTCAGTTCCGAGCTGGTTGCTATTACTACCCAGACTGCTGTGTTGTAGCTTAATAGACTTCGAGATAAGCCTCAGTCGGGGATTACAGCCGGCGACCGGGCGCTTGTATACGCATGCGAGAGGACGCGGATTTGGATAGGCTTCGTATATAAACGCATCATGACGAGGGAATTATATTATCTGCTTGTACATTGCATTGCATTGTGTGGTATCCGTAACGCACAGTACTCTATGGAATTTCCGACTTCTTAACTCCGTCGAATTCTTCATCTTCATGTGCCAATGGAGCTTGTTAGCGATACTGATAAGCTTGTATGTATGTGATTGTGGATCAGATGGATCTCATGTTCTCGGGATACCCAAAGCGACACAGCTTTCCTTTTGCCAATTGAAGTTGCTTTTCGTCTCATTCATGATCAACGCCAAGAATGCATGGCGTCGATGCTGGTGTGATGATTGTCATAGATGTCAGCAACAAAGTAACTTGGCGAGATAATTTGTTGAGGAGCTTGAATTCGAATTGAGGATCTTGATTTGATGTTTGAAAAAAGGGAAGCGTTATTGCTAGTGTGGGTAAGAAAGTGAATGTGGGGGGAGGGCAGGTGAAGGGGAAGGTGGGAGCCACTTTCACATGTAAACCACTTCTACTTCGACCTGCACCTGCATTTATTATGTTGCATGGCGGGGACAACCTACGCGAGTAACAACCAAATGCGTACCTTCTCAATTAATCACAGAGAAAAGTGAAACGAGGAATGAGCACTTGAGATCCAGGGCATGCGGCTGAGTCGACCCATTATGTTGAGCTCTGGTGGTGTCACAGAAGACCCCACTACCAGGTACAGACAGAGTGACTGACATTGGAGCTGATGAGCAATTATCACGAGAGATAACGAGAATATCAGTTGAACTCGAGGCTGAGATGTCATTTACTGTAAATGTCTAAGATGATAGCCTCCTTCCCTCTATCTGGCTATCTCTTGTCTCTTCCGATCAAAAAGGGAGACTCGTGAGAAACAAATGATTCAAGGCATGGAATCAGCCACAGATTGCTAAAGTACAAACCATCAAAGCTACGTCAAGTACTCCACTCACCCAAAATAGCTCTAAGAGATACCTGGTCTAGTACAAGCACATGTTTGCTTTAGCACATGCAAACCTGGACATCATCTCCAACTGCTTGCGATGGCGAAAAAAAAGCTACAACAATTGGACCTTGACGTTTTCGTGAGGGTGGGTTACTTTCCGGCCTTGTTAACCCCCTACTTGCCTGGGTAGGTAGTATCTACCCATCAGCGCATTTATTAAGTACTAGACGGAACCCTTTCCATCTTGTTCCTCTTCTTCTTCTTCCGAGTGCCTGACTCTAGACCATCACCAAACCTCTAGGTAAGTGCCAAACTAACATTCTTGCTGTGGCGTCCCACCAACCAACACTCAATTCCATACTCCTCCCCTCCTCTCCTCTGACCTCAGATGCATCCACAAGACGTACACCCTTCTTCATAAGCTTCCTAAATCCTTCTCTCAGCTATCTCCTCCTCTTCATCTCTTTCCAGACGGCTGCTTTTTAGTCTCTGCAGGTCCCCTTCAATTGCTACCATCCTGCTTCCCCTCCTGGCCAAACTTCTTCCACCTTAAACCACCTTATCTACCTACCCAAAGCTCTACTCTCTTATATAATCCGGCTTCTAACTCGATTTCAAGCTTACCTGCCTTGCGCTGTTCGATTGTCCCTCCAATTTGACCTCATCTCGAACCTTATAACAACCTCTTGTCACCCCTTCGACTTATACCGGCTGCAAACATCACCATGTCTCACCAAGTCAACGGCGACGTGAGCCCCGCTCAGTACTCTGCTTTCATCCAGGTACGTAAAGCCAGTGGCACCTTTCTGCAATTCAAACTAACACTATTGTAGCATCTCCTCAACTATCCTTTTATCAGCGACGGCGTCCACACCTTCAAGTCCAACGAACTCGGCCAGCGCTCCATCAGACTTAGTGACGCCGCCTACCAAACCTTTGCTGCTCCCGTCGTTCCCTACTTCTCCAAAGGCTACCAATATGTCTCACCTTATGTCCAGAAGGTCGACAGCCTAGGCGACAAGACCCTCGATCGCATCGACGAGAAGTTTCCTGCTGTCAAAAAGCCCACCGACGAGCTCTACCAAGATACCCGCGCTCTCATCATGTTTCCTCTCCAGAAGGGTCTTGAGGGCAAGGACCACGTCTTCCAGGTCTACAACTCCGAGATCAAGAAGGTTGAGCAGGGAGGTCTCGTCGCCCATGGAAAGGCCGCCGTCACCACCGTTCTCGTCGTTAGCAACGAAACTCTCTCTTGGTTGAGCTCTTTCTTGCACCAGAAGAAGGCCGACACCACCAATGCCATCAACGAGAAGATTAACCAGTAAACATCTCGCTCACACGACTATGGCGTCATTAGTTTGATGGCTGTAGTCAGCAAGCACATTTATACCCTCCTTGTTTCTTTTTAATTATGGGATTGTTTTAAAAACACGGTGTTTCTCGTCGTATTTCTCTTTCCTTATTGCTTTCCGGAGTTCTAGATGCCAGGAGAGTCCGAATAGCGTGTATAGACCTGTCACTCTCGCCGTCACATCGTGCGCCTCTCCTGGCCTGTATCCCAGATATAGCCTTGCTTGCAAGATGCATCAGTGCGGAACCCAGCTTTACGCCTTGTTCTTTTCGAACACTTCATCAGCGCGCTAGGAGGGCATCATGTTGTCCTCTATTGTAAGAGGTGGATGGGTGATACGGGTGGCCGACCAAAGCATGTCATGGTTGGGGCAGGTGTGCCCTCAAAATCTACATGTGAAGGATATGCCTGTAGTGGAAAGGAGTAGTATTGTTGGAGGAACGTTGACTTTGGAAGACTTAAAATGAGCTAATAGATTTTTCTTTTATGCAACTCGGTATTTGATTGGTATCAACAAACCGTAATTGAGAGGTTTTAAAGTGAAAGGCCAAATGCCAAGTGTGAAATATAGGCAGGCATCTTCTTAGCTCGTGTAAGCTTGTGTACTTGAGTAATGAAGTTCCTCGTATGTCGAAACCCCTTTCCGAAGATGATACATGTCTGGCGATTCACTTGAAATCTTATTAAAGGGAGGTAACCTCAACGATAGTATCCTAGGCACAGCAGTATCCAGGATGATCTAATGGCCTGGATTGTATTATACTTATTAATAATGATGAAAGTCCCCAGGAGTATGCACATGTCGTGTTCTATATGACCGGGACCTTCCCATCATGGCTTTACTGAACGCAGCCTTGTGCTGATAGGAAGCTCTACAATGTGATATCTCCTCTAGACATCGCAAAACCTTTTCCGAAAAGTTACTATGCTCTGGATCTCATGAGAGCAATGCGAGGCATATGATCAAGAGCTGTTGAGTCAATCTTAGGAGTACCTGACTTGCGACAGGGTAGGCTATAGTGATAGTATACATGTTGGGCTGATAGTGGGAACTCGACGATAACACGCGCATACAGGACATTGAATAAACTTTGGATAGATCATGGGATCAAAAGCCCTTTTTTGAAATACTAGGAGGCCTCAAAGTAGATGAGATGTGTTGAATGGGTGAAAGATGAAGTTCTGAAATACACCTCGTGTCGACAAATCTCAGCAAATCACCCGACCTCTGAAGTTAAAATTTCAACTTTGACAGACCAAATTACCCGTTATAAATTGATCCTCTGTTATAAATTGTCAGACTGGTGTCCTTTTCTGAAACAGTCTTGTATTCACTCGCGCGCCAATGTTGTTATTTCATGCATGTACAACAAAATGACTTAATGAAATGGGAAGAAGAAGAGTCTCAATGGCTTCACTCCATGATTATTTCCTTTACCGAGGTCATTCCTATATATTTATAAATAGATGTCATTCTATCGTTTTAAACTGTATTTCTCTCCGAGTTCCAATGTGACGATACCGGTACAGAGCTGCGGATATTCATCCAGGGGTCACCAAAAATCTGGTATGATAACAAAGTACGAAGCACGTTCAGTGCATAAATTAGTTTTGACGATGTATTTAACCCGCTCTGTATTTCCCTAAAGAGTTTCAAGTCCATACGAGTTTATCGTATAAGTTTTCGAAATCACAGTCGGACATAGAGATTACGGACATCAACCAAAAGGTTATTTACCGCCTCGTAGACGAAGCTTTCTCTCGAGAATATATAAATAAGAAGAAGCCTGCTATTCTGCGGTGCCTAAGTTTTCGACTTGATCAACTACTCATAATATCTTTAAACTCTAGAGTTACACATCCTCTACCAGCGCTCTTCTCCAACTACCCTATTACTAAGACTATAAACCCGACAACGATACATCATGATCGCCGAAACCTGTAACGACATCCGGCTATCTAGGAGCCTATTTCCCACGCCCAAGGGCAAGGTGGTGATCCTCAATGGAGCCTCGGCTTCAACAAAGGCCGCCGTTCTTGGGGCCCTTGAGCCACAACTTGTCGACAGCAAAACCCAGATAGTCGACAGTTACATCATGACCAATCCAGCCAGCTCCGGTGTGATCGAACGGGAACTGCGGCCAGTTTATATAGAGCAGGTGTTAAAGTCGGCAGATCAAGGCCAGACGATACTGCTGATAGCTTGCCTGTTGAACAACTCTGAGGGGCGGCGAGATCTTGATAATATCTTGTCAACCTTCCGCGGCAAGCAGGTCTCACTGACTTGGGTTGATGGCGACTTTGAACTCGGAGACTCGGCATACGGCTGCAGCCCTGCAGCAGGTCATCGGGATACACGGGTAAGCCCGGATATGAGGAGAACCATACTTCCGTCAAGAACAAGAAATGACTTGGAGGGCATTGAATTGGCCACTCGAACGCTCACTGCAGCACACAGCACGCAGGAATCTGTACAGGAACTCTTGGACCTCATGGGCTTGACCAGGTGACCTGTGAAACAGCTGGCGAAGTCTACATGGCGTCGTTCTCGTGCTTGGCGAGTCAATGTATGCGAGTTTTGGCGAAGAATGATACCATTTTGTTTATATTGCGGGTAGTCTGATGGTTTGGCATGTTGATAGGAAAGAGTCACGAGTCACGAACTTAGTTGGTTGCACTGCATGTTTGCAATACCATTTAGGCAGTTTCCCTGGAGTGACATTCCTGGATGGAACAATATCACATTTAATATCCTTGTTTTGTCTCATGCTCGGAAACAACGGAACTTGACTGCAGCTCGATGCGGCGAGTCAAACACATGCGGCGTATTGTGTGAGCACTGTAATTTGTTTGCAAAGCACATGAGAGGCACAGGCGATAAAACATGGCTTGTGTTTTGTACATGTACATAAAGTCAAGCCAAGACAAAAATGTTTACACAGGCATTCTATATGCATTGTATTCTCTAATACGGAAAGCAAACAAGGCTTCTTGCAGTGTAACCGACAGGGGAAAAATATTGCGGAATGGATATCTGAGACTTATAATTAGGTCTCACGCTCAAGTCCGAATGTCCACAAAGGCCAAGACATTCAGCGCCCTAAAACGTGAGATGTTGAATTTTCCTCGAGTCGGTAGCGAGAGGAGGATCGGCAAGTAAGTGCTATTTAGCTGATGACAAGACGAGACCGAGCGGCGCGCCCCATTAACAATCTCTCTCGTCTCGACTAGGGGTCAAGCCACGGAGAAACTATCAACCAGCATCATGGCGTACGTGTAGCTTTGGCAGGCCGGGATCAAGATACTATTAGAGGTTTAGAGTCCACGTGGGTAAGTGCATCAAAGGGAATGAATGGATATAATCGTCATAACGAGTGAGGGATTTGGAGAGAGGGAGAGAAATGGGTAATGGTTGATAAGAATATGAACATGGTGCTTTAATTAAACGGGGATCAGGAGGACGGGATAGGAGAACAGGGTCCGGGGCAAAGGACCAGACTTGGCGTAGACCGTTGGTTAATCCCACCTTGAAAAGAAGAAAAGAAGCAAAGCTCGTTGGTTAGCCAAGGGTTGTTGCCTTCAAATGATCAGTAAGAATGAGAATACACAGGTGACTACAATACGAGATGATAGGTAATATTAAGCCCATAACAAAGTGCAATATTGCCTGAGCGCCCTTTTACTTGAGCCCAGAGGCGTATAAAGGATATATTCAGCCGGTAGTCATAGAGATCGACAGTATTAGACTGGAGAAAGAGATTTTGAGCGAATTATCCATAATTAGTTGGATGAAGAATTGGGTTTTAGAGCTTTTAGGTATGTAAAGACATTGCTTGTTGTTGGTTCGTGAATGAGGCCATCTGGGGGACACTTGAAACGCTCGGCGGACTCGATAGCGTATTAAAAAGAGTAGAGTGTGGGTCCTAGTCCTAGTCTAGCAATAGTCCATGGTCGCCCGGTAGTTTGGTAGTTGCTGACGAGGAACGGTAATTACGTACTGCTCTTTAGCGAGATAATAGTGTCAGTACCGATACATACTATGATTAGAAGATGAGGAACGTGATATCCATCACCAATACCACAAAACAAACAGGTGAAAGCAATGCATGCGATAGACCGTTGCCAAGGGTATAATTCTGGTGTTATTACATACATAGTCTATATGCAGCTTTCAGCTCAAATCAACAGGGGTGTTAGTTAATGTTCAACGTTTATCTTCATGAACCAGTGGCGATAGCATTAACAAGTCTGTTATTATTGTAGGTGCATATCAATATACATCCAACAGTTGTCTCCAAAACTGACGGCTCGCTTCGTATCCGACCCTTGTCTATCTTCTGACTCCTGTCATTGCATTGCATAAGACTCAGTTCAAAGGAACCACCACTTGCCACTTCTCTATCTGAAACAAATCTGCAGCATTCGATGATCTTTTTATTTATTGGAGAAACTATATTTTAGAAAGCAGATCATCAATTGCTCGCCACCTGTCTATATCGCTTCATTCGTTGAGCGTTTGTCTTTGCGTGCCCGTGCGCGGACAAATGCACCTCTACAGGTGGAACTTTGTTACTAACCTACTAACTTACATACATAATTATCCGTGCTTCGATGAATATGCATGCATCCTCAGGTAAGCCGTACAGAAGCGAGAAGCACGAGCAGGGGATAGACTAAAAAGTGACTGGCATCGCATACTCACTTGGCGTGATGCTGAAAAATTACTATCAAAAGTTATCCCTACCGATTATCGGGGACTCTGTTCTTAACAACTTCACTTATTGCCTTGGGTTGACCTCGTTTACACTACCGTGGCTCACCTACAATGGCTCACCAAATGATGCCAACGGCGGCCGCATAGATTTCCTGTTTCGTTTCTAGGCCTGGGTTTATCCCTGTCGATCGTTTCCGCGCCTGGTCACATCGCCTGTTGAAGCCTCCCATATGTTGGACAGAGGAGGTCAAGCTTCGGAACAACTGTAAGATTGACATTATAGTGAATGGGCAGGAAAACTATGGCTGATTAGACTGGTCAGACTAGTTAGACTAGTGAGATAGAGTTGGCATAATAAGCAATTACGACAGATTGTTTAGAGGTACCTGTACGAGGCTGAGATGTTGGTGTCTTGTCCATGATTTCCATAATTCGTCCGCTCGGTGTATACAACAAAGCCAGCCACAAGGTAACCCGAGGACTTTATGTGAACACATTGTGCGCGCATCTTCTTCTCCTTACACGGTAGATCCATTCATTGTGGCGGTTCTCTTGCTCATCTAGAAGACGTTTTGCTTTGCTTTCTCTCCCTTTATCTTGATCCGTGAGAGACATGTAGACAGTAGCTTTAGACACTGCAGCAAGAAAAGAGCCACTTAAAACCCAAAATCCATTCAACATGAACAATGAACAAAGACAATTTCCCAGGTAGGGGGTCAAGAACTCACATCCCTTGCTTATTATTGGTTCTGTTGTCTTTTTTAGGCTGGGATTCACTTTACTGAGTGGGGGGTTGATCATCTTTGGTGGCAGCAGTGGGACACGCGCTATGGAAATATCTAGACACAAAATGACAGAGAGTTGAGACCTAGACGGAGCTTTAAAGCCGCAGCAGGAATTGAGGTTTGTCATCTTGCAGTGATGGTGATGCACAGACTTTACCTTGGAGGAATGAGATCAGTATCTAAAGAAACAGACAACGGGTTGCATGTTCCTGACAGGAGATGTATCCATAGGTAACAGATTTTCAATTGGACTTCTCCCCACTTATCATCAAGACTTTACTATGGAAACTGACAGCTTAAACATTGTCATCATCTGGTGACATCGTCTAAATTGCCAGAGGAACATCAGACTCCTGCCCAGAACCATGGGACACCGCAACAAGAGAAGAGATAGTGGGACCACATGTACGTACGTGCACAATTACAAGAACGTTCCCTTGTATCGGAGACTGGTAGTTATATGCCCGGATAGTATTATATCGAGTACCCACTACTTGGCGAGGTTATGCATGTATTATGTTTCCCTAAATATTTCAATCCTTTTTTCTCACTCTCACAAAAGAAAGAAATAAAGAGAATAATGGGGAAAGGGGGCGGCTGGGCTTTGTTGAATGCTGTTTCTCCTTCTGTCGTGAGTCAGTTTTAGTTGAGAATATGAGACCTCTCAAGACGTTAGTTGTGACACGTCAAGAAGCCTGAACGAGAACAAAGCAAATAAATCAGCAAGAGTTGTCGTCAGACTGCATACTCTCAACGCTCTAATACTGCAGGTCTATTAGTCTATTGTCATGGAGGTCGGTACTCTATAGCTTCGGGATAGAAAAGAGCCGGACTAATATTACAGGTACAGCCACAGGTACAGGTACAAAGATATTGACCAGCCAAGACCAACTATCATGCCTTCAGGCTTCTTTGTGGTTGCCGTGTTGTAATGTGGTCTAGGCCGTTTTGTTCTTCCTGTCATGGTCCATCGCTTCAAGCGCTGAGAATGCAAAGAAAAACCATCCCCTTCCCCCATGTACCCGGAACCATTTGGAAGCCCCCAAACCAGGCCTAGGAGTAGGTTCAAGGGCCCCTGCAGAAGGCGTGCAGGTCCAGCTAGCACCTTGCATCTTGTGGTTCTCCCCCTGACAGCCCCAGCATCTCGGCCCCTCAATGGGTGAATGGGGATTGGCTTATGTTGCTCCTCATCTTGCCCCTAATGTAGGTACAGTACCTACATCCTTGACCCAAGCCGAAAGCTGACGGGACTTGTCTGCTTCTCTTCTCTTGGTCACAGCCAAAGAGTTTTTGTTCGCAATCAAGATTGTCATTGTCCGTTGTTAGTAAACGCCTTGGCGGTTTGATGCTTGCAGTCACTCACAGAAACATACATACAAGTTACACATTAATGAATCACATCACACACTGCTTGCACCGCATAACGATCATAAACAGCCAATGTCAGTGATCAGTTGAGAGTCTGGTCGCCTCCGACAAGGGTCAAAGCCCACGTCCTAGCCTACCAGCCGCTCTCTGTCTCATATTTTCGCCCGCTTAGAGGCCTTGCGTCGACCTTTTTTCAGGGCCATTCATGCCGTCCGTCCCTGCTTTAGTATCAAGTTAATAGGTACCGGTACCGTTAGTCTCCAACGGACAACGGGAGCTCCCACTGAATTGAGAAGCGTAGACCACCAAAAAGTACAGGTACCTTTATGACCATTCTTTCCTCAACTGGTGTCGTATCTTGTTTCGCTTGTTAGGTGTTGCTCCTGCTGCATCCATGGATCCATGAATGGATGGAGCTCTCCACACGCCCACCCCTACCTGCCTCCTAACAGTACACCCCCGTTCAGTTGTTTCTCTTGCCTCTTCTCCCTTTACTTTATACATTTGACCCATCTCCCTCTCGTTTCTAGAGTTTTATTCTTTTCCTCTCTCCTTCTTCCTTGCTTTTCCTATCAAAGCCCGGTTGACTCGAGCCTTTGAATGAAGACTTGAGCGCGGAGCGGAGCCCCTCAAGTTAAACGGGCATCGACGCGAACATCGAGGACTGATCAATAGCCTGCTAGTCAGTTAACGCCAACTCGACAATAAACAAGACGGACAGCAGTTGCGGATACAGCAACAGCTCTATTATATCTCTAATCAATTCGACGACGACTATTATTCTGATACCCAATTTGACGAAAGATACGAGGGACCGATTCGCTTTACCACCGCCATTATGCCTCCTTCGCTCAATACCCATTCCTCCTTTACCCGTCCCCGGACTAGCGACCGCGATGGCAGGCCCAGCACCCGCGATCAGGGCCCAGACCAAAACCTGCTGATCCCTAGTCGAACTTCTTCGCTGCATTCGCGCATTACGCAACCTATTCCTTCAACCCTCAACATGAAGCCCCAGCAGCGAACACCAAAAACTTTGACCCATGCGTATATGGTCTGCGGTGTTGGCCGCGAACCTTCGCAATGGGTCAAGGCTCCTACTCCGGCCCAAGGAAAGATTGGCCACATGAAGGGTGCCGTTGGTCAGTTTTGGTTGCCCGAGATTTTGGGCAGCAGCCCTCGCCTTGAGCAAGACAACGAGATCGCTCGAGCGCTTCACTCTGCCATGAGGGTGCGTATCTTTTGCTTCTTCAATTGATTGAATTCGTCCAGCTAACTGGCGATTAGGCTTGTTTCCCCCATGATGTTGAGATTTGCACAGGCCGCAGCCAGCCTCACTGTGTTCACCATTCCTTTGTTCTCCAGCAGGATTCCTCTCACACTCTGTACGGTATATGTCTGCGAGTTTGGTCGCGAGCAGATGAGAAGAGGGCCGAGACAATTCGTGAGCTCCGCAAGAGAACTGAGAGCGACTACTACGACAACCCTGATGAGACCTACTGGATTCCTTACTGCTTGTCGTTCCTCTCCCGCTATCCTCTGTATAATCTTTTGGGAGATTATCTTCGAGGTATGTGGATTCACTGGAACAAGGCTACCAACCTGTTCCACGCCGAGGAGGTTTCCCGCATTCTTAGCTTCCCTGCTCCTCGCCTGAACGATTTGGTCCGCATCGACATGAAGGACTATGCTCTCTGCTACCAGTTCCCATCTTCGCCCACTGGATTCCAAAACTTCGCCATGTGGCCTCTGTTCAACTGTTTATCAATTCCCAACATTGTCGGCGTCATCGAAGCAGCCATCTCTCCTACGCGTCGAATCATCTTTGTCAGCCACTACCCTGCTATGCTCACCATGGCTGCCGAGACTGTTCGATACTGCGTCCGAGTTTATGAATGGAGTGGTCTTTACGTCCCCGTTGTTCACGCTCGTCATGCCAAGGAGTTGGTCCAGGAGCCTGGTCCTTACATCCTGGGTATCACCGTCGAGTGCCGCTCTCTCTTCACAGCACCCACCGATGCTCTGGTCGTCGACCTTGATCGCAACTTTGTTCTCACATCTAGCCCTCCTACTGCTCTGAGTCCCGGTCAGCGTAACAAGTTCGTTACCCGACTCACTCAAGCTTTGAACGGTGACGTAACCCCCTCTGGAGTTCCTCAGCATCTCCGATCTGCCTACGGTGGTGGCAAGCTTGTCCCTGCTGGCCAAATTATTGTGATGCGCGGAGAGGTCGAGTCTATCCAGGACCCTGAGTGGTGGAACCAGGACGCCGTTATGGCTGTCATGGATCACGTTTGTGAGAAGCTTGGACGCAACACTGGCATTAAGGCTGTCTTTGGTGGATCCGTCAAGAAGCCCCTCATGACCAAGGTATCTATGCGACACCTCAACGAGCTTGTTCGTGAGAGGAACCAGTACTCGCGCGATGCTCTTGAGGCCTGGCAGGACTTCATCAATCTCAAAGGCCGCATGGACACCGAGCTCAGCAAGGTTAACAAGCGCAACAACTACCTTGTGGAGGAGCTTGAGAGTTGGAAGCAGCAATTCCTCAAGTTCCAGGCCTTCGCTGAGACCCTTACCAAAGAGACACAAGATCTCAAGGTCAAGATCGACACACACAAGAGGGAGAACCGCCGTCTTGCTGGTCTCATTGATCAGCAGAAGGATGACAACGCCCGCCTCTCTGTTCGTCTTACTGGCACTGAGAAGCAGCGTGACGACGCTCTCGAGGCCCTTGTCCTTCAGCAGGAGATTGCTGAGGAGCTTGAGCGCGAGCGTAAGAGAAACAAGAAGGAGCTCTCTCAGCTTCAGCACACCAACGTGACCATCATGCGCCAGCGTGACGAGGCCCGAAGAGTCGTTCTTCACCTTCGCAGTCTCATTGGCGGCCAAAGCCACCACATGGAGCATCTCATCCAGTCTCTCACCAAGCCTGATGACCTGGCTCAGGAGATCGAGGAGGGTTACGATGAGACTGAGGAGGGCACTCAGTCCAGCGAGCCCAGCCGTCTCACACCCAGCCCCAGCCCTACTACTTCCTCTAGTAGCCGAAGCAAGCGATATTCTTCAGCGAGCTTCAACGATGTGGCTGACCGCCACCTTAAGGACAAGACCGATGCCATTGCACACATTGTGCGCAACATTGCTGAGCAATGCCAGGCTGCTGTCGAGGGCCTGCAGCTGGCACATGATGCCGAACTAGGGAGTTCTAGTAGAAGGAATTCGAGGCACTCTACCATCCAGAGCGATGACGGCCACTCCGCCGCCACTTCCGAGACCGGGGACGAATCCCTCCTGGCGCCGCGGTCCGGGAGGGCGTCCAGTATCCCTCCCACCCCGGATCTCATCCCCAACAGGAGCAGCACAGCAATGTCCTTTGCCTCTACAGCTACTACTCCCGAGCGATCGTCGCAGCAGTATAGCCTCCGAGACGAGATCCCCACAAAGATTGTCGAGGATGACGAAGAGGACTTCGAGGAGAATCGATCCGACAACGGGACAGTCTCACACGAGACATCTGTCGTATCTAAGCATCAGCTCCAGCACCAACAGTCCCTGATGCACAGGCCATCGGGCGCCAGGATCAGTGCTCTTGGCGGTACACGCTGAATGTGTTAGATGATAACTGGGCAATCTTTCCGCGTTATCTATCAATATCTGATATCCTATTTAATTGCGTTGTATTTGGCGGTATGCTTGGATCAAAACCTGCGGGCCACGGCGTTTAATGTCTCCTTTTCAACTTTTCTATTACAACCATTTACTGTCTCATCTGATGAGCAGCTTTCGCTCATATACCTGGGCTTGACGGCCATTATTCCATTTTGTTAGAGTATTCTTCTGAGAAGCGGTGTTTATCTACTGCGACGCTCCGTTACTTGGTCTAACGGTCGTCACAACAATGAAACACATTTTAACGTTAAATGAATGACCTATGTAATTTATATGTGACGAGCTCTCCCTATATATGTGTTTCGCATGTGATGTGTCAACTGGTTGACTTTTCAGCCAATGCGTTTACCGTCCACCAACATATCTCAGCCGTTCTTTTAGACACTAACTATATCGAACCAGCTCAGCGGACCAATTTCTTTAGTAAACAACTTACCCTACAACCTAACACAAGCACCCTACGGCGTAAAGCCAGCATTTGCTTCATCGCCTTGGAAATCCCTTTTAACAACGTATAATACTTAACTTCTACGTCACCTTTAACACAAATGTGATATTACCTGATGGTCCTATTTCCTCTTGCAGGAAGCTTTTGGTGTGAAACACTTGCGCAACAACAGCTTCATGTTTGCGACTAAGTCACCATTTAGACGAGAATTGAAATTCATTTAATCATTGCAACAACCCATTATAGACGGCTATCTTAAGAGATATCGCATCCAACTTATGGTATTCTAATGCATAAACTGCCTATAACCTCAAGGTTATTCTAAACAAATTTGGACAAAAACAAAGTTTTAAGACTCTTGTTACCAAGTACGACTGCCCATGATAAGATAAGCATGTAGGCCCATAAAAAAGTTTCCAGCTGCATCACATTCAATCGCGGCGCATCATTCTTTCTTTTAATCAATTCCTTCATCGCATATCCATTCTCCCTCGTCATGTCTGACCCCCTCCTCACATCTCTATGTGGCATTTGCCATATATCAGTACCAAAATACAAGTGTCCACGATGTGGCGCTCGAACCTGTTCACTCGGATGTATAAAAAAACACAAAGCCTGGTCTGAATGCTCTGGCGAACGCGATGCGACAGCCTATGTTGCCCCCTCGAAGCTTCGCACACCCGCCGGTGTCGACCACGACTACAATTTCCTCCATGGGATCGAGCTTTCCGTCGAACGCGCCGAAAAGGTTCTTGTAGAAGAGCGCAAGATCGTACAAGAAGAAGAATTGCGCCCCATGACGATTCAAGAGGTCAAATGGAAACCTGGGCGAGATGGACGCAAGCGCAAAGTTCTAGTCACCAGAGTTTTGCATGAGGCCAAAGGTCGATCCTTTGAGCGATACTTGGCTGCGCGACTGAAGAAGCTCAACATCACTATCATGTGTGCGCCTACGGGCATGGCCAGACAACGAGCGAATCATACGACACTTAACAGGCGGACGATGAGGGTCAATTGGCAGGTGGAGTGGATGACTTTTGAGGATGCGACAAATACTGAGGCGGAGAAAATAAGGGCTTTGTCTAAGGTTATGGATGACATGCCACTATATCAAGCCTACCATACGTTCTTGGAGGAGCAGCAGTCGGCGAAAGGAAAACAATACAAGAAAATCCCACGGACGGGCCTAGACGGGCAATTGCAGGATTCGACGAATTCGACATGGTCATCTGGCTCGTTTGCACTTCAGGACCCATTCTCACAGACTTGGATGAACCATCACGACACAGAGCCAGGCATGTGGCCATCGGAAAAGGACGAGGCTCAAAAACGGCAATTTCAGTACCTCCTGGTCAACCACAGCTCACCTTCAGACAAACCCGTCGTCACGAAGCTTGACCCGGAAGATTGTCTCCGCGAGATTCTCAAGAACACACGCATCCTCGAATTTCCGACGATATGGGTACTCGATCGTGATCAAAGGCTCCCCTCAAACTTTACACTAGGACCTAAGGATACTGTTTTAGAAGCCAGCAACAAGAGAAAAAACCCTTTCGGCAAGAAAGGTCCTATGAAGCCGAACAAGAGAAAAAATAAGGGCAAAAACGGGGATATAGAGGAAGGGGAGGTTAACAGCGATGAAGAAGGGGACCAGTCGGATGATAACGCCGTTGGCCTTGAGGCAGGTGATGTTATTGCTGAGCAGAGTCTTGGGGAGGACAACGACGACGACAGCGATGATACGAGTAGCTCAGGAAGCGACAGTGAATGATGTTAGAAGAACGTGGAGCATTTGAAGGTGTCTAGAAAGCACTAAAATCCAGAGTCTCATAAATAATTGCTTGGGTACATACGATCGGACTTTAGTTATAAGTCTGAGATTACAATAAAACTAATTCCTACTATCTTGCTGGGCCCTGATAGAGTAAAATGTGCCTTCGATATACCGTTGAACTCAAAGTTCTACTTGTAATTAAAATTCGCATTGCGATGCCCAACATACATTCTTCTGTTGAGTTATGGGTGTATGTTTGTTTCTACTGCAACATTTTGCTGGGCTTCCTCTAAGATAGTGGCTGTGCTTAGCTGTCAGCCACACGATGGAATGTCGACCCTATTAATCTAGGTGAAGGACAGTGATAGCTCCCCACGACATTAGACATCCCACTCTCCTTACTGTACAGACACATCGACGCTCGCTTCAACTCCAACCTCGCTATCGCCTGACGATTCCAAACTTCGGCCACGAACCTACAGCAGCAGTTCCACGCATTATGGTTTGATTGGGCGCCGTACCCTCCCTCGACGCCGACGCCGCAACAATGGACGATACACCTGCGCCCAAGCTCTCAGAGCTGCTGCGGCATCCCGACGATTTGGACAAGATACCTGCGCTCAAGCTAGAATTCTCACGAAAAAAGGGCGCAGTAGATGGACAGCTTCGCAGTGGTCTGCGAGAGCAGCTCGAGACAACCCAATCGGGCATGACAGGTCTCAACGACGGCCAAAAGACAGTCCAGATGATCAAGGAGGAAATGATCAAGATCGATAAGCTGTGCTCCGAGTCACAGAACATGATAAAGGACTTTGCAAGCATCAATCTGGTGTCACAAGCACACCGCAACTTCGGCGCCGTCGAGACGATGCGTCGCAACCTGGAGACGTTTAACGATCGCATATCGCGTGTCGAGGTTATGCTAAGGGAGGACGACGAAGATAACGACAACATGCCCAACCTACTGCCGTGCCACTACGAGCTCACCCAACTAAGAAACATTCGCGACGATGCCATGGAGCAAATACAACGGGCAGACGACGACAGTCTCGAGCCGACATTAGTCGACTACTTTGCGCGATTGGACGATACGATCGACTGGTTCGACGAGCATGTCGGTATTATTGCTTTGAATCTCATCAACCTCGTTGTGCAGGATAACAACGGACTCGTGGTGCGATTCGCGGTGGTGATGGAAGCTGAGGAAACGAGCGACCAAAGGGTGCTGGCACTGCAGGAAGCTCTGAAGGATCACAAGGAGATGGCTACACGGTTCCAGAGTATTACAGACGGTGCGAAGAAGGTCCGCGGCTACAAAGACAAGTTTATACAAGCCATTCGACTCAGCGCCGAGCAGCAATTCGAGGGAGCAAAGGAGGAGTTTCTCGACGACCCGAGCAAGCTTGACAAGATTATGAAGTGGTACTTTAACGATCTGAATGTCGTCAAGGTCGGAATGTCGCATCTTATGCCCAAGAAGTGGAATATTGTAAAGACATACGCAGGTGTCTACCACCAGCTTATGCATGACTTCCTGGTTGGCATGGTAGATGGCAACGAGGCATCATCAGCGCACACGCTAGAGATTGTGGGCTTCCCAGAGAAGTACTACCGGAAGATGGCAAAGATTGGGCTCAAGCAAGAAGAGCTCATACCACAAGTCATCGATAATCGTGAAGCAGAGCTCGTACGTGACTTCCGTGAACTTATCATCAAGTTCCTCGACGAATGGATCGATCGAATATTTGCGCAGGAGAAGCGCGATCTGGCAGAACGCAACGTGGAGGGCTCCAACTTGGATCAGGATGAGTATGGCTATTTCCGAACCAAGAACTTTGTCGCTCTATGGCGTATGTTGCGCGAGCAAGTAGATGCCGCTGCCAATTCACAACGTGCCGATGTCGTTGAAGGCGTCATTGACGCAATGTTTGCTCGCTTGCGCACTCGGCAACAGTCGTGGCAGGCTATGCTTGAAGACGAGGCTATTCCCTATGAAGAGGGTAAAATTCCTGAGCTGGAAGGTTTCCAGGCTCTTCAAGATTGGCTTGTGGCTACGGCCAACGACCAGATTGCATCTATCGACGACAACGAAGACGAGGGTCGCCTGGCTTATCTCTCCAGTTTCCGTCGTCTGGTTGAGCAGCATGTCTCGCCTGCATACCTCGAACGTATCGATTCTGAGGTCAATATGTTGCGTGACGGCTACGTCGACTTCAGTACGTGGTGTATCACCCGCTTCGCACAGCTCGTCTTCACTGTCGACTTCGGCACAGTCATGCCTGACTTCTTCACACCCCGCTGGTACACAAGTAATGCTATGAAACAGATGGTGGTGACATTTGAAGAGTACGTCAACGACTATCGCCAGGTACTGCACCACTCCCTTGTGGACATCTTTATTGAGATCTTTGCTGAGGAGCTGCTTGTTCGGTACTTATCCGCCGTGCGAAACAAGGGCGCAAAGTTCCGTCGCACCGACCCCTTCCAGGACAAGCTGTTCAACGACATCTCTACTGCATTTGAGTGCTTTAGCACTCTGCCATCACCCGATGTCGGTGCATCCATCAAGGAAACCTGGCGTGTCACAGAGCACTTCCTGCGCCTACTATCGGCAGACCGTGATGCCATCGTTGACGCTTACGTAACCTTCAAGACGGCTTACTGGGATCTGAGCGTTCAATGGGTCGAGGTTGTATTAAGGTCGAGAGATGATTTCGAGAGGTCCATGATAGCAGCGGTCAAGAAGGAGGCTGCCAATATCGATATCGAACGTGGACCGGAGACCATCATGAGTAGAGTCAAGTAACAATTGGACGAGTCATGATTTAGGTTTGCACAAGAAAAGAGGAAGGGCATTGCGGGAAATCTGTATGATAGGCATTATTTCATGCCCACTTAGCGACAATGATATTTAAACTTGTTTATATAGCCTCACTGTTGCGACTCGTTTGTGCTCACTCTGTCCTGAGCATTAAGTCGACAACACAACACGAAACAGTATATCTCTACAGCTGCAGACTCAAAGCATGTGACGCACAAGAGGAACCCAAAACATGCTCCAATCAATGACTCAAACAAACAAGCAATCTTCATGATACTACAATGTGTGGGCAGATAATGAAACAACACCATCTCCAATGGGATAAAACGTATAAGGAAAATTCGCTGCCGGGGAAGCTATTCAACAAAAGAACCATGATGATGGGGACAAGAAGAAAGTACTAAGGAAACCAAGTATGCGGCATAGCATTAATCCCACCCTTTATGCGAGGATATAGGATACAACATGGTAGTTGCATATTCATTATGAGCGACTAGCCAGGTAGTTCGCAGCCTGAGATGTGTTAGTCATATTTATAACAGGGATTCCCACTACCAAGGCTTACCTTGTCAAGGTCATAGTCATATTTTTCGAGAGCCTCGAGAGCTTCGGAGCGCTTGTAACCCATTCCAGTAAGACTCTTGAGAATTGGGTCATCGTGCTCAGACTCGGTTGAAAAAGTGCGGTTCAAAGCCTGCTGACCAGGATGAGGCTCGGCACCCTCTGGTTTCTCGGCAGGAGCAGGTTGCGCAGCAGCAGCGCTGGGCGAGTCCATACCGGAGAAGATAGCATCCCAGTCGTGAGCCTCAGGAGCCTTTTGCTGCTGAGCCCCAGCGGCTGGCTGAGTAGGCCCAGTTGAGCTGGCAGAAACAAAGTCAAAGCTCTCGTTGCCGAAAGCGGTAGACTCAGTCTTGGCCTGGCTTCCAGGTGGGCTGCTGTCGAAGACAGGGTTGAAGTCATCCAATCCAGAGCGAGAGATGTTGGCAAAATCCTCGTCGGCGGAGCCCTCCTTAGCATCCTCTAAGCCTTCAAAGTCACTGTCCAGATCTTCAAACCCGCCCTTGGCCTGAGGAGGGTTGGATGGGGCTGCTTGTTGCGATGCAGGGGCAGTTCCAGTGGCAGCTGCGCCAAAGATGTCGTCGACAGATGACTTTTGTGCGTTGGTCTCAGTGATGGTGGCGGGCGATGAGGGTTGCTCGGCGCTGGTTTCTATTAGCTATTGTTTCTGATTCCGAAAGCAGATTGGTTGGCACTTACCTAGCAGCCTTAGGTTCTTCGGGAGAGTTTGCCTCCTGAGCGGGCTGTGGGGAAGTGCTGGCAGGGGCTGCGTGTGTCAATTCAGGCGAGCCTTCAGTTGCAGGCTTAGCAGGAGGCGAGGCCGGTGTGAAGTTATCATCGAAGCCTCCGTTGTCGCTGCTGGAGTCCGAGTCTTCCTCCTCGTCACGCTCAAGCTCTGAGATGGGAGGGAACTCAGAATCGAAAGCCGACGACTTGTTCGCCTCAGGAGACGGCTTGCTTTGGGTCTTAGCAGTCGTAAAGGCGGCGAAAGCGTTCTCAAAGTCAGCCTTGGCCTTGGCCTCATCGTTACCGCCGAAAGGATCGGCAGAGTCAGCAGGCTTCGACTCATCGTCCTTGGCAGCCTCACGAGGAGCGTCATTTGGGGTAGACAGCGTATCCTTGCTTTCAGCTAGGTCCTCGCCAGGGAAAGCACCAGGGACGCTGCCGACGCTGTCCGACGACTTAAAGTCACCAGGAACAGGTGTGATAGAACCGTGAAGAGGATCATCAAGACGCGAAGCGGGAGGAGACACTTGGCGAGAGGACGAGAGAGACTCAGTGTGGTCAGGGAAGGGCAGGAAACTAGAGCTGATTTGTCTCGACTCTGGAGGAGCGGGAGGATCGGCAGCAAGGGTCGCTTGACGGCTCATGACAGGAGAACCCTGGACAGGAGGAGTGTTGTATGAGCCTGCACTAGCGTTCGAGGCACCAGTGTGCTGGGGCTTGAAGAACCCGGATTGAGCAGCAGGGGGAGGTGTGGCCGAAGAACTAGGTGGGAATGCGGGTCCGAAGAGGTCGTCGAAAGACTTGTCAGAGGCATTTTTGGTGGGAGGGGGAGAAGCAAATGCACCCATAATATCGGTGCTTGCAGTTCGGCGGAAGAAGGGGTTGTTAGCGCTGGAAACAGAAGCAGCTGGGCTTGCAATTTGGGCGGATACCGAAGCTGGCGAGCCGGTGTTTGCTTGACGCAGGTCATCAATGCTCTTGGTGAGGTCTTCCGCCTCCGTCTTGAGCTTGTCACGTTCACCCTCTGTCGTAGACAGCTGCTTCTTGTTGATGGCAACCAGTCCCTTTTGTTGGCGAGCCTCGGACTTGAGCTTCTCAATCTGAGGCTTGAGCTGTGCAATCTCTCCGTTAACTACACGGATTCGCTCCCTGAGATTTGTGTTCTCCTGCTTGTCTGCCTGGAGAGCTTGAAGTGTTTGCTGATGTTGGGCTTGGGTATCTCGGTAAGTGCCTTCAAGTGTCATGCATTCAGCTTGAAGCTTGGAGGTCTCCTTTCGAGCGTTGCTGAGCTGCTCCTCGAGGGCACGGGTATCTTGCGCCTCCTTCTCATAGAGTGAGCGCAACTGAGCGAGGCGCTGCTCAAAGTTTTGCTTCTGAGACGTGGCCTGGTTAAGCTCGTTCTGGGTTGTAGTCCTCTTGGCCTGAACGTCCTGGGTTTGCTTAGACAGGGAAGAAATCTGGTTTGAAAGGTTCGCGAGCTCAGTGGTCTCTTCTGAGATGTTCTTACTAGCCTCGTCGTTGTCTGACAACAAATCTTCGGACGCAGATGGTGTGGAAAGCTTCTGGCCCGAGCCGGTCGAGCCACCAGTAGGGTGTTGGGTCAACCCCCTGCCGAAGGAAGATGATGGGACAAATGGCTTAAAGTTTGAGCCACTAGTTCCTGTCAAAGCTGGCTTCACAGGAGAGGTGGGTGTGAAGGAAGATCCGCCAGCAAAGGGATCATTAGCATTAGAACCTCCTGTTGACATAGGAGCCTGAGCAGGAGGTGGAGGGGCAGGGGTCGAGCTGCCCGAATCAAGGCCGAACAAATCATCGAGGGCAGACTTTGGCTGAGGGGGAGCTTGTATCACAGGCGCGGGAGGAGGATCGAATGCGGATGTAGCAGTATGCGGGCGAACCTGGCTACGAAGGCTGGGAGGGATCAGGTTGGCGGGCAGGGTAGTAGGTAGAGGAACTGAACGACCAGTCCTCTGCTGCCTGATCAGGTACATAGCAACTGCAAACTGCTCGCGTGAAAGCTGGCCCTGTGAGTTGGTGTCGGCAAGATCCCAGATCTGAGCCAAAGAGTCTTCAGGTAGGTTGGACTGGCTGAAAAAGGAGACAGCCTCTTCTCCTGTAATGTAGCCCTTGTTACCCTTGTCGAGGTCGGCATAGATCTGATCGAATCGAGCCTTATCAGCAGGGGTCACAGCCCAGTCACTAGCACCACTCTGTTGAGGGGACATAGGAGGCCGGCCAAGAGGGCTGTTTGTGCGAACTTGTGCCGTCCCGCTGAGTTGTCGAGGAATAGCAGATATGCCAGGACCAGTCGAAGATTGGCGTGGAACGGGACCACGGCGCGAGGCAGCCTCGTAAAGACCAGGAGGAAGGACATTAGGGAGAGATCGTAGAGCTCCGGTCTTCATAGAGGTAAGCAGGTGCATGGCGATGATAAATTCTGTCAAGATAAGAGCTCCTCGCTGCTCAGTATCGGCAAGTTGCCATATTCTACCCAGTGCTTCGTTAGGCAGACCAGACTTCTCGAAAATACCTCGAGCCTGATCACCGGGGAGCTGGCCGTTCTGAAGAGGCTGTCGTTCGAATAGACCGGTATATTGTGTGACCTTTTCGGGAGTCAGGGGTGGGATACGGATCGGGCCGCCAGTGCTTTGGGCTTGAAGAGCAGCGGGAGGAGGCGGCGAGCTGACGGGGACAGGCGGAGGCGGAGGAATGCCGCCAGTGGGTTGAGGTGCGATGCCATCGAATCGAGGAAGAGGAGCTTGTTGAAGGGCAATCTCGGGTGTAGGCTCGCGACCAGCTTGTGCGTGTCCGATGAGTCGTAGAGCGATACCGAAGCCAGCTGGTGTCAAGAAGCCTCGATTCTCCTTATCGGCAATTTGCCATATCTATGAAGTGTAAGCAAGCCGAAGTTGATGGTTGAAAGATGTGATGGTAGACGTACTTCGCCAAGAATACGGGAGTCGAGGCCTGTTTTGTGGAAGAACCTAACAGCAATTTCGCCAACCACAACACCAACACTCTCGGAATCGGCTTGTCGGAAGAGTTGACCATAGGTCCGTTTCTCATCAGGAGAAAGGTTCAAGTTTGGCGCTGATGATGAGTTAGCTTGCGTGTCACAAGTCGAGATGCCATGCGAGTGCCAGATACCTTCATCAGCCGCCATTATCACGTATGCAAGCTACAACGAGCTCAGGATGGGAGAGACGGACGACGGGTTGCGATAGCGCCAGGAGATGTTTGAGTTGATGCTTGTCGGTTTAGCGATAGATATGGACCACAGCTATCGATTATACAGTCGATAGATGCGATCGATGATAAAGCTCGATATAACGGGCGTAGTAGAACGGATACCGTTGTTGAGGAGGTTGAATTCTGGTGCTTTCAAGATGGAGATGAGATTGGATTGGATTGGATCGTCAGCCTGGCCTGGGTCCAGTCTGGGTCTGGGTCTGGCGTTTGGGCGATTATGGGGGGGTTGGTCGGTGCTGCCATGGGCCTCTGGAGCAAATGAGAGATGACGACAGGGGACATGGAAACCAATCAGAAGACGTTGAGAGCTACAGGGGATAGGGGGGAACCTTGACAGAAGCAATTATCTTTATCCGCTAAAGACGCACTGAAGCGAGTCTCACAGTCTACGTAAGGGTTTAAGCCATGGAGCTTGTGGAAGCTGTCAATATCTAGCTACAGAAGCGAAGCTCCACCCACTGAACGTCATACCTCGAAAAGATGTTTCCAAAAGAAACAATAAAGTTTAATATATTATTATAAAGATGGTGGTGGTCTATTTTACCTGGTGGTTTACATATAAATATATTTATTGACCATCTTATATGACGTGTGCATAGATGAATGGATTAACGGACAAGTTGACTACATCTACATGAATGGTACCCTCATCATAAATACCATACATACACTGTATGGCCATGATTTATTCTATGTTTCAAATTAGCTCATGTACAGACTTGCGTTGGCCCGAGGTTACTGAAACCTGCAGTGTGTCGCTATAGCTGCGTGTGCATGCATATGCGTGGGCTGCATGGTGTCCAAGGAATACATCGTCTGCAGTCATCTTGATGGAAAATACTCTAATCATAGTACAGAGTTTCAATATTCTACATAAATATATGTGGCTGTACATATGTACCTACATGTAATACCAGGAACCATCTCTGCTTACACAATACAGAGTTGCAATTTCCAGATACTTCTTCCCTTTGTCATCAACCTCGGCTGAACAGAGTGCAACAGTACTGGCTTGTTATTGTGTCAGGTACTTTAACAATATATACTCGCCACCACATATAAACAAAGATGAGGAATTATAATTCCAGAAATATGATTCCACATTTTGTTTATCTGATTTGAAACTTGGCACCCTCAAAGGGACTCTTTAACAAGGTCCCCGGTGCTGTAACCCCCCCAAGCTTGCCTCTATATTTGCCGCTAACGGGAACGGATGGAAGTAAAAGTCTAAGTGGAACTCTCTAGACCCCGTAGATCAAATCAAATCAAAAAATCATCATCAAACTGCAAGTGGATTTCAAATCGTTCCCTTGTTTCTACAGTTCGTCATTGAAATCGACCAATCCAAGCCCAAACTTCAGATCGGTTTGCTTACTCAGTTCTCCGATAATCATCTTAATAACCAATTCTCTCATATCAAATCAATTCTGTCCAATCCGCTTCTACTCTCTACCACAATAACCCCGCCACAACCACACCTACCTTTCGTGCTTTTGCTGTCCCATCGCATATTGTATCTTCTCGTCGTCCATTTAAAAGACGTCATTCCCCTCTCTTTCACTCCCTTTGTACCAATTCATAAAGGTCAAGCCTCGGTGCAGCCTTTGTCCATGCAAGCTCTCGCCCACTCTCTACGCTCATCAACACTGTCTTCGTCTTCGAGAACAACCCCGCTGCGAATAGCTTCAATTACCAGACACCTGTCTACATCCGCGCGCAATATGGCTCCCGTTACCAAGGAGACCGATTACCTCGTCATTGGCGGTGGTAGTGGAGGACTTGCCTCTGCGCGCATGGCCAGCAACAAGTTTGGTGTCAAGGCTACTATTGTCGAGAACAAGCGACTTGGTGGAACTTGTGTTAATGTTGGGTAAGTACCCCATGAAAGCTTATACTAAACCATAAAACTAACATCTCGTTTAGTTGTGTGCCAAAGAAGGTTACTTACAACGCTGCCGCCCTTGCCGAGGCCATCCACGATTCCAAGGCCTATGGCTTCTCTGTTGAGGAGACAGCTCCCTTCGACTGGTCCACCTTCAAGACCAAGCGTGACGCTTATATCAAGCGCCTGAACGGCATCTACGAACGAAACCTCAACAACGACAAGGTCGATTACGTACACGGTTGGGCTCGCCTCACCTCTAAAAACCAGGCCGAGGTTACACTCGACGACAACTCCAAAGTTCTGATCAACGCCAAGAAGATCCTTGTCGCTGTTGGAGGCAAGCCCACCATTCCTCCCGAGATTCCCGGTTCCGAGTACGGTACCAACAGTGATGGTTTCTTCGACATTTCCACACAGCCCAAGAAGGTCGCCATTGTCGGTGCTGGTTACATTGCTGTCGAGTTCGCTGGCATGTTCAACGCCCTTGGCACGGAGACTCACCTCTTCATCCGTCACGACACCTTCCTCCGCAACTTCGACCCCATGATTCAGGAGGCAGTTACCAAGGAGTATGAGAGACTCGGCGTTAAGCTGCACAAGCGTTCGCAAGCTAGCAAGATTGAGAAGGACTCCAACGGCAAGCTTACCGTTACATACAAGGACGACCAAGGCAACGAGAGCGTTGTTAGCGATGTTGACAACCTGATCTGGGCTATCGGCCGAACCCCTGAGACCAAGGGTATTGGTCTGGAGGAGGCTGGAGTTAAGCTTGCCAAGACAGGACACATTATTGTCGATGAATACCAAAACACCGATGTCGACAGCATTTACGCTCTCGGTGACGTTACCGGAGAAGTTGAGTTGACACCCGTTGCCATTGCTGCCGGACGCCGTCTCGCGCACCGTCTGTTCGGTGGCCCTGAGTTTTCCACCCTCAAGCTCGACTACAACAACATCCCCTCCGTTGTATTTTCCCATCCCGAGGTCGGCAGCATCGGCTTGACAGAGCCCCAGGCTATCGAGAAGTACGGCAAGGATAACATCAAGGTCTACAAAACAAGCTTCACAGCCATGTACTACGCCATGATGGATCCCGAGCAGAAGGGCCCTACCAGCTACAAGCTTATTACAACTGGCCCCGAGGAGAAGGTTGTTGGCCTACACATTATGGGAATTGGCAGTGGTGAGATGCTACAGGGCTTTGGTGTCGCTGTCAAGATGGGCGCCACAAAGGCCGATTTTGATAGCTGCGTTGCTATTCATCCCACTAGCGCCGAGGAGCTTGTGACATTGAAATAGAGAAAGAGGATATAGACAATTACGACTACAAGCGTTAATACAAGAATCTGTGAAATAGAAGGAATTATTTGTTATGGCTCATGTTGTTGTGTACGTATGGCAAGGTGACTCTTGTGCAAAGAGTGATGATATCACGAAAGGGGTTGGTTTCTAGGAATTGGTGATTAAACACATCAGACATATCAAGTTCTTGAGTGATATTCTAGGTCTACATCATGAATAGATGTCATCTCTTTCGCCCAGCTTGAACTCCGAAGAAACCGAGCCCCTGTCGAGACCTCATCATATGTCCCACCCTCAAGTTTTCACACTTCAAGCACCGGGCCACGATAAGTGTGCTACTAGAAAGCGTACACTTTATTTTCTCATTTGCAAATTTCTGAGTTGAACTGAATTCCATCACTATTAGTCGCTATCATACCCACAAACCCATTCTTGTCGTCATCTGTCTGAGTAAAGCAAAGCACAATTCAAATCTGACTTTCGCTAGCATTGTCGTAAACAATAAGACAATATCCACGTATCAATTAGAAATTATACAATTCTCAGCTCTCAATTTTGTATCTCGATTTTATGCAACACGAGAAATCAGAACTGTTGCAACATTATAAAAGGAATAAGCGGCTATCGGCGACCGGTAGCCATCTATCTCGGGACCCGATTGACAGAAGTCAGGTATATTCCCTCTTGACTCACTTGCACTACATACCACACATATCCTCACGTCAACAACAACTAATACCAATGTCTCTTTCAAACCGCGCCTATGAAGCAGAGGAGGCCATTAAGGGTATGGATCTCTGGGAGGTCATACCCAACCTCTTCGACCAAGAGACCAATCCCGATGGTATTGTGAGTTTGGGCGTTGCGGAGAATACCCTCATGCACGATGTTCTCCGGAAGCACATCCACGACAACTTGGCCTTGTCGAATCCGGCGTTCACTTATGGAGACGGAACAACGGGTACGAAGCAAGTCAAAAAGACTGTCTCGCGGTTCTTGAACAGGCATCTCAAGCCGTTCAAAACTATTGAGCCGGCGCACATCACCATGACCAATGGATGCAGTGCTGCTATCGAGCATTTATCGTGGGCTGTTGCGAACCCTGGAGATGGGATTCTTCTTGGGCGACCCTACTATGGCACCTTTGTTCCGGATCTTACAGCCCGTTTCGGAGCAAAACTTCTCCCAGTTGCATTTGGCGAAGTTGATCCCCTCAGCGAGGACGCAATAGCCGAGTATGAGAAAGTCATACTTGAAGCTCAAACTCAGGGGACCAGAGTTGCAGGTCTGGTCATCAGTCACCCACATAACCCCCTGGGACGTTGCTACTCTCGCAGTGTTCTTGTCGCATTTATGAAGTTGTGCCAGAAGTACAAACTGCACTTTATCAGCGATGAGATCTATGCACTGTCTGTCTGGACCAACACCATTGGTCAACACCCTCCATCTATTCCCTTCGAATCTGCTCTTTCAATTGATACCGCAGACATTATCGATGCTGATCGTGTGCATGTTCTCTGGGGCATGTCCAAAGACTTTGGCGCCAACGGTATCCGAGTAGGCACGATTGTGTCTCAAGCCAACATGTCTCTGCACGCTTCTATAGTAGCAGTTGGACTTTACAGCTCTGTGTCATCCATCTCGGACCATGTCACAGTCAATATATTGGAAGATGATACCTTTGTCGAGTCATATATTGCTGAGAACCAAAGGAGGCTATCAGCTCAGTACATCCGTGTTGTCTCGTGGGCCCGCAAGAACCAGATCGACTACGCTCCAGGTGTAAATGCTGCCTTTTTCCTGTGGGTTGATCTGGGCAAGTATTACATGGAAAGACATCCTGGGTTAGAAACCGATGACATTACGGATCTTATCATGAGCAAGATGATGGAAAAGAAGGTCTTCCTGGCATCTGGAAAGGCGTTTGGTTCAGAGAAGCCGGGCTGGTTTAGGATTGTGTTCTCGCACAATGACGTATACCTTGATCTGGGTCTTGAACGGGTAATCGAGGCACTGTTGTAATGCTGATTTATGAACGTAACAAGAAGAAGATCATACCGTGCTCCTTCCGACAACGTGTTTGACTTATCATGATTAACAAGTGTCCCCTGATTACCGAGTGAAGCTGAGCAAGATGATGTTTATATAAGGGTGTATTGCCAAGAAATAATTGTTCTTTGATGTGCCTTGCGAGGCCATGAGCGCCTCCCCCAGAAGTCAACTTTGTGAAAGGGAAGAATAAGTTAAAGAGCTGTGCCATCTGTATCTGAGGAACAACTGTATGGGTATCAGCTACAGATATTAAGGTTAAAGACACTCGATTATATTTTGTATAATAAGAATCAGGGCTGTCAGTTCTTTCCAACAATCATATAATAGAAGTTTAGTTTGAGAGGACTGCGACTTTCAGTCAGTGGACATCAAGATAGACTTGGGATGATTATCGTTCTGATTCATGGGGACATTTTTGGTATATTTCTGCAGTTACTAGGGCAACTTTGTTGCTGAAAGCACAAGAAACGGAGTCAAAGCTCACGCAATATTGAATCAGATGTGTATGTCATCTGTCTATATGCCCTCAAGGTTTGAGGTTATCCTTTCTGATGTCTCTAGATACTCAACTGACTCTATACATTGGACTCGCTAACACTCCACCTCTTAATACTTCAAGTGCTCGTGACATATAACCTAAAAGAAATGCTACCTTTATTTCTCCCACTCCCCACTGACTGGGACGCTACGAGTGATACGCAAATTTGAGCATCCAACACTGGCACCTAGACAGAGGCTCTTTGCGAAGCTATCTTTAGAAAAGGACAGTGAAGCCGGCGCCATCTTGCGGTCCACTGTTAGGGGTCCTCTTTCGTATGAGGTGCAAAGTCGGCTTATACAGACGGAGAGTCCTGGTTAGTGTGTGTAGATATCCACGTTCAAAGAGACTGAACTGCTCCAACCGGATCAGACCGGGCCAGTTTCAAGCAACATTTCATCTCCATCTCACGGTCTCGCCCGCACCCCCGGAGGAAAAGAAATGGATGTATCAACCCCAATTGAGTAAAAAGAAGCACGGTCCTTTCTGGTAGGGAACTTGGTGTGTTGTACGACAGACCGGTCTTACAGCACATTTGGCATTAGTTAGTTTCGCCAGTGGGCAGGCAAAGAGAAGAAAACTCTGCCGCCTGGGCATGGACAAGCACAAGCACAGGGCAAGGGCAAGGATGAGCCATGACAGCAAAGACAGGACAGCACTTCGGCGACCAGTCCGGCGGTCCGTTGAGAGCGGGTAGATCCCTCCCGGAGGCCGGTAACCCAATCGGAAGAGAGATTTCGAGCCCGGTGTATCCAATTCTTTTTAAAGTGCATATGCCATCCAACGGCCCTTGAAACCCCAGCAAAACAACTTGACGGACCGACTTTTATATATGGGGTTCCAGTCGGGGAACCAAACCGTTTGACCAAAAAATCTAGCTTGCAGGCTACTGCCGTCTGATGGGTATCTCTGTTTACTCTAGCAAGGGTTTGGTTTGGTCCCCTACGAACTTGAACCCGTAGAGATGGTAGGTGGATGCTCTGTTAGGTCAACTGATCTGTTCACTAACAGAATAAGCTGAGATATCAGCCAGCTTAGAAACAAAGATAGGCGAAAGCAGAATTTGACGATAACACAAAAAACACAAAGACTACGCCGCACAAGCGCAGAAACTACAACAAATTGGCTCAAAAAAGATAGAGTGGCAATATGATCAGTCTATTACCTAAAGATAAATGCATCAAAAAGAGTCAGGTATGACTGCCATTCACTGTTGGGTTGATTCGTGTACACGTTAGGCAGTTTTAACCTGAAAACAAACAAAGATATATCCCTGAATGGTGTGTATGTACACGCACAAAGCATCTTGGCTGTGCCTGAACTGAACTGAACCCTGAAATGTAATACCGATACCCGAATAGAATCTCACTAACAGGCTGACAGCCTTACTGTAACCCCCCTGCCATATCAAGGTCATAGAGATCCTGCACAAGAGAACAAGAGTTCATTTCACTGGATGCCGACAGACAAAATGCATTCAGACATGCATTTCAATGACGGGATAATTACCATAATTCCATGTAATTACGTTTGCTTTTTGTCAATCTTTACTGAGAAGAGCAATGTAAGCTGAGCTGATAAAATACGGGTACGTACCAAACTGACGGGACATTAATAATAAACTCGCTAAAACTGTCGCTGTCAAAACCCCAACTTGCGGGCTGAAAAGAATTTTCGTACAGGGGTTGATATCTCTGAGTACCAAATGCAGACAGACCTACACCAATAGATCCCTCACACGGATATCATCAGCCTCGATAGTTTCATTGTCTAGACACTCATGTCACATCACACTAGGAGTAATTTCGGCCATCCCTGGAGAGAGAGAAAATTTTCATTCTAGGCAGGGCACAGAAAAGCAAACAACGAGAGTGTGAGAACAAGGGCAAGGGCAAGATCTCTCCTCGGGATATCGAACAGTAGTGCAAACTCTAGATCCCCCATCCCTCCCCAGATCCTGCAAGCGTCCACTCTTTTTCACTCAAGGAGCCAAGCTTTATGAAGATCGCTACCAACGTCTTACTAGAGAAATTTTGGTTCCAGGGAGAAAGACTGTGCTGGTGAGGAGAACCGGAGGAACCGTCTGGTTTGGGTTTGGGTTTCTCTCTTTGAATGACCTCCTTCTCGGCTCTACCTTTGTTGGCCTTTTTGCCTCCCACTACTGGAGAGCCTTCAAGGACAGTGAGTGGTTGATCGGTTCAAGGTTTGAGCTTACGAAGCCCTCCCCGCGATAACCGGTCCCTCATCGTTATTCCAAGAGGGAAAGGCCAAAGTCTGTTTGGCTCGCGCTGGATGCGGATGTGACCCTACCATGTCGACATTGTGAAGAATTAAGGACCTTACTAGTGAGTCTTAGGGAAAAGCCAAAGCCTCCTCTCGCCAGGAACATAGACTCTATACCCAATCCTGGGAGGGAGTTTTCGTATGAAGCTATCCACCACCCGGGATGTGAATGAATCAATGAAACTAATAGAAAATGAGGCCGTTGGGTCTGGATCTAGACAGAGACACCATCGAATAGACGCCTCAATTTGCCTCTTTGCGACACAAAGAGTAACAGTCATTTGATGATGCCGTCTTCATCCGTGGATATCATGTAAATGGCTCCGCAAAATCGGGGTCGACCGGTCCGACGCGGGGAACAGGAGCTGGGGAAAGCTCTTTAGTTAGTCAAGTCTACTCTAATGTCTTGGTTTAGTGACAGCCCGGCTCTTGACCACAATGACCGATGACGGAGAGACTATGAACCTGTCTCAGTTGAGCCGACAGTTCTTCTCTCAGTAGGTGCTTCCGAGATCCAGTCAGCCCTTCATGCGGTATGAGATATCTTTCGTTGGTGATCTTTACTCATATGCAGAGAAACAAAAAGGAAATCAGAAACACACCCGATCGCCTTGAGCTCCCTTGTTGTTACCGGCTGCCTCCCCCGGTTGCTGGTGCTGAGATACTCGCGTTACACAACTTCGAAACTCCCAAGACAAAGAAAGAAGCGGGTATAGGTCCGAGAGACAAGACATTCAAAAACAAAATAAAAATAAAAATGAAAATAAAAATAAATTATCAGCGATGAGGCGGAGATAACAGGGTAACAAATTCCTTGCGTTGGCAACAAACATACCTTCATTCAGCCTCCAGCCTCCCTAGCCTAATAAACGATCGTTGTTCCACAAAGTTTCTCGAAGCTCCAGGATCTCGATGATTGACTGAGATGAGAACAAAGATAAGAAGTCATTCTATGGCTTTAACTCATTCCAGGTGTGTTTTAAGCCAGCCACATGTACGTTCAATATTTTTTTCTTCTACAGGGAGAGACAGAGAGATACGCATCGTAAATTGCCTATAACCATGTTCATGCTCATTCTCGAGATACCAGGTCTCAAGATACACCAAGTTAGGTTCCTGAGTCCCCAAGTGCAACGTGATCTACCAACACAAGGCGTATCGCCATTGAATCTTGTGCAATGCCTAATACTTCCACCAATCCAAGTCAATAAAGAACCAACACCCTCGGATGGACCGGCTAGTTTGAGGCTTGCCCATGTTTCGGGGCTCTTTCTACGTAGAAGAACTCTGGCGAGACAAGTATTTCTGGGCTGACGTGCTGGGCTGGTTATCACGTCCCAGCTCTATGGACGACAAGACACTAACTTCAACACTACACACGCTAGCGAATTGGATAGAGCAAACATCAATTGGAATTCATGGCTTGAAGTCGCGAACGCAGTGGAACATTTGTCCCAAGAGACATGGCTGACTTTGACCCCCAAAGGGCGCTCTTGTAAATGGGTTACACCCCTTTGGAAGAGGGTGCCTCATAGGGAAAAGTCTTGTATTGCCTCCTGTAGGCGAGATAACCGTAATGGTGTCAGAAATTCCATTCTTTTGGAATTTAGGGATTGATTGGAGCGCCATTTGCATGGCGTGAAGAGGCAAGACAACACATCATTGTCATCATCAGTGAGGCAATCAGTTTTGGTAAAAGAAGTAAAAAACGGCTATTATTGTCAATACGAATGAGAATTGTGTCAGACGGATTAACCCATAATAGCCGTATCTTCCGTTACTATGCAGTGCAAAGGCAGAATCAATAGCCGGCGATGCATGTAGGCAGAAAATAGGTATAGTACTGTAGATAGATACGAGGGAACTTGTTGCCTGCTCGGCATAAACGGGCGATCCGCCCTTCTGAAACGGCCTTTGTATGTGTCAAAGCGAGAGCCTATCGAAGTAAAAGATGACGATCAAATCAGCATTAAGAACAACAATATCAAGGCGTCAATCTGGTTGAATGCGGTTGTATCAGTCAATATCAGAGAGGTCCATTCGGCCTTTGAGCCGCAGTTGGTTGTGGAGGGTAGGATTCCACGTGGTGTAACCACACCACAGGGACAGGATCCGACCCATCAATTGCTGAGTATGGATATCATGCTTACAGTGCATTGCAGTATTGCGTATATGCCGCAGCAATGTGCGGCATATAAGGGATAATTCATGGGTGCCTGTGTACTCGATCCAAGTCGTCGAGTTGACAACTCCCCCCATTGTAAGAGATAGAGAGGCTGGCTGATGAATCTTACCATCTGTCCGCATGTATGTACCTACATGTGTGTAATATCCTCTTTTGGCCAGAGGCCTATGTGCTCGTACTACGTTCCACAGCACTCGCATGGATGAATGGATGTCCAAGTATCACAACCGCGCTGCCTTTCCTTTGTCCTACATCCCTCTCTCGAGTAACACAACAGGAACCGGAAGACATTTTAATTAGCAGAAAATAAGAGAGGGAAAACTTTTTCTTTCTGGTGATACACCGATAGAGGAAAAAGTGGTCCTTTGGAATGATTACATCGAGAATAGCAATGAAATGTCTGGTCATTGTTTTGTTTCCAGCACATTCAAGATTGATTGGACAAGTTTAGCCAGCCTCTTGAGTCAAGACATGTAAGAGCCTCAGAATCCAATTACCGAACTGACACCCGGCAGTGGGGATCCTTTTCTTCTCTTTGATCCAATTGGTTAAGTAGTTGTTGGGAAAGAAAAGCAATTACTAGACATTGTTCATTGATGATATGTTACAGTGAGTGTAAATGCCGTGCCTTGTTGATACGACAAAAAGCCACCATGGATAATTGTAACCCTGTATTCAATTCACAATGCACAATTCATTAACCAGGTTTACACAAGGATGGATATTCGCAGCGGGTCAGGCCGAAACTGAGTTCAAACTCAAATCAACTCAATTCGACTCTCCTTCTGTCCAGGATCAGGGAAGTTCCAAACTTGTTCCTTGAACCAGGCCAAGGCAAGAATCATAAGTAAGCGGTAATAATAACATGGGTCGTGGAAAACGCCGACGTCACCCAGCGGTCCATGCTATTAAATGGAAGCGACGAAGTTCAAGGTGAGTTTCCGGAAGCACAATCATTCCATTCACGACGTAACGCAACATCCGGGCCGTCCCCGCCGATCAATTAGAACAAGTTTTCTTTCCCCTTTTTCATCTGCTTATCCAGGGACAAGACAATTGCAGGGTTTGGTATGGTATGATAGAGATAAAGAGGATGCCACGTAGGTTGGTAATGGATATACTAGACTACAATATACATAACAACTTAAAACAAGGACGAGAGAAAAGAAGACAAAAGAAGATTCATTTAGTGAAACATCAACTAAAAAAAAAGACGATCGATCGATTGAAGTAAGAGTGAATTCGTAAGCCAAACGAAGCAGCCTTATCCAGGAACATCCCTCTACGCATTTGCTGCTGAAGCATAACATAACCCCATAGTCCCGAAACAAGCTACAAACCCACTTTTGCTCTTGTAATGTACTTGATCCTGATGCAAAACAATGCAAAGCAAAATGCAAATGCAAAAATGAAGAACCGGAATCTTGGGGTTTCACTGCCGGTGGAAGCGAGGCGAGGCGGAACGGAGAGGATCCATCTGCCGATGAAGATGGAAAACAGCCCATCTCAACATCGTCCCATGTTTTAAACGGAGTAATATTGCAGTACAGTACGGATACTCGCTCAGTTTCGGATATCAGAGGTAGAAATGGGCAGATTATCATATGTACGTGTATGTGTATCTCATCGATTTTTTTTTTTTGGTCTAGCGTACGATCGATCACCCGGAGAACATAGATGGAGATCTGGCCATGATTTCATAATGTAGTAATATTAATTATTTTTTCCAAGAAGGAGAAAAAACTGTGCTGGTCTCCCTACATAAGTTATGTACATACGTTTAGAAAACTCCACGTCTAAAACTCACGATGGCCGGGCCCTGCCGATGGGAATGATGTCGATCTCGGTCGACAATCCCGTAGGTACGTACTTTTCCCGACATTGAACCTTTTACTCTGAGCTATGCGCCATCTCTCCTTTGGTTGGAGGAGAGAGAAAGATGAGAGATGCCCTTGTCCAGTATCTGGTTGGGTCCTTTACACGCCCATCTACTCCATCACCATCTCAAAACCTTGGAATAGCCCAACAACAGAGATGAAAAGTTCCACTCGTCAATGCAAAGAAAGAAAGAAAAGACCCCTGGAAAGAATTTCAAGGTCCCCTGATCTGATAATCGCCAAAAGCCAAGCTCTCTCTCTCATCCACCAAAAATCCACTCTTGAAATTTTTCCATGAGACACGTGCGAAACCATTTTGTTAGCTCAGATCAACCAATTCAGTTGAGCATCGCCTATGATAACATGAAAACAAGAACCAAGCAGATGCGCTGGCACACACGGACAATCCACCTTTGTTAGTACTAGTACCCAGACGATCGCCTCAACATGGACTACAAAGTTACGGCCCGCATGACGTTCAGACACAAGAGACCAATCCCATTGACCAACCCCGTCGCTAGATGGGTCCCTGTACCTTTTTTAACTACTAGGTTTTCGGGTGAGGCTAAAGAAAAATCTTGTTTGCGGTTACGGATACAGTTATGTTACGGAACATGGAAGAAATAACTCGATCATTCAGATGACACTGACAAAAATGGCACTGGGGCTTTCCACCTCCACTCTGTATAGGCGATGCCCGAATATCTTTGTCACGTCGTCTGTGCATTGATGGAAATTTCGATTATTTACATCCACAGAGGGGGCAGCGGGGCGTGAAAGGGGACCACAATCCCTACTTTGCATGCTCCATTGACTCTGATGGGAAGAAGCTTTTGCACTCAGTAGACTACCATCCAATATTACTGCCTTATCCCTATCAAGGGGTGCACACGAAGGGGGCAAAAGTTAACGAAGGCCTAAACCACTAAACACAGCACATGCCACCAGCCAACAAGCGGATACACATAGAGTTTGACGCCGACTAACTGGGCTTACAACATTGTCAATGCCTTCGGTATACCATGGCAAGAGATGGATACTATCGGGTACAACATACCACACTACGTAGGTGACTCTTTCTTTCTTGCTGTGTAAAGGCGGTGGAAGCATAAAAACATAAACTTGGATGAATGACAGATAGACAGCACACGTTTCGGGTACCAACTTCAACGACGTCTGTCTAACATAGTCTCTGTTTGACTGGCATTTTTAAGACCCGTATGACACAGACACAGACACAAGTACATACACACACACACACAAGGAGTTATACGATTACAGCACAAAGTTGCGAATCTCGGTTTAGACAAAAGTAAAAAAAGAAGCTCCCCCGTTATCGGCAAGGGGTAAAGCCAAGAAACAAGATTGAATTGAATCACGAGGATACTTTATTACCAAAAAAGTCACTTTTATAACTTGTTTCAAGTTTTATTTTATTAGTCAATTAGTCAATGTATTTTATTAGTCAGTTAGTCAATAAATGTCTCCATTCTACTTGTCAGGAAGCGTCGTGCCTATCCATCCTGCTGGGTCTGAACTTGAGCTGGTAGGCGCCGGAGATCGGAGCTGATCACTACAGGTATGGCTCACAGCAAGTAGTCTAGCCTTCTTGGCCAAGCTTCAAGTCTGGGGAACGGAGCTGAAAGGGCATTTTCCTTTGACAGGCAAGTCGTAATTCATCCTATCCTGTCATATTCTCAATCCAGTTCTGTGTATTAAAATGTCCCACCCCTGTTAAAGACCGGTCCGGAACTCTCAAGTTGTGAACTGTAGAGCTTTTAATCCTTGCCGGTCCTGAAGCACATCAGTTTAGCTCAAAATCATGCAAAAAAGAGCCTCGCTGTGATTTTCCTGCTGTCTGCTTAGGGTCTCCCTGTTAACTAGTTAAGCGTTGAGAGAGTGAGATGCATATGTATGTATACGTGGATCCGAAAAATGGAAGAGACAAAAAATGTCGATGCACATTTTTGGCCTGCCTATCCCAGTCGAGCGGCCTGGCGGTGACTGTCCGCTTGGTTGGAAATCCCCCGAGAAAAAGCAAACAAACCCACTTGGTATGTAAGAAGGCTCAAGGATGCCCAATGGTAGTAGGTTATGCCCTTTGAGACAATAGGTGACAAGGGACGGTGACAGCTCAGACAGAATGAAAAGACTGAATAGAAACACCTAGAATTTATGCAGATTTCACATTTCAGAAAGAAAACTTGGCTTGCTTTGTTTGGAGGGTGGGAAAAAAGATCTCTTTGGCTATAGTATGCTATGGTATCCAATCATGTGCTATGCTGTGCAGTGTAGTGCAGTCTTCCCGCAGTTCCTGTCGATGCCCAGTTGCCCCGTAGTCAAAAGCTCAAGTTATACCTCCCAATAGAATAATCCATCGACCGGCTTCTTGCCTGGTCGGTCCTGTACGCCTGACCCAAATGTCCCCAGCCGTCGTATCCCGGTATCATGAAAACCTCCCGTGCTCCCGTAATCCATGCTCCGAAACTTCATGTGATATCAATCCGCCCTGTATTTGGTACAAGATATCCCTTCTTGCTTGGGGTTCATATCCATGAACCCCGATGGACAAAAGAACCGCCCCAGATGATCCCCACCCGTAAAAGGATGGTTGACATGATGAAAAGAAATCGTCATGGATCCATGTTAAAACAAACTTTTTTTTAATGCAGTGCTCCGGTATAATGCCCTTCTTTGGTACAATAGATTCTTCGACAAGATAAGGAAATGTGAAGGCGTTGAGGTGTGGGTTGAGTTGAGGCGTTGTGTTGATGCAATGATGTTTGAGTTGTTGAATAAGTTGTGTGTGTTGAATGAGTTGCGTGGTAATATGTTTTAGGTGTTATTTCGTATGTATGATGTCGTGGTTATAGTTGAGTAGTAGTGGAGTGCTTAGTAGGATCGTCGTCGCTGAGTCCTCACGTTGTCGAAAGACACAGCGTACGCTCGGAGTTCCTTCCTCGCCTTGTCAGACAGTTGGCTTTGCTCTCCTGTTGTTGAGGTGCTCTGCATGGAGCACAGGCTGCTGTGGGAGCTGGAGGGGGTGAGGGATCGGTGGTTGGCAGTCGACTCAGTGCCGTAGGGCTTGAAGGTGGGTTGGCTCATGTGCCTTGATCCGTATGGCTTTGCGTTGGAGAAATCGTAGGCGGGGGAGAGGTAGAAGCCCGAGCTAGAGGATTTCGATGACCATTGGCAGGAAGGAGAAGTGAGGCCGGGTGAGCTGGCTTGAGAAGTTGTTGTTGATGTCTTCTCGAAGTCGGCCAGTCTGCAAGACTCGGAGCAGTAGGCATCAGAAGACGATTGCACTTGCTTGTCGCAGGCAAGGCAGAAAGAGTGAGCCCAAGAATCGAAGTCCATGGCTGCGGTGATGTGTGGTTGTATGAGTGTAGTAGAAGGTAGTGTTGAAGGGGTTAACCCAAGAAGGTGTTGACTTGTAATCCTTTGTGTTCAAGTATTATCGAGTGAAGTATTGCAATAGTTTGGTATAGTAGAGAGAGCAATTAAAGGATCGCAAGTGAGAGAGTCGAGATAATGGTGAAGGAGATCTGAGTTGAGAGGTTCGAGGGGGAGGGTTATGTATATTCTTGGTCAGTGGCCCAGGCACAGCCTTGGTCGATGATCAGTTGCACGACCAGGATGCGCTAGAGGTACTCTTGCTAGGAATTCGTGGAGGAGGGTACCAAGGCACACCTCTTCTCCACCAGAAAAGAGTACGTATCAGTGGAGTGTTGGACTTTGGTGGGGGCGCCTTGCCGCTCTTAATGCCCTGCAGACAGAGGTTAGGCCGGTACGTACTGCTTCATGCTGAGAAAAATTGGTCCACATCGCTCAGTGATGGGACGCCCGCCGGGCGTGGGTTGTGCTTGTTTCAACTGGGTGTGTGGTGTGCACACCACGCCAGGGCGTCTCACACCTCCCAGACATAGGGAGTGTTGGAGGAGGTGGAGGGAGTGCCAGGCCAGGATGAGCATTGGCAAGTGGAGTTTGCATCTCAGTGAGCTTTCACTGCTCTTCAGGGACCGCCGTACGTACCTAAACTGGGAGTCTGTTGCAGGGCAGAGGAGGACAAGACAAGCCTCCACGACAAAGGACCCAACCAAGACATTCAAACACCAGACACAGGCGTGTGATTTTTGCTGGCTGGTACTGCACTGCAGTTCTTTTACTACTTGGCTGACTGAACTGGACTGTGCTGCGCCTGAGCCCTGACCAAGCCAAGCCGTGTTTTATTCTTTTCCTCTGTCCCATCCTGGCCAACGCTATTACTGTACGAGATTGCGACGGATAGCCGAAAATTTTTCAATGATTGCATTACGGCCGGTTCATGTCCATAGTCCACGAGAACAATCACCTATATCGCAAGCTCGATGAGGTGACTCAGATGGGTAATGAGATGGGGACCTTGAGAGGGTCCCGCATCCCACCGCAAAGGCATCAGCCGAGATTTTTCGCTGGCTGGGCAGAGGGTAGCGACACCGGAGGTGGGCAATGGGCTGTTGGTCGTTCAGTTCGTTCAGGTAGCCTCTGGTTTTCCGTTAGCTACCGTGCAATTCTGCACGGTTCTGCCCGCTTACTCGAGATTTCGGAGTGCCCAAGTGCCCCCTCCCCACAAAGATCAGAGGATGCGTGCATCTCATCGGGTCTCCGTGGTGTGAGGTGAGGCCATTCAAGATTTGGCATCGTAAATTGTGCTCGTCTTATGGGAATTTATTGCTGACATTCTATTAAGGTTCCTTCTTGACCCGGTGATGGATGTCCCCGCTCGTTGAATGGTCAATTGATCCATTGTGAGATTGCATCGAGTCCTATGGAGGGGTGTTACAGGTTACAGGCGAGTCTTTGTGCTTTCGCCCTCTGTAATGCAAGTTGCATTTGCGCTGAGCTGCAGGATACTGCTGTAACAGCTGTAACTCAACGCTGCGGCGTAGCGCAATTTGCTTGACGGTTGGTTTGGTTTGGTTTCCATCCACTGCTTAGCCCACAGGAATGGGACGGACGGGCTGGTATTGTTGTAGCCTGAGGCAGAAATATAGATTCAATGTGCGCCCGCAAGAGGAACGCAATGAGCTTAGTGCTTCACAGCTCTAGTCTTTCCAAGGCATAGCGCCTAGTAATGCCTCCTTCCCCACATCCTTGTCTGCCGTCCGTCTCCATCTCCATTACTCTCCACCTTTATTTCAACTTTGGCTGCTTCACTTTTGTTCTCCACTTTGAGCACGCAAAATAACCATTGATTTCAACAACGTGCTTCAGTTTAATGCTCCGTTCAGGTCAGTCAGGTCAGGTTCAGGAGGCTCAGGGTTCGGGATCAACATACCCTCCAACAGATACGGAGTAGTTGCTCTCCGATATACTGCCGGAAATAGGAGAATTCTTTTGAGTTATCATAAAGCAGTTGTATCCGATTGTACACGCAGTTGCACAAATGGCATAGATAATCTCAAGGGACCAAATTAAGAAACAGACTCGGCTGTTGATAACAGCATTGTACATACTGTATCTTTGTCTTCATAATGACGACAATCTCGCTTCCTGGGCATTGTATCAAATTGAGGGCAGTACCATCATAATTCTGTGTCTATTGAACCAAAAGTATCTGATATCTTTTACCGCTCAGTATCATCAAGAACACAACCTCCTTCAGCATGGCACAACAGTAACCACCTGGCTCCTGACTCTAGCTGTCTATTGACTCCATAGCTATAGCCATAGGGCTAGACTTTGCCGAAGCAGACGCGCAATCGAAGTTTGTGAGACGCTCGAAACGCTCATCGCGACAGCAAGTGACGCCATCTTTCGCAACTGTGTTGCCGGATTACATGTCTGTTCTGTCCAGCCCAGATAATGTGCTCATCCAACTACTGTATCAAACCATACAATGCCCCTCTACCGGGTTTATGGATACTCTACTGCACAGTATTATCTGCAGCAATAACCAGTTTCGACTGCCGCTCTGCCACTATCAAAAGGATGCGCTAGGCCCATCACACCTTGATAGCCAACAAGCCAATGGCCATCAAGCTCCTCACCACAATCCTTCACTTTTTACTCACTTCTCACAAAGTTCTGTTTTACTTTTCGCCTTCACATAAACTAAATTAACTCAAGAGGTACACTACCTTGAGGAGGCGACCGTTGATGAAACCACAAAGTCTCTAATACTGAACTAAACCAACACCGTCCAACTGTTGGGTTACAGTAGACCCAGACCCAAAAACATCTCAACCACAATCACAATCCGTGCATATGCTTAGGTATGTTCGCCACCAAGCAATAGTTTAGTTTACTTTTTCACTTGATGGTGGTGTTAGTGTTTGGAACCAACCCCAACCCAAACACAGATCACCAGTGGGAGATCAACCATCCTTCAGGAACATGCCTGGACCCTGGATTTGGATTGTTATAGATTCTGCAATAGAAACAAGATCAAATTCTTCATCTCGTCGCCACAAGCCACATTTTGACGCATATTGATCTCATCGAGGCTTACTTTCTTTTCTTCTTCCTTTCTCCTTTACATAAATTGCCCGAGCGGTTATCGTGCAGCGCAGCTCATTGTCTCACCCATAGTACAGGAATCGCCTCCATTTGAATGTCACTCAGAGCCGAGTAGAGTAGGAGATATGGGAAGATCACACAGCAGCAGTGCCTATTGAACAGAGAGACCAGCCAGATACTCGGTTCTCTTGAAGCAAACCCCGCTTACAACCAAGTACTACTAATCTCTAGACTCTTTACTTTGGAACATCGTCCATCATGACCCCTCTTTCTATCACGTCTCATCTCCTGAAGTAACTAGTGCTTGTGTCAATTGAAGCGTCGATGACATGAACGGGCCTTTTACGAGTCAAACTAGCTGGTTGCGCATTGAACATCTCTTTATTTACCCCAGGTTCTCACCGGGGAATTGCGCTATCCTGTCATGTCAGTCGGAGGATTGATTTGAAATGAAAAAGTGGTCGCGCCTGTATCGTGATCATCATCAACTAATAGTTAGTAACTAAAACTACCTACGGAGGCAGTAAAACAGCAAAATGCAGTGCTGATCCCCTTTGGACGCTGTCGCTGCGCAGCTCTACAAAACCATTCCTTTTTTGATCAGGACTGCGTCTGGGGGCGGAGACGGACAAGGGACGGGGGGCTTTTCAGAGCGAATCACTTGTTGTTCTTGATCTGCAACCTCCATCCAACTGCGTCCCCGGTCCTGATACTGCCGCCTGACCACATATTCCAACCTCTTTTTGAAAACAACAAGGTCGCATCGTGTGCAACTAGCACGCCCTCTGATACCATACTCCTAGTATAATGCAGCGGGTTAATACTCTCTGTTTCGCTCTGGGGTGCATAGGCAGGCGCTGTTGAAGAAAATGGTCGCTTATTGCAGTAATTCCTGTCCCATGCTAGGCTTGACGAGTTTCTGATACCACGTACTTCCCCGGATTCTTGTGGAATGGGCCATTCAGGACCTTGTCACGATACTAGCGAGCATGCATAATCAGTTCGGTGATATTCCCGCACTCTCAGAAATATCTACTTCTTGTCAGTTTATCACGTCTTATCTTGTCATGTCTCGGGGCAGACAGTAGAATCCCCACTGAGCAACATCAACCCTAGGTAGTCCGATGATGCTGATAACTGAGACTGAAGACGCAATGAAACGCAATTTATCCAGGATAACCAATCTCATGGCAGACAGTGGGCATATTAGTTGGGATTTGCCAATCATCAGGTTTTTGCTCGGCATATCGCGGCACTCAGACGGGGTTTCATTCGGCTCTTCCATGGTTATAGGGCCTCAAAAGTTATTCCCCTCAAACTAAGGTTTTTCTACCAATTGATCCATGAGGTTTTTTCTTTTCTTTGTTTGCGTTATTGATGCCCATAACAATTAACAATTTGGGTCTTTGCACCCGAAAGTCTAATCCATATGCATTGCGTTCTATGAGGAGTCCAACGGCAATTCATGATCGAATCACAACCTCACACAACAGTCAAGTGCTGATCTTACAACGCGTCTTGTCTCCAGCGCGTTGACGATCAGGCATGAATTAATGAATCAATGAATCAAGGTGAAGTTTGAGAGTCAGGGTCAGAGACGGAGTCATTTATCACTTTAATTCCACTTGTATCGCGACGGTTGGATGGAACTAAGTTGGTTATTAGTCAGTCGTGATACTTCCCCACGTAGTTAATTGATTCATTGATTAAAAGATAGCTCGGGTTACATCAGTCATGACGGCTTCTCCAGATGGAGATCCAACGCCCGCAAACACTATCATCAGCAAAAGATATAGCGCATATTAACTAAAATGTGCCTGTATTATTGATAAGATAGACAACCGAGAAGAGAGGGTCCCAAAAGTTTTCCCCCCACGATTTCCCATCGTTACCTTGGTTTAGCTCGTCGGACAAAGTGACGAGATAGGAAGCATGGTCCTTTCTACGGCTGCGGTTGAAGCCGCTCGCGCAATCCCCCTGCCAGGACCTGAACTCTATTTTCGCTGTAAGTCGAAATCTGGGAGTCTAGACCGATGAGGATTTTCCCCTGGTTCATCGTCAACGCCGAGAATCGTTATACGTTTATCGTGGGAGTTTTTTTTTTTTTTATCATCGTCGTCGTCGGCCTTGACGTAGTCTCTGCTTACACACACATGACAGCAGGCCTAAAAACTTACGCTAACTTGTTATTGTTGATTATATTTACAGGGGACAGGGCTTGATGCACTGGCCACGCGGGAGCTGGGGAGCTCTCTCCACTAACTCGAAAAGATTTCGGCGCTGAAGGGTTCAGATCTTGGATCGTGTATGGGACGGGAGTATGAACAATGAACAAGTCCAAGGCGATCCCGATTCTTTCCTGGCAATTTTTGCTGGTTAGTCTGTGCAGCAGCAGAGTTATCTTCGGTACAGGACAACTTGTAGTACTAAGACTGCTGCTGCCAATGTCACACGGATCTACCAGCCCATCTCGTGTAAGCCAATATCCAAAAGGATGTATTACTGATAATCGATTCGTCCACAGGTAACCCTGGTCTATAGCTCAATAATTCCCAAACGAGATTACCGCACGAACATGTCAGCAATGTCTTTCCAAGTCGAGTCTCTGTGGCGTTTATTCTCTTTCCAAAAATGAAAAGGATGCGCAGCCTCAACTACGCCTTCGGTCCAACCATTTCGAACCAAGACATGCAGAGTCACATCGTCAAGTCGAAAAATGCAGCGCATCACCGGAATAGGAGACGAACCATCTCAGCTGAGGGTGTTCGAACTACTACAAGGATTAATGCGCTTCACCTGAGGGAAACATCTCAGGATTGGGCGTGATCTGCCACTACTGGTGGGATCACTGATCACCTCACCCTCTGATCAGGCTGACCAGCTTGGCCAAGAAGCTTCTAGCTTAGCTTGTCAGCCTGCCAGCCCCCATCTTGAAGAGCAAGACGGACAAGAACAAAGTCCGTGCCTAGCCTGATGATGGACTTTGTCGAGTAAAGATAGGATCGTGGTCCAGCCCGGCTAACTAACTAAAAAGAAGACTGCAGCAGATAAATGTCCCCTCAATGGGATTCATCAAGTGGAAGAACAATTCCACTGGTCTCAACGCTAAGGTTGTCGGGCAAGTGACTGATACAGCGCTACAATTCTCGATCTACGAAAAAGAAACGACTAACTTTACAGATCGCTCGCCTAGGATGACGCGAGAGCAACCGTACCGCACCGCACCGCCGCAGACGGCGGCAGCGCATCGTCAAGGTCAAGGGTAAGGGTCCAAGAGAGAGAGCTTGGACAGAAGGCTAGGGCAATGTCGGTTGTTTAAAAGACCCAATATACACAAGATTACTATTCATTCATCGCCTGGATAAGGTTATCCCGACAGCTTGAAGCATTTTTGTTATCATTCATCTGCCGATAATACGGCGTCGGCTTGAGTCGGTTCCTGTTACAGTATTTGTGCCGAGGAATCAAGTACTACTCTACGTACAATCTGTGCCTTGCAGCATCAACCATGGAAAAGGGTCTGGTCGGGTGCTACTCCGAAATCTCTCATGCATGTCAATATTGCGGGCTTTAGAAGAGGCAACCAACAGACTTGCAGTGCAGGCTCAAAACAGCCAGCCGCATCCTGGAATTGTGCGATAAGACCCGATTCTTCAGGGTGGTGGTGTGTTGGTGGTGTGGTATGACTGCGATTGATGGCGTGGCCTCGTGCACCAAGGGTAACATAAAGAAAGGCCAGGTGAGCCATCTCATTCGTTGAATAACCACCATGATCTGACAGCAACTGAGATTGAACCTTAGATTGATTAATTTTTCCAACATCTTGTCCAAAATTTTTCAAGTCTCCTGAGTCTAACTTCTTCCCCCCTGTCCCGTGTCTCTGAAGCCTGGCAGGACATCTGATCCTTTCTACGGGTATTGCTAGCCTTTTGTTGGCATCCATCGGGCTATGCCAAGAGATATCCCCAGAGTTGCCTGCACTTAATAAGGCATCAGGGTTCCCTGACAGATAGGATAGGGGACCGGGATGACAGGAATATCTTGGACAGAGACTTCTGCCAAGTTGGGCATGATCTGCAATACCCTATCGCTCGCTACCTTGCCTTTCCAAGGTTAGAGCGGCAGGTTGCTGTCTAATGGCACACCACGAAGAGACAGACTGCAGTAGCCTCCAAAGTCCAAGGCCTTAAATCGAGAAGGAGCTTTTATTGGTGTTTTCATAGTCTTTGTAACTGACTACTGGATTCCCGCTTTCGTGTCTCCTCTTATTAGTTATGGTATCATTCATGGTTGGTTGACTGATTGCTTTTTCCCACAGTTCCGTCCCTTTTTTTGCTGGCTACTGTCGCTAGACAAGGCTTGTCCCAAAATATGAAGGCGTCTTTGCCCGAGAATGCCAAGCTTCATCTCCACTGGAATTGGGGGATTAGGATGACCAGATCGACCGATTGCTTGCATGACGACATTACTTGAACTTTTTTCTTCTTCTCTGTTCCCCTTTTGCTTGGACCTATCGTGCTTTGTCCTTGGACTTGAGGCTCAGCCCGGACCTCCTCGTGAGCTGATGCCATCGTGAGATTGGGTTGTGCAATGAGATGAAATTCCACTGGAGTGGAGAGTTTTACTGGAGACTTGAGAAAGTTTTTTTTCTCTCTCTCTCTCCAATCGTCAGTTACACCATCGTGATTGTATATCCAGGAACAATTGCGTCACTCTTGTCTCATCAATGAGGGCCCCTTTGTTGTTTTAATTTTTTCCCGATTTATATCATAACTGTTATAATGGTTGACACAACGACTCCTGCTTCATAATTGTGGATAAAATTAAATTGTATTTATTACCGATCGGATCTTCATGACCTGTATCAAAGGGACTTGTTTTGGGTCTGATCAAGTCATTCATCAGCACGTTTCGCATATTGACGCGTGCCTGTCAATCACTTGTTTGAGGTGACTAATTTATTGTTAGTCTCTGACTCTGACTGTGACTGTAAGAGGTGGATCTTATTCTTTTTTCTTGTTCTTTTTTCACTGTCTACTAGACTACTTCTCAAACGTGACCTCTTCTTGCCTTGTCCCTGTCCTTGATTGACTTTTGATCACCCTTGGACCTTGATTTATTTAGCAGTCGCTCAGGTCCGAGTCGGACTAAAAACCCGCCCGCTCTTCCCGCTGAAAGTTACAATTTATAGGGGGGTGTGCGTGTGCATGCTCTTTTAATTGGTTCATAACGCGCGCCCTCAAGTGCCGTGTCATTCGAGGATTGGTCGCATGGGCCAAAAAGAGCTTCTTGTTGGTTACCTGACCGAAATCAAGATTATTTCCTCATTACTTGGGTATTAATGAAAAGTTTTTCATCTTGATTGATTGATTCCCGGTTTTCTGGAAGCGATATGCTCCTTTCTTTTGCGCGTGGCTCCTCAGGCTGACTGTGTCTGCTGATGATGACATGGGCTCTTTTACTCTCAAGCAAGGGCAAGGGCTGAGTCATGAGAATCGTCCAGAACAGGTTTCAAGTGTTTGGGTTAGTGATCGTGAAAGAGAGACACGGAACGGAGCAAAAGTCCAAAGGCGTCTGTCTGATTGTATGTCATCCACAAGGCTCATCTCAACTCAACGGCGGCCCCACGGCAGGCACTCGCTCATTGATTCTATCAGTGACATTCTGATAACGGCTGTCAAGGTTGCATGCTGATAGATTTGTAGTTCCAACCCCTGACATGGCTTACCGTGTTATGCCCATAGCGTAATATCCCATACTTTTCGCTCCGGCGGCAGGCAAAAGACCCCGAAGCCAAGTCCAAGCCAGACCTCGGCTGCTCGTTCTGTCTTTCAATCTGACTGTTCCTGTTACAATGTGCAATTCTCACGTTAAAGTCTGGGGTTGACATGTCTGGTCCTGCAGCGAGCCGCATGTTATGCTGATGCTACCTGACGTCGCTGATTCGAGTCTCTAGCTTCTCTGGACAAGCGAGATGAGAAACTTACCAATTCGACCTATCATATCAACTCGCACTTGCAGCATCATCCCTTGCCTCTGCCGTTTCGTGTTTCCAATGCAGACACGTTTTTCAGAGACATTTGAAAGTAAGGACCACATGGCTTTCAGAAAAACCGTTATTTTTGCCCTTCAGAAATGTTCCTTTTTTTCATTGCCTCGTCCTTGTCTGCATTGTCTTTGACTGATGGTGGCTTGGTGGTCTAGGCTCTAACCTGGAGCGTTGCGTTGCGTTGCATCGTGCCCTGTCTTACTACTACTAGTAAAAGGCAAATCTGACAGATCACATTCAACGTGCGTTCCCCCGCATTCTTTCATGTACACTCGTATATTTTGTCGAACCGGGGTTTTTGTTGAACCAAAAACTCGGCTGGGCTAGGCGCAAATTTGCATCAAAGGAGCTTGTCACTTTGTCAGGGCCCGTCCTGCCACGCTGCCTCTACTGCAGGTTCTGCTACAACCAGCAAGGATACGCGTTCTTATGGTCTCTGCTGTATAGTTACGTAGTGGCACAGTCAGATTCGAAATGGTATTCTGAAATAGGTATCCTCTGCAACAATTTCTACTTCCTTTCTCAGCTTACATTCTTCAAGTGAAGGGGTATCATCAAGGAAGGGATCCAAAATTGGCCACTCGGCCGATTTCTGACAAACGAAAATATGTTTCCATCCTCGAGCATCTCCAGCTTTTGCGTCTGTGCGATGCCTGCTCTTGGTACTGTCTTGCCGCTATCCTGTCCTGTTCTATCCCGTCCCGTCCAAATACAAAGACCAACCAGCGCTTGGGATCAAATTCCTATCAGACTGCTGCAGCTACACGCTTTTGGACAAAAGTAAGCCTGCCGTCGTGTCTTATCAGGGGGATTATTCGACCTTGCCGTGCAATCCCAGTACCTGTGCTGAGTGGACAATTAGGACATGGGGGTCGCACACAACTTAAAGCAGGCTATCATGAGCGCTCCAAGGGTTCGTTCAAGTGTCCGTCCACCTTTGAAACCCCCAGCGTAACGGTACACACACAATTGACAAGGCCTGCGTCGGGACCATCGAAGATCCCTTTTCGGCCGCCTCGCTTGGAGGCAGAGGAGAGGCAAAGAGCCAAGACGGCTTGGGGTCGGATGCTGGCGGCTCAAAAAGAGACTGGCAAGACGAGATACCTCATTCGTAAGACACGAGGCGAATGTTTCTTTTCTGTACGGCAACAGTCCCAGAAGAGACTTGTCAGGTTGCACTAGACATGAGCCTCTAGGAAGAGACATAAACAGTCATACGTGGCGAGACTACGGCAGACAGAGACTGGTGATTATAAAGGAGGCGAATCGAAATCGGGATATTGCTGCATTGCATTGAGTTTCTTCTTCTGTTATAGGAGTTTCAAGGAGAATGTGGTTGTCTGTAAGTCTGCCCACTACTGACTACTGCCAGTCTTCACGATGACCCTCATTTGCAGGACAGGATAGAACCGATGCAGCACCTCTGGCAGCTGAGATCGCCACACGGTTGCATTTCTTTGTACGCAACAGTTTGAGGATGTGATCCAATCACCTCTAAGCCACCCCAGACTCTTGTGCTACGCCTCTTGACGTGGGGAACTTTGGACGCTTAGTTGATTGTTGGAGAGAATGAACGAACGACTTATCGTTTATTTGGTGGACGTTGAGTTGCGGGGGATAGATGCCTGTAGCTATGGCTGCCCCGTGGCTGTTGCTGTACCTTGCTAGGCAATGGATGCGGCGCCTGCATTTGCGGCTGCCTGCAGTGCAGTCCTAGACTACCTAGGTAGGGTGATTGTCATGAATGGCATTCCATGTCCGACGTCCCAATTACAATTCTCTAAATTATCACCTTTACCTGTCATTTTGTGTTTTCGTTATTGCATGTTGCATGGTCTGATAGCTAACCGAGAGGAGCTTGTCACAGCGTGCCATGTTGCACTGAACTAAACTGATGGTTGAGGTCTTGGCAGAACAAAGACCCCCTCTTTTGAGTCTCCAGACTTTTGACCCCCGTCAGTCGTTTAATTAACACGCTACATACAACTTACCCCGGATTTCTCCTGGCTTTCTCGGACTCGGCATCGTCGGTGGCTGGAGTCGCCCGTCCGCAGCGGTTTATCAAACTTTACCACTGTCGGTAAGTCAGGAGGTAGCCGCCACGGATACTCCGTGGAATATTATTTAAAATAGCATTTACGTAGAGCATTACGAGTCCATGGGCCATCATCTCTTTGTTTGTTCCAGTAGGCGCTTACGCTAGGAATGGTGTGATTGTCACAGTACCATGGCCCTGGGGCTGTCTGTGCTGGACAACAAAGCCCGTATGTCCATCCAGTGAACAGATAAGACGTTGGCATCTGTTGGTGGCTGACAGAGGGAAGCAAGCAAACATAATCCCTCCGTGACACTCTGAGGTATTAGTCGCTCATCAAGATCCGACTGCTTGGGCCCCAGTCTGCAGTCTGCGGCAAAGCTCTGACGACATTCATCCATTATCTTGAGCCTCCTGCAGGAGGGTACAATACGTGAAGGGATCATTGCATGAAAGGGAGATTATCAAAACAGCTTCTGAGTCTCTGCTATTCATGCATGCATGTTTGCTTTCCAAGCTCATTTAGTTGAAACGCAACTGTTCAGACCACTATGTCTGGTAGAGGGATAGCTTAACGATAGAGTCATGATAGAATATATGTTAATTCAACTCGAGTTAGAAGGTCACACCCCCTCTCTCGTGACCGCTCATGTTCCCCAAGTCATGGAAATATGTACTTGATGCCATGAGAGTCTTCGCAACTTATTTTACGTTTTCCGTTAGGTCGGTTTGGCTTTGGTGCTGTGATCATCTTGCCTGATTACACTCTAGTGCACCAAAGGGAACGCTGCACAGAACAACTCTGCTCTACAGTGATCAAATAGGAGGGTGTCTAAGTTGCGGAGGTGGCGCCTTAGTTGTGATGTGATGTCTTAGTCTCAACCAGCAATGAATGTGCCATGTGACCTTTCGTGTGACGAGGTAGCATCCGTACTCTCTCAGACTCTTGCTGCAGGAACTCGCCTTTTTTCCAGACCCTGGCCAGACTCTTGCCAATATAGTCAATGACATGCTTGACAGGAGAAAAGGGCGCGTTCTGGCCCTTGGCTTGAGCAATGGCGCAGTAGAAGCGAGAAGAAAGGTGAAAGGGGTGGGTGTGCTGACCTCTCACGGGACCATAGTGATGATCTTGTTGATGTTCCATTTCCGTGGGGGATAATGAAGATCTGCGATAGGGGGAGCCGGTCTAGGGTAGTGATAACGGAGCTGGTGCTCCACGTTTTGGCTCAAGACTGAGGATGAAGTCGATCTTGATGAACTACTTGAATTAAGTGCTTGATAATAAAAGATGACGGCGTATAATGCACCTACACATGAGCGGTTTTTCTCTTCTGCTACAAGATTGGTTACTGTATTCGCCAAGGTCTACAATGGTCCAGATTCCATCTTGACCTCACCTTACCTCAGATACTAACATCTCACTAACCTCACTTGAGGACCTTCCACCCACAACTCCGATACATCATCACAAACGACATGGAAAGTGGGTTATGTCATGTCATGGTATGCAATTTACCCAAATATGCCAAATTTCCCCTCTTCACTGCACTTACCTGTCTTCCCACTTGGAGAGAAGCTTCTGCCGCCCAAACTAAACTAAACACGACGAAGACCATGCGATTGCTGCTTCTACCCGAAACCTGCCATACAGCCTGATACCGATCCAGCGCATTCACATATTGTGCATTTCTACCACTTACACTAGGGGATGTAAGCTGTAGGTTTCCGCACCGGTCCGGATGGCCGCATTACACCGAGCCGGAGGACTACCATGGCGGCAGATCAAAATGGATCTAGAAGTGGATTTCACGATTGACCGAAGAGGGTCTCGGTATGGAGTTTCGACCGCAACAACACCAACAATAACCTTGACGATGAGCTGGCTAGAGACAGAGACATGATGCTGGTCTAGTCAATGCACCAGGGAATAGAGTTGAGGACAGGGCCGTTTGTGGTCTTGTCTTGTCTCACTTCGCTCGCGGAGCAACTGCCGTCGATCTCGAATGGAGCTTGACAGCAATAACCTTGACGATGAGTTGGCCAAAGTCAAAGTCAAAGTGTTGATGTAATAGAAATTCCTTCTGCAGGGATACTCGGTTGTTGTCTCGTATCAGAGCAATTGATTGAGTTGAATGGAGCCTGTCTTCAAATGCATCATGTCTTCATTAAACGTTGGGCAGGTAAAATTATGTTTGTTCCCACAAGGAAAATGACAACTAACAATACCAATCACCTGTAAGTGACACATGTCTAATGCTATCTGGATAGAGACGGGCGTGTTCATAGATGCCCATCTCTCATATTAGTTGCCTCCTCAATCTTGCAACTCCTCTGCATAGCGGGGAGAACTTGACAAAATCTTCACGGCCTAGAACCTCGGAGCCAGGGAAGTCATGCAATGCCATCAAATATTGCAGGCGTACGCCCACTCTTCAAAAAGTGTCCATTGCCTGATATGCAGGCTTCAAATGTTCCATTGCGGCTCAGAGATAAGAGCAACCCGAGATCACTACCATAGGATGAACTCAATGCCATAAGTCAATACAAATAAGAGTTACGTAGTGTTATGGAGCTGGGAATACTCAACAGTCATGCATGTATGCTTCCAATGTTAAGCTCTAAGGGCACACCGGCTGAAGTCTTGCTGCTCTGCTGCCACCACATGGATAGAATTCCACAGCAATGTGAAAGGGGGGTATTGGATTTCGAGATACGATTAGAACTGAGACGACCGATGGATACAGTGCAAAAGAACCGCCGAGTCTGACAGTCGCTGTCCCTTACTACACTCCGTTGATCACTGAGACAGCATGGAAACATTGTAGACCAAATGCATTGCCTGACCACTAATACAAGGCTCGTCTAAAGCATGCGCATGGCATCAGCATAGCTACGATCACAAGATAGGATACTAGGACGACTCCAACTATTATCAAGGCCATGTGCTCTTACATCAAACCAGGGGTTGACGGACTATCACATCAGCAGTGAGATATATGATTAAACACTTGTGACTTGGTTTAAAAAAAATAAATCCATTTTTAATAGAATGTAGTTGTATTCGGTAACTAACACGAAGCTCGCCCTCCTTAATCGGCTGTTTAGATCCTAGTCATCCACAGCCCTTTGTCCAGAAACCCACGATGCTAGATCCCCGAGTCTCACAACGAATAACATTGAATGAATTTGGTATAGCAATACTTTCAGACTTGTGTTATGATATGTAAGGTTAGTTCATCCCAGTAATAGCCCGATTTTGACTTTTTGGGCATATGTATATGAGTAGTCTGTGAAAGTTTAACAGACGACCGATTGTTATCGACGGTTGCGTGAGTTTTCGACTAATAACATCCAGTTTACTGCTGACCATCGTTCTTCGTGACACCTGAATCCGCAAAAAATCCGCAAGTCTATTTTGTTAGCTCGAAACCCGAACTGAAAACTGTTCCCGAATCCATGACTTCATCTAAATGAGCTATTGCAGACTGTCTGAAAGGCTCTATCACTGAAAAGACGCCATGTGTGTGTACAATCAACACCATGTACAATGGCAATCGCTTAAGCGCGCGTGATCATGGCCTCACGGTCAGGACCGGTACCGATCCACTTGATCTAGGAGATGTTAGCAAACACGCATGCGAACCAGGAATCCAAAGAATAGGCCTATCTTAACCCCAACAAACTTCTCAATGTACTGAGATTTGTTAGCGTGGCTCACTTATACAGTGGCATATACCATACCTCGACATATTCTCTGGCTTGCTTAAGAAGGTCATAGAAAGACTTTGCACCAGTTGTTGGCTTCTGCCAGCCAGGCATCTCGTGATACACTACTTCGGCGCGCTCCAGGAGGTCGAGGCCAGCGGGGTAGTGGTCGAGTTCCTCTCCGTCGACCTTGTAGGTAATGGCAATCTTGATCGTCTCAAAAGCGACCAGAACATCGAGCTTTGTGAGGTTCAACGATGAGTAAAAATAGCTGGTACTGTCAGTAACATCGCCCCACGGAAAGACGTCACGTGACATACATGGAAGCACTATATTTGGCGATAACGAGGTCGAGCCATCCGTACCTGTGTCGGCGGCCAGTCGATGTTTCCCATTCTCGTCCAATCTCCTGGAGCTTGGTTCCGATCTCACCAGTATCCTCGGTTTTGAAGGCGCCGGACTACTCGGGTTGTATAGCATTTCGACACACCAATTGTCTCGGTGATGCTGGCTGGATTCAGACAAAGGCCACCAATCGTTGTATCAGAAGAAGTTACAAAGGGGTACAAGCCGTACTTGATGTCAAGCATCGGTGCATTCGCTCCCACAACAATGATGTTCTTGTTGTCATCCTGAGCTGCCCTCATTGCCTGTAATTCATAGTTAGCATTCGTCCATCATGAATATTGAAACCACACCACATCTCCCCATTCTCGATATCTGGAATTTTCTAGATACAGCAGGAAGGGTCGAGGGAGAGAACAAGAAAAAAACTTACCCCATTGAGCACCCAGGATAACCTTCATCGTCATGTTGCGTTACTGTAAAATGCGTTGAACACGATGTATGTCGATGTTGTAGGATGGAAAAAAAGGAGCGGGGCATGACGCGGGGCATCATCGGAGCGGGGCAGAAGCTTGCATCACTTGGTAGCACCGGGCACCGGGGATAGATGAATCATTCCAGTGGGCATTAACAAATTTAAGGTACGATACCCCAATAACAGCCAAACAAGCCCCTCTAATTAGAAATTGCGCTCTTGAATTTTTCTTAGTCATTGTAGATGCCAATACGCAAAATGTTGCACTTCCTCGAAACATTGAGTCTACAATTGTTACTAGACAAGTCACTTGGTGAAAACCACCTTTGTTTCTCAATTACTGTGACAACTATCGCCAAGCTCACAGTCAAAGAGCCCTAGCCCTAGATAGGACTATATTATACCTGATGGGACTTCAAGATGCAAAGTGGAGTTGAATGATCAGCAGTTTTGTCTAACTCATTGCAATCAACCAAAGAACAGTCCAAAGAATGATGTGATTTGGGGTCCAGACATCTAGACTGGCATGCTGTGGTCAGAGCAGATAACAGAGACTTGCTACAAATATGTGCTAACCCGGAGCTGAGAAAACAGTGGCAGCAAACTCTTGAATACGTTCCAATCACATGTGATTGCACTTAACTGCTGTGGAATGCGCATGGATTCTTAACTTTTATTGCCTCTTAGTTCGCTGAATTGTGCACCCAAATTGCCTGATAGCAAACAAACTTCCCAAGAATCCGCAAGCCTACTATTCCAATGACTAACCTGACTGGCTGAAGTGGCATGGAAGAATCAGGGACATGGCTCTGTGTTTCTCTATCTTTGAACATTCTTAATCCAACGGGCAGTATGATTGGTCAATGCTGTCAGTTTTTCAAATTCACCTCTGGACCTGCATATCAGAGATGGGCATTCCCTGGTAGTGAAAGACAGTAAACGAGCCTCTTCTTTGCACTTATAAAAAGTCACTTTCAAGTTCACTTTTCCCATTCGAGTGGTGGTTGGGGCAGATAGTGGTCTTGTAAGTTTTAAATGGACGTCACGTGCTGTCGCGTCACAGACGTTCGCAGCTTTTTCCCTCTTTTCCCTTCCGGTCGATTTACTTCAATTTAGCCGCAAAGAGAGAGATGCGCTGACTTCACTTCTTTGCTCTGAATTCTTCACGACAGCTCTCTCTTCCCGTTACTCCTTAACTCGAAAATGCGTAAATCACCGAAATGATGGAATCCCAGTCGCTTCAAGCAGGCAGCAACGAGTCGCAGGATAGTCAGGCTATCTTCGATGCCTACAGGGCCGAGTTTGGCATCGGCAGGGTACGTCGACAGTGCAGCTGAAATCACTTTACACTGGGGTTATCACCCATGATGCACTAACACTTTTGCTGCTTCACACAGTTTAGCAGTCCGCTTTCCAAATTCGGATTGTCTTCCAAAAATGGCACGGATGCTCCAAAACAGATCGCCTCACCCACAAGAGAAGTTGTAGTTCCATCATCGGACCCAACAGTCAACGAAAAAGTGGCATCCGAGGCGGCTGGCTCTCACGACGCGTTAACGGACACGGCGCGTTCAGTGAGACCCGCTTCTGAAAATGGCTATCCGTCGCACTGGGACGAGACAGGGGTGGCACTGACACACTCGAAAAAGCAATGTACTCTAGAGACCAGCATACGAAGAGGCGTTACCCAGGGCCGCGAGGACCGCGTTAACCTGATTGCCGACAGAAGCAAAACTCCAGGCCACGACATTCTCATCAGTCCACAAGACTCCAAGCACTTGCCTGCGCGTCATGACAGCGCGAAGCCGCAAGCAGTGCAGAACGATGCACCCAAGCCTCTAACCAGGAGTACGAAGCCGCCGAATAGCGCTGCAGCTGGCGCCTTACACAAGATGGATTTTTCTCAGCAAACTCCGACCCAGGCCAATTTCGACCGTGATTACAGTGAATTTTGCGATTTTGTACCCTCCAGTCCTGTCGAAGGTGATACACAGTCTGGGTCTCTTGAGCCCAGGCCTCTTGAAGATGACGACACAGGGGCCGTCAACTTTGCTAACTTAAGCGAGTTCGGTCGACCATCATCCCAGGTCTCAGAGGATGCAGGCTTCGAGAACACTAGAGGTGACTGGAGGCATCCTGATGGCACTTCGCAGTTGAATAATGGGCAAACACCGCACCGGCCTAATGCCCCGACTTTCGAGACCCCCGCTGTCCCCAAGAATCCGTTTGCTACGAAACCGAACATTACTGCTCCTCTAGCCGGAAGCCAATTGTTCGGCCAGACGCAGTTCTCCTCGGCTGTTAAACGTATAAGCCCAACGTCGTCACGACCTTCTCCGAAATTATTCAACTCGAAATCGCCAAACCTGATTGAGACGTCACCCCTGAAGAATCGAGCCAATGTTTCGTCACCAACCGATATTCGTACATCGAGCCCCCTACGTCTACATGAGATACCCGAGACCTTATTGACAGACGACCATAGAGACTTGGGGCGAGTGCAAACACCTCTGGATGGCCGGTCCGCTGGTGGTGACATGATACCAGAGTCGCCCCCATCATCAGAACCTACGCCCCGCGCGCAAGCACCCAGGTCCTCGAGCACCACCGAACCAATGTCCCATTACGAACCCATGCAAAAGTCTCAGGAGAGAAAAATACTGGGGTCAATTGTGATTTCTCCTATGAATTCCGATGATGATTCCGACGACGCAATTCGACGGATGGAGAGACGAAAGAAGATTGAGCGGAAAAAGGCACAGGCTGCCGAGGAACTGGGCCGAGTCAGTTTTACACCAAAGATATGGCAAGACTCCACGGGACAGCCATCGAGGAAGAGGAGAAAGCTCTTTGGGGCTGATAACCCGGAAGCGAGCCATGCGACGTCAAATGTTGACACGGATGTTAACAAGCGACAAGACCTGCCCGCCATCGTTGATGATTCCCAGAAAGGATTGGTGGCTTCAAACGAACTTCCTGTTGCATCGACAAAAGCTACTCCTGGAAATAGTGCTCCCGAAAACCACCAGATTGACCATGATGGCGACATGGTATTGGTGGATGCTGATAAGGTTGTTGTGGATGAAGATATGATACCGGCCACCAGTCCAGCGCCATCTCTACCACCTACAGCACCTGTAGAACATCCAGAGCCATCAGAGCCTGAGCTACCTCAGTTACGGATGGACGATGAAGATCTACCAGAAGGGCCAAACAATCACTCTGAGCCCTCATCATTGCCTCCGCCACGGAGACGGACCGCCAGGACCTATGGTCGTGCAGTTCGGCAAAAACGCGGGAATCCTTTCCTCAGCTCTTCCAACTCGGATGGGTTGATGGGTGAAATAGAGCCGAGACCAATGTCCATGTCGTCACCTTTGCACAAGGCGGGTGGAGTTTCAATGATAGAAGAAGAGTCAGAGCAGGAGTGTCAGCCACCTCAGGAGACGATCAAGGTTGATGCGAATCCGACATCGCGGTCCACGAAGATGGCTCGGGATGTTTACGCAAACCTCCCTCCACCAATGACTACTCGCTCACGACTCAGCGGTAGAGCTGGGGCAACTCCAGTAACCCCACTGGCCAGTCGCTCGACTGGTCAAATTTTACCAACATCGTCAAGCTTGAGTGTTTTATCAACGACACCAACCTGTTCTGCCAAGACAACACCCGGAACGCAAGACTCACCTGGCTCTGATCGGCCGGAATCGGTGACTCTTCCCTCTCCAGGAGGCAACCACAGCTTGCGCAAGGGGCATATTCGATTAGGAACAAAGTCAGTGTCGCCTCAACAAGCAGGAAAGTTGAGAAGAATATCGAAACGGTATCCACGTCTCGACTCTGAATCAACCGATGAACTGCACCTTTCGCCAGCTGCAAGCGTGTTAGAAAGAAGTATTGTACACAAATCCAGCAGGTCCTTCAAGCAGAGCTTCGCTTCTGTACCTCGTACAGGACGGCTGTTTGATGGTATGGTGTTTGCACTGTCCTTTTCAACCCAGTTCAAAGCACAAGAGCGTAAGAAGATAGAGTCGAAAATTACACAATCAGGGGGAGCAATTCTCACAGATGGGTTCCAGGACATGTTTGAACAGTCATCCATCATGAGTACTATGAATCCAGTGATGGATGAGGAAGAAGCCTTGAGGCTTACTAAAACAAGTTGTGAGAGCGGGTTTACAGCACTTATTGCCGACAATCATTCGCGCAAAGTCAAATACATGCAGGCACTGGCACTGGGTCTTCCTTGTTTGGCTCCTCAATGGATCATGGCCTGCCTCAACAAGGGTGCTATCGTGGACTGGGAACCATATTTGCTTTGTGCAGGCGCATCTACTGTGCTCGGAAATGCTCTCCGGTCACGAATCTTGACTCCGTATTCGGCGGCTGAAGCGAGGCTGGCTGAGGTTATTGAACAACGACCACGGCTTCTGGACGGGCAACGGGTCCTTGTTGTTGTAAACTCAAAGAAGTCACGCAACGAAGCTAAGGAGCCCTATATTTTCCTTGCGAGTGTCTTGGGCCCATCAATATCGAGAGTCTTCTCGACACAACAAGCTCGAGAATTGTTGCTGGAACATCAGAAAGCAGGAAATCCATTTGACTGGCTATATCTCGATAAGGGTACAGGAACAGTGGAGGCAGTTCTCTCTCCCACGGAAACAACGGGTAATAAGAGACGACGGAAGTCAACACCGGCCCAAGCCAATATCGTGGACATCCGTGTCTTGGACGATGAGCTTGTGATACAGAGTTTGATTCTGGGTCGCATGGTGGAAGAAAACGAAATGTATATTTAGCAAACTTACCAGGGTTTCATTCTTCTCAAAGGCGTTTAAGGACTATTGCTATCTTGGGGATTAATAAGGATCAACTTCTTGGGTCGATGCATTGGATGGCGTTGCAAAGCGGAATCTGAGGGTAAGCCTATAGCTAGTGCAAGTACATACCGTAGCTAGATTACCCCTGGCGTTTATATGAAGCTTTCTTTTCGGCAGCTTGACGGTTTACTGCGATATACCCATTTGTGACAAAAAAACACAAGTTGACATCATCATGTCGTTATATACGTGGGTAGCGTTGAACAGACAGGGCAGATACCCCTAGGGTGACCCCTTCAGTGCCCACTCTAATCCCAAGCTTACGACAGTATCAAGGAAAATTGGGCATCAAATCCTGTTAGGCGAAGTGTTGATGTCCATAGATGATGGGGTTTCGAAGAGACTGCAAAGACGAGATCCAAGAGGTATTGGCTTCACCGAGACGCCAGCAGAGGCTTCGTTTCATTGGAGACCAGATATTCGTCTTCTGATCGTTTACACATGATTTGCTTAAATATTTTAAATAAGTCAGAGTTTGCTTCATGCAAGGCAATTAGTGTGTACAAGTAATGCCGTTAAGATTCAGTCATACAGGAGTCGTTCTTTCTAAGGGTACTACTGCAAATCTAGATATCCATTCTTGCAATGTAGGGGTCTGGAGAAGGGAAGGATTGCTAGGTACCTACGTAATTATGTAAGGCGATCTCGAGAGCCAAGAACCAAACACTTTGCGGGTTGATGCTTTCCATGTCTCGGCCCCGCGATGGTTACTTCCATGTTTACCAACAAACAACCACAATTGTTCCCGTTCCCCCTCTATCGCCACCATCAATCTATCAATCGAATCGAGACTTTGCAAATGTCTAGGACCTGAACTTTCGAACGTTCGAGACTTGGAAGATTTGCCGACAACCGGAGTATGGCCGGCCATTTGCGACAGTGGTATTTGTTAGCGGTAAGTTGTTTAAAAATTGACTTGGCAATTCGATTCAGGGACTAATGAGTCTTACTGATCGTGTAGAATTTGTGTGCTACCACGCAAGCTTTAGAATATTTTACCCGCGAAATCATATGAACAATTGCCTTGTCTGCGGCCGCTTCCGAGAAGTACTTTCAAGTATATTAGCTTCGGGTTTGCTTGTGGTGTACGCGACTATACATTAAACCAGTCCCTGTCGATCGCTACTTTGAGGTCGAGAACATAGTGGTTCATCAGAGCGCGCATTTCTTTCAGAGCACTTGAGCCTTTCCTTGTTCGTTGCTTTATATATTTACACAAGAATATCTCGGCTTGGACTCAACTTGGGCCAGAGTTGATAAACAGCCCTCAAAATGTCTTCATGCCCACCCAAGCTGGTTTCGGAATCAACTCGTGAACGGGAATCTTTCAAGTTTGTATTTCCCTTTATTCACACTTTCCATTCTCGCATGTAGCGGGCAGCCCAAGTTTTGCGCAATCACTCACAGGTTGTTAGGTATGGAGCGTCAATTCTCAACGACATCATAGAGTCGCCCAGTGAAGGTGCATCCCCTCCAGATGCGAATACTCCCACAGACAATGCATTCGACGAAGCCACCAGACAACAAAAAACCTCAAGAGATACTGTCCTCGCATCTCTTGCCCAGTTAGGAATCTGGAAGACAGGCACCGATCGAGCTTTGATTTCTTTATTCGATCGCAATCATCAATACATCGTCGCAGAGACATCGCGGAAATCATCACTTGCTCCAGGGCCGATTCGGTCGACAAACGACCATGGTGAATTTTGGTTGTATCCTGGAACATTTCCACGCCAACTTTCGGTCTGTGATCGGGCTCTTATGGCGCAGAAAAACGATCCTTCTGCCTCTCGAACGGAACTGCCCCTTACTTTGATACCCGACCTTGAGGCTGACGTCCGGCTATCCAAACTACCGCATCCATTGTCAGGCTGTCCTGCTCGTTTCTATGCTGCGGTTCCTATAAGATCACCCGCTGGCGTCGACATTGGTGTTTATTGCGTGGTCGATCCTCAGCTAAGGGAAGCTGGAACCTGGAATAGTAGCGACACCCAAGCTCTGCGAGAGGTATCTTTGAATATTATGAATTATCTCCAGTCAAAAAGTGTGGGCGACGCTTACAGAAGAAGTGTGAGGATGACGAGGGGGATAGGTTCTTTTGTGGAGAAGGAGTCGACAATGGCCGGTTGGAGAGCTCGCGATAGTTCTCCGGCATTTCACGACGACGTGACCAGGGAAGGTGCTTTGAATCACGAGCAACAAGCACTACAAAGATTCCGCGGTATTAGTTTCCAGAAGGAGCTGCCAGTGCATGTGCCGATGCAAGCCAATACTGGAAGCGAAACGACTGCTGTGAGATCTGGGAATGCTGGTCAAGCGAACATGACCAGTGTTTCGTCGGGAGGCCCATCTGCCCAGGAGCCTGAGACCAACCTGAAAGAGAAAGCAACTGCCAAGATATTCTCTCGTGCAGCAAACCTCATACGCGAGGGGATCGAAATTGAGGGTGTTCTGTTTCTAGATGCCAATCTCGAGGCGTCAGCGTTCGACGGAGTGGTTCATGATGGCAGCCATTCGACCCCCGAGTCTTCATCTAGTAGTGACGAGGCTACATCCCAAATATCCGACAAAGAAGAAGAAAGGAGGTGCTGTGGCATTCTTGGTTTTGCCACTTCCACCTCGTCTAGCATTAATTCAGACCCTGCGTCCAAGCTTCATGCCGGCTTGCCAATGAAACTGCTTGCGGCTCTATTGAGAAGATATTCGAACGGCAAAATCTTTAACTTTGATGAAGATGGTGGACTTCTGTCTAGTGGAACATCAGAGGAAGATATCTGGTCATCTGTATCCAAACAAGATGAGCTTGGTGAAAGCTCGGCAATATCTGTTTCCAGCAAAGAGCATCGTCCTTGGTCACGAGCCTCGGAAGGACAGTCGTTATCAAAGGTATTTCCTGGAGCTAGAAGTGTAGCCTTCGTACCTGTTTGGGATCCCAAACGGGATCGATGGCTGGCAGGAGGCTTTGCCTACACTATGACGCCTACGAGGTCTTTCACTATCGAGGGCGAATTGAGTTACTTAAGAGGCTTCGGCATGCTTGCCATGTCGGAAGCTCAGAGACTTGAAGCCCTGTTAGTCAACAAGGCGCAGTCCGACGTGCTTGGTTCGTTATCTCACGAACTACGAACTCCTCTCCATGGAGTCATGCTTTCAGCTGAGTTGCTTGCTGATACCCAGCTGGATGTCTTTCAGGGGAACCTATTGCGTACCCTGGAAACATGCGGTCGGACGCTCACCGAGACTATCGACCATCTCTTATACTTTTCGAAGGTCAATCAAGTCGCAGTCAACCAAAAGAGAGAGCGCCGGGCCCGTAAGTCATCCATCGCCCCTGAGCCTGTCGCAACTATCGCAGCCAGTACCTTCGCCTCTGAAGTAAGATTAGACGCTTTGGTCGAGGAGGTAATGGACAGTGTTTTTGCTGGCCATGTTTTTGGACGTAACGAAGCCCATAAAGTCTGGCAAAACAGCAGCCGAAGCGGACAGTTGGACGCCGAAGAATTGCAACCCCCCAATTCGGACGACTTGACGGGTGGTCGGGCAGATGGCACCATCAAGCACGAAGTTCCACTTGGACACAAAAATCAGGTGGCTATCTTCCTCGACATCGACCCTTATGTGCCTTATCGCTTCCTTGTTGCAGCCGGTGCACTCCGGCGTGTAGTGATGAACCTCTTTGGAAATGCGCTGAAGTATACGCAGCGCGGCACAATCACAGTATCACTTTCTCAGAAGCCGCTATCTCCCACCGACCCGGACAGTAACAGACGAGTAGTCCGAATCTCAGTTATAGATACTGGCCAAGGTATTTCTCCAGATTTTCTCCAAAACGATCTTTTCAAGCCATTTTCTCAGGAAAACCATCTTTCACATGGCACTGGATTGGGATTAAGTCTGGTCAAAAAGATCGTAGCGTCCATGGGCGGCAAGATCTCGATTGAGAGTGCAGTCAACGTTGGAACTACTGCAACAATAACTTTGCCTCTAACTCGATCGAACAATCCGAACTTTTTGCAGGGGCAAGAGAAGAACGAGGCCGATGAAGAGGCTAAGCGGCTGAAAGGGCTACGCGTGCGGCTAATTGGCTTTCCATCAGAGGAGGAGATCAAGTCACAAACAGCAAGCGGTATTCCCATGTCTGCCATGCGGACCATGTGCCATCGGTGGTTGGAAATGGACGTTATTCACGAGTCTTCGAGCCAGCACGTGGCACCAGATATCGTGCTGTGCAACGAGATTGCAACTGACGATCCAGTTCTCACGAGCCCAGAACTTGCCAGGTCCCCTGTAGTTGTTATATGCGCTACTGCCATTACAGCACACAAACGGTCTTCACAGCGAGATACATCCGAGGAACAACGAGTGTATGAGTTTGTTTCCCAGCCGTGAGTACCACCCGATATTATTAAGTTCTCACCTCGCTAACTTACCGCCGCAGCATTGGACCTCACAAGCTCGCTAGAATCCTTCATATAGCATTTCGTCGATGGGGAGACTTGCAAGCTCTATCACCAATGACACCAACGAGAGCAGAGAGGGGTCTCTTGCGTGATTCTCCTGACAAATCGGAAAGACGACCGAGAAGACACTTGGGTGGAGGGGATGCTGTAGCCGATATATCAAACGATGAACCCACGCCGTCAGATTCAGAAACGAAGTCTGCGAAACGCCCCAAGCCGCCAACACGAGCCTCGCCAGCACAAGCACCTCCTGAGACGATGCAGGAACCAGCCTCGGAAAATGAAATTAAAAGCTTCCTACTCGTTGATGACAATCCCATAAATCTTTCGATATTGTGCGCTTACATGAAGAAGCTGAAAAGCAAATATGCTACAGCAGCAGACGGACTTGAGGCCGTAGAACGCTTTCAAGAAAATCCCGACCTATTTAGCTGTATTCTGATGGATATCAGCATGCCACGAATGGATGGGATAGAAGCTACAAAACAGATTCGAGCCTTTGAACACAGCAATGAGCGAGAGCCAGTAGTCATACTTGCCTTGACCGGACTGGCTTCGGCAAGCGCCCAACAGGATGCATATGCGAGCGGCGTGGACGTTTTCCTATCCAAGCCTGTTAAACTTAAGGAGTTGAGCACTATACTGAGAGACCGAGACTTGGTATGAATGCGAAGGAGAGGGAGGAGAGTGCAAAGAAATAGACAACTTAATGAGAACACGACACACATAGATGGGCTGACGGGTTGTTCATAGTCATGGTGGGTGTTGCGGGCACATACATTGGGCAGAAAGACTACAATAACCATTGTAGTATTGTTTTCAATCGGGTTTTATCGAAACTAATATATGATTCTACTTCCAAAAATGATTGTTTACAGCTCGGTATTAGGCGTGTGTATCAGATTATAGCATGACCGATAACATTCCTCGGATCATGACTAACCTGAGGCTTGCCTATATGCATAAGTTTAACATTAAGCTATGAGGAAAGCTGTTGAATTGGCCCGGATGTCTCGGGAGTTCATTGTACTGGGAAAATGGGCCTCGGGGTTTTAGGGTTGACCGAGAGCATTGCATGTGTTCATTGTTTTATTGTCAACCTCTGACTGCCGAAAGGTCACAAGGGCTTGACGCTAGTCAGAGTTGATGGTTCCACTGCATCAATAGCTAGGATCGGTGGGTGTAAGAACATCTCGGGCTTGCTTTGCGTTATGGCCGTAACGTGTTTAACTATCGTGGCATACCTAAAACAGGAGTATGTACCCGCGTCTCTGATGAAGTTATTGAAGTTGGTGGACGCTGAAGTATGTCTTCTTTATGATAAATGGATACTGAGACATAATGAGAACGAGTTGTCTCGATTGTATGATGGAATACTCTACTCGAAATCCATCTCCAACCACTCACGTCGGAAATCGGCAATACTGAGTTATCTGCCCTACTGATTTATTTCGAAGTTAGCTAAATTAGCGTGAATGTCATTCCTCGTGGCAGATTGATAAATATCTTCAAACCATGACGTATATCTGCACGCTTAATAATTCGGAATGATTTTGAGTGTAGACAGCGATGTTGTCTGCACATGAACATAGACGGACATATAGGAAACAAAGATATAATATGTAGCCTAGTCAATAGCTACCCATGAACAAGCATATCAATTACGAATGTATTAGAGCTTAAGCAAACCCAGAGAAATCTAATTAAAAATATCAATACCAAGCTGCCAAGTCAAATGTAAAACATAATACCAAGGTGACAAGGCCGGTCATGTTACTATGTATGGAACTTGGCAAACTGGAGTCAGGAGTGGAAATTCATGATTCAAGAGCTTTGCATAGCCTAGGCAGAATCAAATTCAATTAGATCGGTGAATTGATACGCTACTAGATTCAGAAGTCGCCGTGGCATTGGGTCCGGGACACCCGGAGGTTACTTTTAAGAGTCGGAGGCTGGACATTTCTGACGTACGTAGCTGGTTTGTCATCTTACCCGTTCTTCTGTTGATGAGATGATTCTATTCTTTAATCCTAGGAATAAACAACGGCATTCGCGGAATAGGAGATACAGCCAGGGGTAAATGAAGAAGGGAGTTTTGTACCAGTGACTATTGTCGAATGATGGTGGTTGATGGGCACGGACAAACAACACCATAATCATGTCAACCTGGAACTATCTAGATTACCCCTGCTTGAGCAAAGACAGAGACAGAGACTGTGGGAGAATACTGCTGGTCAATGAAATATCCTTTGATAACAACGTGGTACGAGTACGATGCAATCTGCACATCAAGATGAGATAAGCTCACAAACTTGACAACTCAGACTGAGACAGGTCTTCTTATGGCTACATTATTTTATCCATCTTATTTAAGTCTTTGTCTATGACTGGTCCATTCACCTGTTGCATCGCATGCCAGCCAGTATATGTGCGGTAAAGTTGGTAGCGGGCGATCCATTACCACAAACATCCCTGCCTAGCTCGGCTCAGGCTCTACTCTTTCAGGTGCACTTCAGGCCTTGCAATTGGCTCATCAGCCTTTACAAGCCGGCATCCGGCAAGAAGGAGAGCTTGGGTCTCATGGGTCTTCCCTGTTTGGGGCTGGCTTGGCTTGGTTTAGTGTTCCCGAGACGACTTAGACAAGGCACATGTCGTGTGCCCTCAAGAAATCGGTAGCCATGACCTACCTCCGGGTACTTGCAGAAGGGAAAAGAAAAAAGAGACCTACCAATTGCATGTTGAATCATGCTGTGAGGCCATATTTCTTGGCTACCTATGCAACTATGAGCTGTGAATATCACCATGGACTTATGCCCGAGAGTTCCGTTGGTTCTTCCTCTCTTATCCATCAGACAAAACCTGACTCTGTCCCTCCTACAGATGACTTCTCCTATGTGCTCTTCTTCCTATGGTCTAAAGGTATTACAGTGACTCACCTGATACCCTTTTTGTGTATTTATTTTCATTTGCTCTTCTCAAGCTTGGCATACTCTTTGGTCTGGTCCGGCATCTACCGTTTTGTACCTTGTATTTACGAGACAGACCTCACCAACACCAAGGTGGCCAGACACTTGAACTCATATAACGCCAGAGAGAAGCTTAATTTAACCGCCCGCCGCCGCTAACCCTCTCCATCATGGGAGTCGGTTCATTTCTTGAACCTCTCGTCGTGGTGACCCTCCTCTTTGGAGGCGCCTACTTCAACCGCAGTAAGGACTACAACTTCTGGACCAACAAGTCAGGCTTCGCCAGCCTCAAGAGCTATAAGCGTTCCGATGACCTACCGAAACGAGACTCGACCGAGAGTTTGATGAGTGGATGGAGTGGTTCGCGTTCGCCGAATCTTGACTCCCAGAAGAATACCCAGCCGAGTCTGCGTCGTCGCAAGTTGCAAGTGTTAGGCTACAAGCGCATTGTTTCTACGCCAAACACACAAGTCTTTGAGAATCGTCTCCTAAGTCGACTTTTGAAGAAGCTCCCCTTTTTGGTCGAGTGTTGGTACTGGTTCCTCATCTACTTTGTATACCAGGTTGGCCGCGCCATCACTGCCTTGACTCTCGATGAGGGCACCGTTGATGTAGCTCGTCGACATGCTCTTCAAATCGTTCATCTCGAACAGCGCCTTCATATCTTCTGGGAGGTCGATTTTCAAAAATGGTTCCTTGCACGACCAACGATTCTTCACTGGATCAACCGCATTTACTCTTTCATCCATATTCCTGGTACTATCATGTTCCTCGTGGTGCTGTACTACTTCACAACCACTCGCCACCGTCGCTTTGCTGCTGGTCGCGTCGGCTCCGATAATGTGACTGCTGGTCCTGCTTTGTATGAAGCTCGTCGACGAACCATGGCCATGTGCAATCTGATTGCGTTTGTCGTCTTCACAAGTTGGCCTTGCATGCCGCCTCGGCTTCTGAGTAATCCTGAGTACAAGGGTCCAGATGCTGAGGAATCACAGAGCTTCGGTTTTATTGACACTGTCCACAGTGGTACTGGTGAGAGCAGCGTCTGGACTACTAACAAGTTCTGTAATCAATATGGTAAGTTGAAGTCGTGTATTGTCCAACACATTGCTAACTTGAGTTACAGCTGCTATGCCTTCACTGCACTTCGGCTACTCTCTCCTTGTCGGTCTCACCGTCGCGACTATTCCAATCACTGGTCTACGACCCTCCTCATGGAAGCGAATCGTCATCGTGGCCGTGGGCATGTCATATCCAGCTCTGATTCTGACTGCCATTGTTGCAACGGCAAACCACTTCATCCTCGACGCCGTAGCAGGTGCTATGGTTTGCGCTATTGCTTGGAACTGCAATGATTTCCTGCTCAACTTTTGCATTATTGAGGACTATTTTCTGGCTTTGCTACGCCTGCACAAGCCAGTGAACTGGACTGATCCTGAGACAGCCGTTGAGCCTGAATTCCAGAGTGCTTTCATGTCTGAGGATGTTTAAAAGTGCAAGTGGACAAACAAAACGAGTTCATGACTTTTGCATATAATTTTTCATATTATAGGTTTACTGGGTTCACTGGGTTTAGCCGTTGAGAAAGCATGTGCCGGCAGTTTTATGACTGTGGTAGTCGACGTTGAAAATGGTTAGAGAGAAGTTGGATGAATGCCAGTGTTAGGGTGGAGAATAAATTTAAGCCGACAGCGTATACCATACCTTGCAATTAGTTGGATAGTTTGGTAGCAGATTTATTGGAGTTAATAAGCCTAGAAGGGTACTATCTTGGTCCTTAAGATAGACATAATTTATGATGAATCGTTATTTGCTTCTTCAATTATTAGAGCTAATTGATATAGATGCACTTTGTCCAGGGTAGCAATCTTGGTCTAAGTTGAGGTCAGGAAGCAAATGAACAGCATGAACTACAACTGATAATGATCTGGATTATCTATCGTCCTACAGAATCAAGTCTTCAATTGTCTAACAGTCAACACTCCATACGTAGACATTTACGTATTTGCAGGACGTAGTGTGAAGCCACTCAAACCCATTCCGTATGCCCGTGACGACGCTCGTTGGTGATATTATTTCTTTGCCTAATTGTTCTGTTAAGCCTAGCAGAGCAAGGGTACTTGTGTCGAATGGAGAAACACTCTGCCTGCAGACCAACTCAGCCACGAGCTAAAGTACCTCCATTAACACGCCTAAAGTGGGGAGCTGTTTGTGGCGGGGCACGTCGTCATCTGTGATCCGTTTGGGCAAGAGACAGCACCTGCCTTCGTGCTTGCTTGCATTTACTCACATGCCACCTCGACGTTGAGAACATGCACTCTTTTCCAACGTGACCATTCAAATACTCTTTCTCCCTTATACAAACGTTGACTGTATCACAAAAACCAAGTGAATCATACCAGATTTCTCATCTAACAACTCGGAGCCAAGAGCTCAACTTCTCATCATGTCGCAGCAGGACACTAAGGCAGCTGATGCCCCGCCACAGCAGCCTTCGCGACGATCTGCATCACCATCAAACAGCTTCTATGCGCTGAGCGACGATGAGGAGGGCGAATACAACACTATCAGAAATGAAGAGACAGGAAGAGGCGTAAAACTTCTCTTTTCAAAGAGCAAGGTAACTATTCCCCAAGTTCACAGTACACCAAACGTCGCATTTGGAACAACAGCAGTTGACAATCGCAGGTTTATGTCCAC